GAGCAAACCAGTCCTGCTGGCTGCACACCACCGTTGGGATAAGAGGCGGCCTGTCTGCGTGCATCTGCTTCTGGGGAACACGGGCGGGAGAGGGCCCTTGCCCTGCACCCCCGCTGGCTGGCCACGCGGTGAGCTTGGCCTGCTTCCGCAGGGCCGGGCCGTCCTCATGAAGCAGTCTGCAGCTGGTCCACATCTGAATTCTGCTGGGAGGCACAGGAAAGACCAAGGGCTGGTGGTCCCAACACATTCCCCCAAGCAGGGCATGCCACTCAGGTCCCACCCCTGCCTGGCCCCACTGCCACACACACGGGCGGTCTTGTTTTCCAGCTGGCCAACATTCCAGGATGACTGAGATGGGTCAGTTTCCACCGATCTGTCTGGGAGGGAGGTTTACATGCTTTCTGAAAGAGGTTTTCCACTTTTGCAAAAACCAGCACTTCCCTGAGCAGAGAGAGACCTTTCTCAGGTTATTCAGCAACCCCACTGTGACCCCATTTCTGCCAGGACTCACTAATATCAGGGGGCACTCTACTTCCCCGAGTTCCCAACTATCTCCTAGCTCAGCTCCTGTCCTCTTTCAGACCTGCCTTTCTCAAGGTCTCAGAGTAAATGCACCACACCGTTCTTAAAGAAGCCAAACTCCTGTCTTGGCTTCCCGTCAGTTCTTTGTGGCAGCTGCAGAGGCCTCCAAAAAAGTGAGGGTATGCGCTCCGTCCACCCCATCTGGTGCAGGCACAAAGTTCTCCTCCTAGCTCGGGCATCGGTTCCAAGGGAACTGCGTTTTCCAGCTCCAGAGCAGCTGCTTGTTGATGCCGAGCAGTTGGATCTCCCCTCGCCTCGCTCTTCCCTGCCCTGGCCTGGCCTGGAGAGCTGCACGCCGGCTTCAAGGGCAATGCAGCTGTGCGGCACCGCTGGCAACAGCCAGAGAGCAAAGCCGGTTTCTGCCGTGGCTCCCGGGAAAAGCACCTCCCGAGGATTCAGCCCCGGAGCCTTGGAAAGCGACCGGCTGAACGGCGGATGCCCGGCGAGGCGAGGCGAGGCGTGCCCCGGAGCAGCTCTGCAGCCCCGCTCGCCGGGCGGGCGGCGGGCGCGCCCTCCAGCGGCGCCTGCGCATTCTCTTCCCGCGCAGGGGCTGCAGCGTCTCTGGCGGGGAATGCTGCATAGCCGGAGCTCCCCTGCATTCCTCCTGCTCTCCGGCTGGAGCCGGGAGGGGGATCTCCGCTCGCTCATTTGGAACCTGCCTCCAGAGAGGCCGGCGCGGATGTCGCTCCCGCGTCCGCCGCTGCCGTGTCATTCCACGAGTGTCCGTTCAGGGGTGGGTTCCGAGCGGCCGGATGCTCCCCTGCAGGCCCGACGAGGCGGAGGGGGAGCAGGCCTCACCTCCCAGCTCGCACTTATTGATCCTCTGGTTTGAGATCTAGCTGGCTACTTGCTCTGGGGAGGGGAGGCAATTAACATTTTGAGAACAGTTAATCTCTGAAGGATCTTGTCGGCTATGTTTAACAAGCAATTACTGCTCCTCCCTGCTGTCCAGGCTTCCTGAGGCAGTGAGTGTTCAGTTCCCTCCAGGATATACGAACGAACGCGTCTTCCATGCACAATCATCGAGTCCTGGGCATTGCCATGGGTGCGTGGAAGGACGCGGCGGTTAGAGGGCAGGGGCCCCGGCAGGTGAGGGGGCAGAGCCCTTGAACTGGAGCGAGGCGGCGAGCCGGGCCGTTGAGCCACGCGAGGACACAGAGGGCCCCCTGCGTGTGGCAGGGCAGGGCCGCACACGTCTGCACAGCTGCTATGCACCGGGCTGCACACAACATTGTGACCAGCTGCCTCCAAAGCGGCCCCGGGAGGGGCAGCTCTCTCGCGCTCAGCTCGCCCTCCCGCCTCCCAGCCAGCCGACGCGGGGGGGGCGGCCCGTTTGTGAGGCGCCGCGCTGGGCTCTGTGGGGCTGTTGCGGGCAAAGACTGAACAAAAACAGTTGCCTTCTCCTCCGCCGGCCTTTGGGTCATGATCGGCGCTTTCACAGAGCAGCTGCAGCTGCCTGACGTGAGCCTCGGATGGCGCACATCGATGCATGCTTATCGCAACATCTTCTCGGGGATTAATTCATCCCGGCTCTAATTGGCTACAGTGCGTCTGCACGCACGCCTGTGCTTAATAAGGGGGCAGCATTAATAACAGCTTAATGAAACTGCGTGCCTGTCTTACCAGGAGGTTAACTGGTGCTTAACAAGATGGTAAATGGGGTTGGAAGTATTTTCTCCTGTCATTTAATCTAGAAGTTTCCAAAGATTTATGGGAAAGGCAGAAATCACCACCAAATTGCTTCCCTCACTCCCTGACTTCCTCTCTTTTCCAATCTTTTTATTTAGTGCGCTGATGGACTCGGCAACAGCCTTGCTAAAGATCATATATCCAAGTCTCTCCCCTCCAAAAGAAGACAATTTAGGAGCAGTTCAAAGAAGAAAACCCGAGAGAGGGGACTCAGCAGGAACCTTGGCTGTCCCTGAGTTTCTGCAGCATTGATGTAATCCATTTCAAACACAGAGCTCTCCTCCCCACCGGAACAGACGGGAGAATGATTGCTTGTGGATGCAGCAAGCCCTGGTGCCTTGAGCAGGCTGAGCTTGTCTTTGCACAGGAAAAGGAAGCATGGAATGACACCGTCACTCAGAGCGAGGAAGGAAAATTGGCCAGGATGTTCGCAAGAGGGGACTTCTTGGCTGGGGGAGCAAGGTGGTGGAAACGGGGAAAGCACTGCCGCTTGTTCACTGCACCACTTTCTAAGCATCTCTGGAGTACTCCACGTTTCATGCATATTTAATATTTTTCATCGGGTATTTTACGCTGTGGATGAATGTGCAGGATCTGCAGCCTTCCGGTTGTCTTTCTACCAGAACTGTGCCGATGGCCGTATTGCGAAAGCCCCTCTCCAGGGGCCCTCTGGCCTCCACCAGATTTTGCAGCACCGATTCATCAGGCTCCCCTCTGGTTCATCCTTTCCTTCCCCGTTCAAAATTTGCTGCCCTTCTGCTCTAGTCCTCAACCACCATGTTGCTGCAAGAGAGCCAGTGTGGCGTCGTGGTGAAGAGCCTGGGACTGGGACTCAGAGGATCCGGGTTCGAGTCCCCGCTCAGCCATGGAGCCAACTGGGTGACCTTGGGCCAGCCACAGACTCTCAGCCCAACCTTCCTCACAGGGTTGTTGTTGTGGGGATGAGATGGAGGAGGAGAATGATGTAAGCTGCCTTGAGCCCTTTGTAGGAAAAAGGCAGGATATAAATTGAATAAATAAAATAAATGGTGGAACCATTTCTGTCCTTGGAGCTGCAGAGGACCGTCTCTGGCCCATTCCCACCTGAAGCGGACCATGTGGCAGCTGGAGACGGGACTTTTCTGGATAAGCTGGCACGGCAGAGTTTGTCTTAACTGTTCCTTCCAGTGCAAAGGGCAGGAGCAGAAGGTCTCTGCTGTGGCCGATTTAAGCTCCCTGATGCATGTGGCAAGGCATGAGCAGAGCAATCTTCCTGCCCCTGAACCACACGGCCGAGTCTCTGCTGCGTCCACCGCTCAGGGTGCCTGTCCTTCCCCGAAATCCTTTAGCATCCCGGCAGCTGATGCACAGAAAAGGCCAGAAATGACACCAAGGGAAGCAAGGATGGGCGGATGGGCTTTCCTGGGCCACTGAGGCCGACAGGCCAAAGACAAGCGTGGGGCCAGGAGTCCCATTTAGCAGCGAGCATTCCTGGTCGCTTGCGAAGGATGGCTCTGTGCAAGCAGGAGGGGTGGGCTTTGCTTTTGCCACTAGGTGGCAGCCGCGTCTTTCTCAGGGGAGCACGCCTGCTCCGGCTGGGCCCACAGCCTGCTCGGGCGAGTGGCAGGTGCCCTTGCAGGGAGGGTCCCCCACCGTCCTGCAGCTGGATGAGAGCTGGGTCCAGCGTCCTGTTCACACAGGGGCCATCGGGACAGGACCCTCCCGCCCATGTTCCCCAGCAGCCAGTGGTTGTGGCCCCCCCGCCTCCGCTACCAGATGCAGGGTGGAACCACTGGCCCGCAGCCATCACAAGCCTTCTGCTCCTGCCTTTCGGCCACCACTGCATCTGGCAGAAGCGAATTTCATCAGGTAGCAAAGCACTGGGCGAGTCGCAGGATCACGCAGCTGGAAGGGCCAACAAGACCCCGGCCCAGTGGCCACCCCGGGCAGGCCTTGGAGCAGCACACCCCTCAGCTGCCTTTTGAAGGCCTCCGGTGTGGTTTCGAGACCCCCCCACCTCCCCGGGTCAGGGCTCTGCTGTCAAGCTGCCCCACCAGATGTTCATCCAGATGCCCAGCTGGAAAATGATTCCTGGAACTTGAGCCCGTCATTCCACGTCCTGCCCTGTGGCGTGAGTAAGCGGCCCCCGTCCTCTCCTGGGAGACAGCCTGCCAGTTCTCGGGAAGTGCCATTATGTCTCCCTCGGTCCTCCCAAGCCTAAATATGCCCCCTTCTTCCAGGCCTTCCTTGCACCAAGGAGCCCACCAGCGGGACAAGACCCTCCCCGCAGCTGCCCCCAAGCCAAACACGGCGGCCCCGTCACCCCGGGATTGCTCAAGCCCTCCTCCGCTGGACCTCTGCCCATCTCCCGCTAAACCAGCCCCCGCTCGCGACCAGCAAGACCCTCCGTGACCTGCTCGTCCCAGGAACGGAGGGAGCCGAGGCTGGTCCCAGTCAGACCGCACGAGCAGCACCAGTGACTCCCCCCGCAGCCCCATTTGCAGGGGGCCGGCAAAGTGGAGGGGCTGCGGGGCAGCCAGGCACGTCCCCCCCCCTTGCACTTCCGGCCCGGGCAGTGAAACGCATCCAGAGCGCGCCAGGTGGGCGAAGTTGGCAAGCCATGGCTGTTGTACAAGGGGCTGTGCAAGGCAGCTCTCGGAAGAGCCTGCCCACCCCGGGCTGGTGCTGGGGACAGCACAGCCCTTCCACTCCCACGCCCGCAGCAGGGAAAGAGCTGCCTGAGCACGGAAGAGCTCGCAAGCGCGCCGTTTAATGTCCCACCGCAGACTTCCAAGCCGGGAACGAGCAACCCCGCTGCCTCTCCCTTCCTGGGCGCGACAGGGGCCGGCCTCTCTCTTCGGCACCCCGGGCGGCGAGCGTGGTGCCGGCGTGTGCGGGCGAGACGTGCTGGTGAGGCACGGAGGAGAAAGCGGGCAGCCTAATAATCATGCCGCTTCATCATCTTCACAAATTCATGCTCGCTGACTTCCCCGTCTCCGTCGAGATCAGCCTCGGTGATCATCTCCTGCAGGGCCGACAGCGGGATCAGCCTGGGGCTGGGGAGGCTGCTGGGAGGGGTTCGCCGAAGGCCCAAGTGCGGGGGGAGCCCCCTTGAGCGAGCCAGGGGCCAATGCTGGCTGCAGTGATCCGGGCAGGGCAGGGAAGGGCTGCCTGCCTGCCTGGGCCCCTGAACGGCCCTCCGGCCCCACAGAGGCGAGAACGCTGGGCTCAGCAGACCGGTGGCTCCCTTCGAGCAGCAGCTGCCAGAACCCCTCCCCGCTGCAGCAGGACACGGAGCTCTCTGTGCGGAGCTGCCGGCTGAGCTCACACGTGCGGCGTCCAGGCCCGTTCCCCAGCGCGTCCAGCAACAGGCCCTGCAAGCACACCCTTGCCCATGATCCCCGGCTCCCACCAGCGTCCCACCGGCAGACCTCAGCAAAGTACTCGCGAGCCACTCTGTGACCTGCCGGGCAACGCCCTATCCCCTCAGCCCCATCTGAGCAAGCCGTGCCGCAATGCCGGCCGGATGCAGGATCCCGCGGCTGCCGCAGCTCTGGGTCAGGACGGGCGCAGCTCCCTCCTCCACCAGCCCGTTCAAACCATTCCCGCGAATTCAGCAAGGCAAGGTCGAAGGCAAATGTAGGCTGGCTCTCCCCCCGACTCTCTCTCTCTCACGGAGCCCTTTCTTCGTGTTCCGTGAGAACGCCCTTGCTTCCCCACTCTCTTCGTGCTTGGCCCACAAGTCACAGGCCAAGCTGGCCCAGGCTGGCAGAAGCTGGAATCCAAGCTGCCTGGGGGGTGCTGAGCAGAGGGGGCTGCTCCAGGAGTGTGGCGCCCCCCACCCCAGAGGGGACGCTGCCTGGTCCCAGCCCCAGGGGCAGCACCAGCTTACCTGCAGCTCCTCGTCTGTGAGGTTCTCCCCAATCTCAGTGGCAATGCGCTTGAGATTTTTAAAGGAGATTCTGCCACTTTCCGGGTCCTCAAAGAGCTTGAAGGCTTTCAAGATCTCCTCCTTAGGATCTACTTCTGACTTCACAAAGATGCAGAAAAAGAAGCTCACTCGGGCTCTGCGCTCAGGGAAGGCTTTTCATTCCATGATCACCGCTTCCACCCAAGGCAGATGCTCACATTCCACCTTGTGCTACGCGGTCCCTCTCTATTAAAAGCGAGCAAAGATAGCCCCCACCCCGCAACATAAGGGTGGAGGGACACAAAGCAGGACTTGGCTCCATGTCCTCCCACCCAGCACTATTAGGATGTTGGACTGCTCTGTAAGACGCCATGAACGTTTTTTCCTGTCCCAATTTCACTTGCTGCTGTATTTTTTTAAAATGCAACATACCATTTTCTGAGTCATCACAGAGTAAAAGGCATCAAAGCCAATTTTCCCCAGGCCTTCTTTATCCACATCAAACACAATTTTCTTGATTTCTTCCTTTGACGGTTCAAATCCCAGAGCTCGTATGCACACCTTGAAATAGCAGAAACATGCAGGTTTCGACAGGGAATTCAGACAAGCCCTCATAAGTGGAGTGGCACCCAGCTGCCCTCCAAGGGGGAGAATCTGGAGTCTCGGCCATGACAGAGAAGGGAACTCAGTGAGGGGTTTAAGGGAGGACCAGCCTCCTGGTAGAGGGGAGCACACAGCAAAGGTCATCCCAGGGTGGGGACGGACCCTAGCCCATGGGTCCTCAAACCACAGCCTGCAGGCCGGGTACAGCTCACCATGCTCATTTATCCAGCCCGCCTCAGAGCTTTTGGACTCTCTTGGAGAAAATGACATTAACTACGTGCACATCGGCTCCCGCTCCCCCCCCCAATTGCACGCATATTCAGAGCGGGAAACAGAAGAGAGGAGGGAGGAAGAGAGCGAGACGAAGACAAAGACAAAGAAACTAAAAAACGACTGAAGGTAAGAAAAATGTAATTTTTTAAATCTATTTTTAATTATGTGAGCCACGTCCCTGGGCTGTGGGCCTAGCCATGGCCGCCTCGCCGAGCCTGGGGGCGGACAGACTGAGGCGGAGCAGAGCCGTGGCTCCCGCACCTCCGCTGCGGCCTTCTCCAAGCAAGTCACTGCCGTCGAGCGGCTGGCATGCTTCCCCCCGCGGCGGGTAGAGGTGGAAGGCACCCCGCTCGGCCGGCCGTGGCCCCGTCTCTTGCCTCCCCTCGCCTCGGAAAGAAGCCCCCACCTCCCTCCTTGCGGCCTTCTCTTGGCCAGGGGAGCCGCCCTGCACCTGCCTCCCGCTCCCTCCAAACTGGGGCGGCAGTGAGGATTACAATTTCCATCACGCCCAGCCAGCATGGCCAATGGAAGTTCTAGTCCAACTCATCTGAACAGTACCAGTTTTGGCAAGGCTGCACTAAAATATAGTAGTCATTAGCTCTGCATTCAAATACAGCCATTGTGTATTGTGGGAATTCTTCTGGGCTGACATGCTTCAAATACTAAGAGTGGCATTAACAGTATTTATCCTTAGTATTTTTGCTTCATTCTTGGTAAATGTCAGGTGCAGTCATTATGCAAAATACTATATTTAGCGCCTTGGTTGTGTTGTAGCTCTTTCCCACCTCATCTTGGGCTTCTGCTGCAGCCCAAGGAAGCAGAGCAAACATTTTTAAATTTTTAATTTATTTTAATTTTTAAATCAAATTTATTTTAATTAATGTTTAATGTGCAGTATGCATAGGAATTCATTCATATTTTTTCCAAACTATAGTCCAGCCCCCCACCAGCCTGAGGGACAGTGAACTGGCCCCCCATTTTAAAAGTTGGAGGACCCCTGCCCTAGACCATCGTATGACCTTGCTTTTCTTTCTGACACACGGTCCATCTTCAAGCACTGCCGGAATCTATTGGTCCCATCCCCTGCGACCAGCAAGACGGGGCTCTCAGTGCAACCCACGGGGAGAGCACCAGGCTGGCTTGGCCCACGAGCCCCTTGCGCTGCAGCCGCGCTTTCTCCTTCTATCTGATTTCATTTCACACCCTGGATCATGTATTGTTATTTTTCAAGAACAAGTTAACAAGCAACAAAACAACCAAGACAGATGTGCAAGAGTAGCATTTGCAATAACTCCCTCCACGGCTTTGGTCCATCTTTTGATACTGAAGGCAAAAGCCCCCAGAGGAAGTGCTTTTCCGTGAGTGCCCAGTGACCTGGGAATGAGAAATTCCCCACTGCAGGAACCTCGGGGAAGGCGGCGGGGGGGGGGGGCGCCTTCCTCCTCCGGCTTGGCCGAAACGCGGGGTTTGCGGGCGCAGCTCGTCGCCAGGGCCCTGCGGCCAGGAGGGCTGCTCCGCCGCGCGGCGCGGGCCGCAGAGAGGGAAGCACCTTCAGGTCTTTCACGCCGATGGTGCCGGTGCCGTCCGAGTCCAGCAGGTCGAACGCTTCCCGCATCTGCTGCTTCTGGGCCGCGCTGAGCTCGAGCTTCGGGCCGGTCCTCCTCCTCTGGCCTCCGACCGACCTCCTGACCCGAGAAGCCTGGACGGGGGCACAGAAGCACGTGGCGCCGCCGGGGAAGGGCCGGGAGGAAGGGGCCCGGCACGCCCGGGGAGGGGCGCGAGGTCCCCCCGCCGGGCCGCCTCCCGAAGCGGCGAGCCGGCGCCGGCCGTCCCGCGCCCGGGGAAGGCCCCCTCGAGCGAGCCCTCGCCTCGCCTCGCAGCCGCGGGGCAGCCGAGCGGGCCGGGGCGAGGAGGCCGCGGGGGCAGAGCGCGCCCGCCAGGGGCAGCAGAGCGCGGGGCCGTTCGGGAGGCGCCGCGCCGACGCGCTCCCGCCCCGAGGCCTGCAGCCGCCCGGGGATCGGAGGCTGCCCCGCGCCGCCTTGCGGGGCCGGCTCCGTGCCCAAGGCGCACAGGCCGGTGCAGCGGCAGCGCGTGCGCAGGCAGAACCTCGACAGGGGAAGCCGCGCAGCGGCGAGGCTCCGCCTGGTGGGTTTCCTCCTCCGCGGAGAGCCTGCTGGGCCACGCGCGCCCCGCCCCGCCGGCGGCTTCGGGGGCAGGTGAGGGGCGAGGGCCGCGGCGCCCGCCTTACCATCCGCCGCCCTGCGAGGCCGGTGCCGCGCCCGCCTGGGAAGGGCGGCTTCGCCAACGCTGCCGGCGCCTGCCGTTGGCCGCTGCGCTACCGGGGCAACCGCCGGGAAGGGGAGGGGGAAGGGGCGCGTCCCTGCCGCGCGGTGATTGGCCGGAGAGCGCGGTGCGGCAGGCAGCGCGCCCCGCCGCGGTCCGACCAATCAGCAAGTGGCCCCGCCCCGCCCCGCCGGACGCGCGCGATGCGCACGGAGCGCCGCGTGCCAGGGCGGCCGGCGGGTGCCAGGCCCCTCCGGCCGAGCTAGCGACTCCGCCCACAAACGTCCCGGAGGGCGCCCTGCTTGCTCGCCTGGGAGCCGGCCTCGGCCTACCCGCTGCCGCAAGGGCCCAAGCGAGCCTCGCCTTCTGCGAGCGCCCCGGGAAGGCAGGAGCCGGGCTTCCGGTGGGCGACCTTTTCTGTGCCCCGCTCAGCACAGGGACCCAGCACTTCTTGGCCAGGCACGCGAGCCTCATCCATGGCTAGCGGCTTGAAAGCTGGGCTTGCCTAGGGGGGGCGAGAGAACCATTTCCGCCAGCTCGCCCCCTCCACCTGCAGCCTTGCAACAGGCAACGTTCTCGCATGGTCGGGATGCGTGCGCAGAGTAGGCTGATGGCAAGGGCGCAAGTGGGCAGGGGAGAGGCCGAGAGAGAGCACATGCCACCCGGAACACAGTGGGCCCAGTACTGGGCTCAGCAATCTTTTGCACCTTTGGAAACGTGCCCCAATACTCCCTCATCTCAGGGGTGCACTCAGCCGGCCACACACACTGTTCACCATATAACCCCCACTGCCTGCTTCCCTGGCCTCACCTATTCCAGCACAAGAGCAACCCTAGCTGCAAAGATAATCACAGAAGAGCGGAGTTGGAAGGGGCCATTGGTCCAGCCCCTGCTACTGCAGGACACGAGTATCTGATGGGAACTGGCAGGTACTGGTGGGGAAAGAAGGACAGGACACAACGGAAGCCAGTGATTTTCAGCTGTATTTGTCAAGACACTTATCTGGAAACAAAAGCTGTTACAGTGAGCAAGCAGAAGTAAAAACAGTCATACTCTCACAAAAGGACTCCCTCCTTCCCTCCCCTTCTTCAACTACACACAGTGGTTAATCTGTTCAGGAGGACACAGGCAGCTTCTAACAGAAAAAGTTAAAAATTCTCTACTCCAAATTCATTCCAAGTGTGTGTGGACTCATCTGCAACCTCTGCATAAAGAGAGATTTAGAGGCTCCCCCCTCCCATGCATCAAAAGACAAACTTGCTGCTGCGGCAGATGGGCCGCTCAAGGCCCACGCAGCCAGGGTATTGCCGTGGCCAAAAATAAAGGACGACGGGCACGGCAGAGACTTGCGCACACCTCAATACCGCATCTGAGCGTCAGAGGAGACCAGGGAAGGGCACGTTGCACCAGCCACACGGAGGAGACGCTCGAGCCATGAGCTACTGGGGGTCCAGCACAGCAGCGCGACCTACCACAAGGACTTTTGTTTTAAACCTGCGGGCAATCGAGAGGATGGGAAGACTGGGAAGGCAGAGTCACCCTGCTTATTCAGTATCTCACCCACTGAACAACCTTCTTCTCTCCAATCACTGCATGTACACATTAGAAGCCAATAAAGCCAACTCATCACAAAGCATCTTACAGGGGGAAAAGCGAGTTCTGCCAAAATTAACATGGGCCCCGTCAACCTTGCGACCCAGCGGTCTTTCAAAATAGCTATTTAAACTGGAGGCAGACACTGAAAAGAAAATCCATACTTACCTGGGAGCGCATTTCTGTGGAAGAGAGCAGAAGAGCTGCGTTTTAAAAAGAAAGCCTAGATGGGCATGTCAGCAGCCCAGCACAAACTTGTTTTGACAAGAAGGGACGGTGAAACAAGTGTCCAGTGGGCCAACCTGGGCAAACCAAAACTTTATTATTTTTTAAGTCTTTGCTACAGTGGCTAGACCTGCTTCTTCGTGCATAATTAACATAATTCCTGAAGGATATGCATTTGGCACCAGGTTGTGTTTACTCCAAATATTTCAGGGTGAGTTTACATTTTAAACTGAATCTACGTTTTCTGCAGAGGAATGCCATCTTGAAGTTAATTGATGAAGCTTTAAAAAATCCTCATCTAAGCCAGTACGGCACAGAAAAGTCCCCAAGAGAGGCCAAATGTTAATGAGGCTGATGTAGACTCAAGTGGTTTATAAAACCCATAAAAAAGCTTCACCAGCAGAGAGGCCCTTTCATTCGGTAGAGCTCAGAAAAGTGATGTGGGGAGGAGCAACACGCAATTGCAGGAAATCTTGCCAGAGGAAACGGGGACACCTGAAAACCAAATATTTAAAAAAGCTCCAATTCCAAATCCATGTAGGAGGAGGAGGAGGAGGAGAAAAATCTAATGCACAGGAAAACTGAATCAACCCATGAAATCACAATTGCCTGGCCGTTTCACACCTTCCCCTGTAAAGCAGGTCCCAGAGACACAGCAGAGTCAACACAGCTCAACTTATCTTCACGGGATACAACGCAGCTGACCTCCCATCATGCAGGAGACAAGTCCAGCTGTGCTCTTGGACTACTACGATAGGTCACATCTGCTACTAATACCAGGCAGGCTAAGCAGAGATGGAGTCCTTGGCTCACCAGGGCCTCTGCTCAGGAAACAGGGATGCTTCCTGGAAAGATTGTATCTCTCATGGCTTCAGTTCTTCAGGCAGATTCGCCGCTTTCTATGGGCTTAATGATGTGGTCTGGTTTGTTGCCAGCTGCACAGTGTTCCCACATCTGAAGATAAAGCCGCTCCAGTTCCATTGTATACTGCTTTGTGTTGAACAGGGGGCTGGATATTCTCTGCTTCCAAACCTTGCCACGTATTTTCTTTAGGCTACAGGAAAGTAAGATTTTTTTAGACTACCATCATCCCTGAATTTATCTGCCTGCTGACAGCTTCTATTCCCCATTAGATTAATGGCACTCTTTAGACCACTCCCCCAAAGGCCCCATGCCATCAGTTCCTGAAGTGACACCACAAAACCAGTTGTTCTTTTTGAACTTGCATGTGGAACAAGTTCTCTCCAAGGAAAAGCGCCGCTTAGTGCTCATTACCGGGTTCCGTGAGAACTTGCCAGTGTTCTCCCCTGAACCTGTGACACACATTTACTCACTATTCTAGATCAGTTCCCAGTTTTACAGCGATGTCTTCGTACTCCTGTCTACTCTTCGCAATGAGCTCAGGGCACCCAAGGCAAGTCAGCTGGGAAGCGGCAACACGTGAAGCAAGAGTCTCTCCTGGGAAGGGTGAGGCAGTGTCAGTATTTAGTACGCAGCCTGCTGGGGAGGATTCTGCCCCTAAAGGCAGCTTAAAAATAGCCTTAAACAAGTAAACAAATACAACACAAAGGTGGAATTGCAAATATTCATTCAGGAAAGATCTTGCAGGGCTGGGGTTTAAGGGAAGGGCTGAACTGGTATGGCACAGCCCACTGCCCAAAACGTTCCAACCATGTGAATTTCCTTGTCCTAGTGCCACCATTACCACAAAGTTCCCAACTGCCCCCTTGCGAAATGCCGTCCAGTAGACTGGCCAGGCCCAACGTGGGAATCCATGCCACAGCTCAACATAGCACCACACCCCAGAACCCCGCACTGGCGCAATGTAGCGGCATACTCTGGCCAAGCCCTTACGACTCTTACCTGGCATTGTAACCATTGGGGTCCCAGCCCAGAGCACATCCATCCCTGTGGTGTGGCCATTACAGAGGGGGGTATCTAGGCAGACATCAGCCAGTTGGCCCCTCCTCACATGCTCTTCTTTAGGAGCAACTGGAGAGAAGATGATGCGGTTCTGGGGAAGGCCCATGTTCTGTGCATACTGTTGAATATTTGGTTCTCCCACGGCTGGGAAACGCAAGAGCCATAAGACGCTGTTTGGAACACGTTTCAAGATCTACAAGCAAATCGGGAGGAACAATGAGCTTCAAGGTATTCCTTTCAAGTTATACAAAAAACCCTGGTCAGTACATCTTCAAAGCCTGCCCTTTCGGAGGGTTGGTTAAAATTAAGTTAAAGAGTACCCAATAAAACAGCTACTCACATTTGCCCACATCTGTAGAGTGGCAGGGTCGATCTTATAAAGCTGATTGAAATTACAATACACGACAGAATCTTCTGGCAGTCCATACTGAGAGCGAGTTGTGACGATGATGGTTCGTGGAACCTCCTCACCAGTTGCAGCTTTGTTGTTGATCTAAAAAGGGAATGGAATTGAGAGGCAAAGTTTATCAAGACACATGGGCCGCAAACTACAAGGCTTGCTTACCATGACCTGGTTTCAGAGTCTTTTTCTGGCCACTTTAACACACTTTAAAATAGAGAAAGAAATGGAACCTCAAAACTGCTTCCTCTCAGTGTCTGTCCCCCCTTAAATTTCATAGTCACAAGAGCTTTTTGGTCCATGTGCATGGCCGATTCATGTGCCTCACAACCTCTGAAGCAGGGACATCAACACCTCTGTGACCGCTCCTCTCACCTGGGTCGTTGCGAGTCCGTTGCTAATGTTGAACCCATTGATGGTTATCTGAATCTGTCCTCGATTTATCATGTCAATTATAGCCTCTGCTATCGTATTCATGGGAATGACAGGCATGCTGAGGCTGGCATTGCTATCTGCATTGTCTCCCCCATCAGGACATTTCATCTGGAAGACATTTTTCACTAATTAAAGCCGTTCACATAACATAAAGCTTGCAAACTCACAGACAGATGAAAGTGGCTCCACTAAAACATCGAGTGCAAAGCAGAAACCGAAGAGCCAGTCAGCCAGTCAACCAACCGGCATCTTTATGGGGCGCTCCCAAACCCATCCCCTCCCGGCACCTCCCCCATGCGCAGTCTTCTACAAAAAAGCATCCCGGTGTTTGTCGTCTACATGCTCCCACATGTGCCTCACCTTAACTATTTTCACATCAGGGAGGCTGTCAAGGAATGCCTTCAGATCAATGCCATTCAAAACAATTCTGTTGTCATATATGTGTCCATTGGATTTGAAGTCAATGACTGCTTTTTTCTGAAAGCAAAAAGAGAAGTGCAAGAATTTGAGTTTCAGTGTTTTCTTGTTTGTTTGCACGCCAATTCTGCACAAAAAAAGAAAATGAAGCAAAGCAGGCCATTCCTGCTTGCCTGGTGCTCAGCTCACGAAATACCTTCAGGTGTGGGAACATGTTAGCATGATCACCAATGAAGAAGGTATTTGGCATGTAAGCCAGTTTTTCAGAGTATTGTTCAGCCACATCTATGGGGGATGTTTCTTTGTCTGTGATGATGTAATCCATGAATAATGCACCACTGGTCCCAGGATAGCCCAGCCACATCGCCTGGAAATCAAGCAAAGCAGAATTCAAGCATGGCTGCAGTATGCCCCAGGTCTGAAAGTCATCGCAAAAATCTAGTAATTACTTTGACAGATGTCATCCAGGTATTCACACTCACAGTGGCAACAGGTCAACCACTGCCAGCCAGCCAAAGCACAGACAAGCACTGGAAGAGCTACTGAAGAGGCACAAGGGTATGAATCCCTGAAGGGTGTTTTCTTGTGGGGGGGGGCAGCTCCAAGGATATGGCCTTCACATTTTTGCGCGCATCACATCAGTTTAGTGGTAACACAGCAGGAATGGCTTTATTCTCTGGCAAGACTGTGGGCGCAACTGCCTACTAGCTTCTCAAAGAGAGAGACGGGGACTACTGGTTTCAAATCAGTGATCCCAGTGGCGCATTCTAAGGTGCCCCTGTTACAAGTAGACGTGGATATCTGGACTTCCCATACCTGTATTGGGGCTGGTCTGAGGGCAAACAGCTCATTACGGGCTCCTTTGGTGTAGCCATTCATGTTGATGAGGATATGGATGCCATCCTGGTGGATGCGGTCAGCGGCCTTCCCATTGCACGGGACCTATGGCACAAGAATTAGAAACCACGATGAGACGTCCTACGCTTCTCTAGAAGCCTTCGGGCCATCTCACCTTCATGGACAGAAACCGAAGTTCCACAGGAGCATCTGCCCTTACTTTCCCAAAATGCTGCCTTACAAGGAGGGCATCCTATTTTGCTAAGGCAGCTGAAGCCAAGGCAGACTATCAAGGGTCCACTTTCTTGACCAGAACCAGAAATCCCTGAACATTTACAAGAACTACATGTCCGGAGGAAGGTAGTTGGCCACAGATGCCACCACGGCCCCTTTAGCTGATTAGTATCGTCTACTTGCAAACTATGAAGGCTATGCAGAAGTATCTCTAATAATGCCAACATATTTTGCTACATATTATGTATAAGGATACATAATGTCTATGTCTTCATTGTAATAGACTGAGTCATTGTTCACATAAGAAAATTAATACTTCATTTTATTTCTTTTAGTATGCTTTTGATTTTTGACATAAGTCAAGCACCATTGGAAAAAAAATCCCAGAAGCACAACAACAGTTTCTGCCTCAAGGCAAGAGGTCAGCAGCACACAGCTGTTGTTCTCCCAGAGCAGTCCATAAGCAGTCATTGGCAACGCTTAACAGAGACTGCTCTGAAGAACTCTTTGGCAGAAGGAAGCGGGGGAAAGGAACCTGCTCCACCCTGGCCTGGCTTAAGCAGTGGGCACAGAAGCTTCAAGCATCCCTAAGCCCCCTCACAGAATGCTACATGCATGAATCACAGGGACACTTGGGCTGCAGCCCTGCTTTCTCTATCCGGGAAATCCCTGCTCATCTCCAAGGGAAGCCTGTCAACAATTTATTTAAAACAGAAAAACAAAGCAGCCTTACCTGAGATAAATCAATGAAGTGATTGGCTTCAGCCATCACCTTTACTCGGAAATTTGTGCCATCGTCAGGGCTGAGAGCATAGCAGAACACCTAGGCAAGAGAAGCACAGGGATGGCAAGCACCATTGTGAGGAGGGAGATACTGGGCCGTGTGCCATCTCCCAACAGTGTTTCTCAGGGTAAAAAGAAACATTCTGCATGAAGCACAGGATCCACCACAGCTTTGGGGCTCAGAGCTCTGCACTGCCAGTTAGCATAACCAAACAGCCCTCCCTCACTGCCAGGTGAATCGCTGCGGCATCTCTCACCTCAAACTTGTCGGGGTTGTGCATGCCGGGGATTGACTGCATGAGATGAGAGGTGGGATGATTCCCAAAGTCGGAGCTCACATAGCCCACACGGAGTCGACCCTCACTGGTTTTCAAATCCTTGGGATGTTCATATGGTGGCTTGTGAAGCACATTGATCTAGCAAAGCAATTCAAGAAACTGGTCTATCATCAAAATCAGGGTCTTCCATCAAGTCTGCAACCTCTTCTAGAAGCTTCTCTGCAGTTTGCCTACCTTGTCCAAGCACAGATTTCCATGCCTCTCAGCAATAGCCTTTCGGAAACTGTGAGACAATGGGTACAGCATGCTGTGATGGGGGTGGACAGAAGGAAGCCTGTTCTTCTCCAGCTGGTCAGCAACTATACTGACCAGCTTCTTCATTCTTTCATCATAATCAGTCCAGTCACAAACTATCTAAAAGAGAAAAGCAACACAGCAAATTAGCAAGAACCTCAAGCTGCACTCCCCTTGAAACAGAAGCAGGTTTTAAGAATTTGAGCGCGGTTTTCCTTGCAGCATGCTCATGTGCTACAGACACAGTCTGACAGTCTGGGGGTTTCATTAACAGGTCTTGGCCTGGTTTACACTAACACCATAACATTTTGTCTCCTAACAAACCCTAGGGGTTTTGCAGACAATTAAACTGTGCTTTGTTCTGACAGTCCTGGTGTTGCTTACCTCCCACCTCATTCACCCCTGCCTTTTCCTGCATCTTTAATACCTTATAATACTAACACCTAAAGCAGCTGGGTATTTATTTTTTAGTTGCTCTTGCCTGCTGCCTTTGTAGCCTGGGAGGTCAACTCATTAACAACCAATGGTTCTAGGCACACATGAAACCACAGAATCATATAATAGTAGAGTTGGAAGGGGCTTTGAAGGCCAGAGTCCAGCTCCCCGTCCCCATTTAAACAATTCAGAGTTCACCATCAAACAGGCACTGGATTCTCTTGTTGCTGTTCATGGGTAGCTAAGCATTTAGACATGCCAATCCAGAATTTAACAAACCGCACCATGTCAGAACCAGGCGAGGGAAAGCCCCAGCCCCTTCTCACCTGCAGACAATGTGCCAAGTTGCAATAGGCATCTGGGAAGTCAGGCTTCAGTTTCAAGGCAGTGCGATATGAAGCAATGGCCTCCGGAATATTCCCCGAATCCTAGAAAGGGAGGAACGCTTAAGCGAGGGCAACGTCTTGCTACCTCAGGCAAGAGGTCCGATTTAGTCGCGGGCGCAACGCTACCTTATGGATGGAAGCAAGGTTGCTGTGGGCATCCGCAAAGGCAGGGTTTATCTGGATGGCCCGCGTGTAGCACTGCAAAGCGCCCTGGACATCCTGCATCTCCTTCAGTGTGTTTCCCATGTTGGAATACGCATCTGCAAAGGTGGGGCTGATCCTGCAGAGGAGAGGGCACAGCTGCTCAGAGACTGGCCGATGCTGCGGCAACCAAGCAAGCACGCACGCGCTCCCGACCATGTTCGGAAAGGGCCACCCACAGCAGGTCTGGACGTAACGCTGTACTGTCTTACCTGATGGCCTCCTTGTAATGCATGAGGGCCTCCTGCAGCTTCCCCTGCTGCTGCAAGACGCTGGCTAAATTGGAATGGGCAGCGGCAAACTCCGGGAACACCTGCCGTGGACAAGCTGCACTTAGTGCTCCTGGAGAGGCAGCGCCCCGGCATATCAGACTCCCCAAGCACACCCAACCGCGGGGGGCCCCAAACGTTTTCAACCAGGGGCCACCAAGGCGGTGCCGGCAGGGGGCGCAGGCCAGTGAGGGAGTGGGGGCGGGGCATGCGCGGCAGGGGGGCACACGGCGGGGGGGGGGGGCTCACACGGAGATCGTTTTCTCCAAGCGAGTCCAAAGCGATCTCTGCGTGAGCAAGCCACCGCCTCGCCACGTGCGGCGAGTCCAGAACTTCTGAGGTGGGCCAGATTCGGCCCGTGGGCTGCAGATTGAGGGCCCATGCCCTTCCCTCTCAGGAGTACTTCTGCTTCCCAGTATGTCCACCCCCACCCCCACTGTGAACAACTCCCACCTCTGCTAACAAATGTATGCCTGCACCCCACATGCCTCCCTTATCCCTTCCCGCCTCTTATCTTGGCTCCTATACTGTTCCTTTTCTTTCCTGCTCCTGATTCCACAAGAACCTGGAACCGTAACAGTGACATACTTAACAGAAGCCTCTCTTGCTGACAACGTCCACGTCCTAAATTCGCGAGCGTACCTCAAGAGCCTTGCGGTACAGGCGAACGGCCTCCTCGATATTTCCTTGTTCTCGCTTGATGTTTGCCAGGTTATTGAGAGAATCTGCATGGGTGGGGCACAGACGAAGAGCTGTGTTGTAGCACTCCTCCGCTTCAGCAACCTTTAACATAAAGCAGTTTAGGGTCACATCAGTAAAGCAGTAACGCACACCCAGAAGGCTGTGTGGGAAGGACACCAAGCCATTTCATAGACTCTCCCATGGAAAACCAATTTATTCAGCAAAGCCTCTGATAACCCACAAATTGGGAGGAGACACAGAACGCAGGAAGGGTTTCTTACGCTGCCTTTCTCTTTGAGGGCATTGGCCAGATTGCAGTAAGCGTCAGGGAAGTGTGGCTGCAGCTCAATAGCACGCTTGTATGTATCTATCGCCAAGTCAATCAGGCCCTGCTCGTAATACACACAAGCCAGGTTGCCATGCACGACTGCATGGTTTGGGCTCAGGCTCAGGGCCCGGAGATAGGCTGCAACAGCCCTGGAATAAAAAACACTCAGGTCACTATCCCACACTGAACAGACAACAGAGTAGCATTTACTCCAAATCTACTGAAAGAAATTATCCAGCTGTAGCACGCACACATTAGTACAATTTGAAGCACCTGAATATACGAGACAGTTGTTTAACAAGGCTGCCAAAGGAAAATCAAAGTCCCTCGTATTACAGAAGTTTCTTTGCACTACTATGCCCTGAAGCAGCCCTACTGTGTCTGGTGGGACTTGCCTGGGAGCAACAGGCACAGGACTGAGTTAAAGGTCATTCACAAATGAGACGGCGCTTCTTAAGTCTCTTCCTGTGAGCAATCAGTATGACTGTGGCTAAGGAGCTAATTGCTGGACCTAGAAGCAAGCATCGTATTTACTTACCTGTCAAATATGCGTGCCTCCTTCAAGACATTCCCCAGGTTAATGTAAGCATCCAGAAAGTTTGGATCGAGGGTCACAGCCTTAGAATATGCAAGACAACACACTCATCTTAATCGCTATTATACAAACAGATGCCTTATTTTTACACTGTTGGTTTTATATGACCTGGCCTCCTACTAGGTGAGCAAGGAGTCCCAGGGGCAGAAGAACAATGTACCAAAACGGTATCTGAGGGCTTTTATTCCTTAGGATTGAGTCTCCTTTTACTCTCAGGGCTAAAAGCAGATTTACACATGTAATGTTGAAGGGAAGAGGGAATTAGAGTTCTCAAGCTAAATTATGAGCAGTTCAAGGAACAGCAGTTTACAGATATTCCACCCACAATTTTCCATCATCCATTTATGAGCATTTCCCCACTCAACTGTATCAGCGGATAAAATCCAAGTTCTCAAAGATCAGAAATGAAAATTTCAAAATAAGCTTCCTTGCACCCTGGTCTTTCTTACACCACGAACAGGTGACACTTCTCAGGCGCACATGACCCACAAGGATACCTGTGCTGCCACCTCATCTGGCCACTCACCACCCAATTCTCCAGAAAGATTTGTTTGGTGGTCTAGGGCATGTTATTAATGTGTCTGTCCTCCCCACTGAGGCCCACGTAACTGTGTGTGTCTGCCATGAAACAAGGGCTTGAGAAAGCATGAATGGGGGAAGAGGGACAGATGGAGGCAAGGCTGCGAGGAGGATGCTAGCCACCTTGAGCCAGCACAGCTACACATTCTGGCATGTGGCTGCCAGCCCTGATGCCCTCCATTGCGTGTAAGCCTCACGAGCAAGGTGGTTGCTCTCTCACTACTACAGGAGGCAAAATGTGCACCATGCACCACTATCGCTTTACTTCAACAAGGAAACAATGTAGGGAATTGTCGCTGCAAACTTGGGGTGTTACTCCTGGGCTCAAGGAAAAAGCATTCTGGATTACAAGGCTCTGGCCTGATCCAGCAGGGCTCTTGTGGAACACTTTTATGGGCAGACACGTAAAAACACACAGAAGGATACCTTTTCAAAGTGATGAATAGCAAGCCAGATTTCTCCTTGAGCGTTGAACACACAGCCAAGGTTGCTCCATGCTACTGCGAAATTGGGTTGTGTCTCAATTGCCTTCAAGTAACAGGCCTTGGAAGGGTTAAAGGTAGGTGGATACAAGGGAAGGGAATATTTGCACAAAAGAAAAGCAAGAAAAGCTTGTCAGAGTTTCTTCTCTCACCAGCCAAAAGTGATCCTGCAGTATAGGCTTGCTTGCGCCAAAACTAATGTGCTGTAAACAGCTGGCTGATCCTGAGCCAGCGCAAACCAAAACCCGAGTGCAAATCCACCATTGTCAGTTCTGCTGATCCTTATGCAACCCTTTCCAGAGGATCCATTTCTTTTAAGAAGTTCCCAGGACTCCTTTTCTCCTTTCCTTCCAGAGGTCCAACACAACAGTTCTCTTACTGAATCCACGGCGTATTTCAGAGGCAAGGGTTCTGCAACTGTTCTGCAATGCCTAGCAACTGCTAAGATGATCCTTGGCCCATCTCTCTCAGACATACTGCTAGAGGCAGAAAGGATACCCAACTCCCACATGAGAAGAAGGAGATTCCTGACCCAAGACCAGGGAGGGCCCCACTGCTGCTGAGTCTGGCCCCACCATGCTATCCTGATCTCCCAGTTGTACCCCCAGACAGTGGGCATTTCCTTCAGCCTCCAAAACCTCAAATAACAGGCTTGCACAAAGGTTCCGGTCCCTGTAATGCAAGCGCAAGAAGTCGCCGGCGCACCCTAACAGCGCGACGCTGCGCTCTCGCTGCAAACTGCTGCGCTTTGCTGAATGCCCCCGGTGACTGTGAACGGCCAACCAGACTGATTAATCTACCAGTCAGGCCCACGTGGAAACTCGTGTGTTAAATTTGTGACTGAAATCTTAAGGCTGGCATTCCAATTACATCAAAACTCGTACAGCATAGAGCTCAGGGAGCCACAGGGTTAGAGATGAATCATCTAGTCAACCATTCACAAGGGCTCAATCGCACGCGATGCGCATTTCCGCTGCGCAGCCTTTGCGCTACTGCAGGATCACAGCGCATCATCAGAAGAGCAGAACGCTGCAATCCAAACAAAGAAGGAAAAGGAAAAAAATGAACAACCAGGAAGAGTTAGAAGCTTTAACTATAAAGTATCTCCAATTATTTCTCTTATTTCTTAATTTACTTTTACTTTATTTCTTTGAAAGAATTGTGGCTAGGACTATAAAATATTCTCTAACATTACTTGCTTGTACATAAAATACTTAAGCTGTTTTTGAAGCCACAAGACAGAAGATTCAGGCATGGAGGCAAATGGTTTTGCTGTGGCAGTTACAAACCCGTTACCATATTTCTCATGAGAGTTTTCGGTGCGTTCCTTGCTGGAAGAGGAGGAGGAGGAGTGTGTCTGCCCTAGATCCAGGCCTCGAGCTCCCTTCAGCGAGGCACCTTACGCATGGAATAGGAGGTTTCACCCACCTGAAACCTTCTAAATACAATATCAATGTGAAAAACCAAAAACAGGAGAGAAAATAAAACAAGATCATTAGTAAAAAGTTCAACAAAGCAATTGAAAATCTCTGGATATGTCTAACACATGGGGTTGAGGACTGTCTGTAACATGGGAGACATGCAGAAGGGAAAGGGTTAATCAGGGCAACTGCAAACAGCGGACTTATTGGAAGAAAGGCTCTGAAACTTCTGCAAAAATCAAATTTCACATCGAACACCAAACGTTTTGCTGGTTTGATCTTACAAATGCACTGATAGCCAAAGAAATACATTGCAATCTATTCCATGTTATCATTGTACTGGTTTATCTCCCCTTGTTTAGTGAGTTCTCACAAAAACGGAAAAACGCTTTCAAACTAGGTGTCTCCAGAGCTCTGAAACAAAGAAGTCAGCAACCTAAGGCAGGCGCAGTGTCTTGGCCTATACCAGTCACACTAAAAGCTGCAGTGAAGTGCAATTCATGTTAGCTGTCCACCTGAGATTCGCTGAGGTTCGCGGTCTTTCCAAAAAGACACTTGGGGCCACCCGCGCCAATTCCCAGCCTTGCCAGTGCGGAGCCGTGCCGCCCAGGGGCAGCCGCCTGCTCGGCTCGCGGTGTCCAGGAAACGGTTCTCCTTCCTCCTCCCCCACTAGCGCAGCAACCAGCCAGACAGCTACACTGTTGATACACTCCACTCGGAAGCAGGCGCGTGGGGCTTGAAGTGAAGGACGCGGAGGTCCTTCGAGCTCCTCCACACTCCTCACCCCTGCTGCGCAACGCGTAAGGTGGCTTGTAACAAGACAATTCCAGGTTTTTTGCAACCCACGTTGGACTTGTGCCTCAAGTTTTGAAACCCATCCTGGAGGTCAAATTCTTGGTTGGAAACCAGACTGCTAGAAGCCACCTTTTCACTTCGTGTAGCAAGTTTTTCTTTGATCAGTTCATTTTCCAAACAAACCAGCCACTGTTACTTAGCCATTTGGGCAAAACTAATTGTTTGAAGGAACCCAACTGCAACTAGGACTGTTTGCTAGCCTTTCTTCCACTACAAAGATGAGGGAAAGGTTAAAGAATAATAATTTTTCAATGCCATATTCACAGGGTAACATTTGATAAGGTTCTTCTCCACTTACAAGCCACAAAGGACTTTAGAAGAGCACCTGCTTCTCACAGGAATCACGGACTAAGTCACAGGCTTGGCATCAGCAGGCAAGCCTCAGTTTGGAGGGAATGTTATTTCCAGACCAGAGAAGGGTGGCGCCCTTGCCAGTCACTTCACAATAGTGGGTGGTCTAGTTCTGCAGCAGGACTCAGTGTTCAATTTCTTGTCTTAAATCAAGTGTTAACATGGGCATGCCATATCTTGTCCTGCAACTACTCTGGGGCAATTCAGGGCCTTCAGCTCTCAGCAGTTTCTTGGGACTCTTGCAGGTCAACGGAGAATTGAAGACTTGGTGCAAATGTTCACATTTTCAAAAGACTGATGTTTAAAACTCATTCTACAGAACACCTACCTTGGCTTCTTCCAAGCGACCCAGGGCTTTGAGCAGATTCCCCAGGTCACTACGCACACAGTACAAGTCCTGAAAACAAAATTAACCGCGTCACTCGCAGTGAAGTCAATGGAGGATCCAAGAGGTAACAGGGCAGTTGAACGGAGCTCTGCTGCCTCCGTTTCTGTGTGTTTCTCACAACTTTAAACATCATCACCTTCTCTAATCTCACAGGACTGAAGCATATTACTGTGAATGATGCAGTAGCTAGCAGGTAGCACACCTCTGTAGCACCAACACACAAAGCAAGCCCAACATAAAGGCTTCATAGCCCTGCCCTGTTCAACACAACTGGCTGTTCTGGTCCGACACCTGAAGAAATCTCAGAGCGGGAGGAAGAGACATAACCTGTGGCGCTACAGTTGAAAGGGAAGAGGAAGAGCAGCACAGTGCAATGGAGTTAAGGGGATGCAACTTCATTTAGAACACCCTGTCAAAGAGTTAAGGCTTTGGGCTTCAATAGCAATGCACAATTCTGGACAGGTACACAGACCAGGAATGCTCCAAAGCCTTAAATGCAACCCCTCACGGGTGCCCCCAGTGTCCCCTGCTGCCAGCAGCTTCTGCGCACCTCAGCCCATGTCTGGCTCTCTCATCAGGCAATACTGCCCTAAGTATCTACCTCCAGTATGTGCCTGTGTTATGTAAAAATGGAACCAACTCCCCTTCCCCCAAGGCAGCTCTAGATCTGCACCTGGACACGACGACAGACTGCAGTGAAAGATCAGAGGCAGCGAAGTGACTGAAAGCAAAAGGACTGCTGAATCCCAAGGAGTAGCTGTGAGCAGCACCCGGTGAGGTCAGGGGTGCGGGACCCCATCCCCGTCAGGCTCACCATCTTTATTCCTTGGCCCCATTCCAGGAGAACGGCTGCCTGGTGACAGTGACACACGTGTTGGTGACTTCCTGACTTGACTTCTGTAACGCGCTCTACGTGGGGCTGCCCTTGAAGACAGTCCAGATACTTCAATTGGTTCAAAACAGAGCTGCCAGGCTGCTGACGGGGACTGGGTGTTATGTTCACATGACTCCAGTTCTCCGTCAGCTTCACTGGCTTCCCATCGAAGTCCGGGCCCAATTCAAGGTGTTGGTGATGACCTATAAAGCCCTTAACAGCTTGGGTCCTGGTTACCTGAAGGAGCGCTTACATCCATATATGCCGACTGCCCCTTGAGATCTGCGGGAGAGGCCCTTCTCCAGGAACCCTCCGTGAAAGAAATTAGGAGCGTAAGTACTCAGAGGAGGGCTTTCTCTGCGGTGGTGCCCAATATATGGAACGCGCTCCCCAGAGAGGTCCGCCTGGTGCCGTCATTATTTGTTTTTCGGCACCAGGCAAAGACCTTTTTATTCAAACGTTATTTATTTGTTAATATTATTTATTTATTTTATTCTTTGGCCAGGGCAACTTAATTTATACTGTTAAATTATATTGTTTTATATGATGTTATTTATGTTTGTGAGCCGCCCCGAGGCTTCGGCAAATGGGGTGGCATAGAAGTTCCCTAAATAAATAAATAAATTCCTCTCTGCGCCCACCCTGGCTTGCTGGAGAAGCCACCCATTTGCAGCCACACACACAGAAATGCGGCATGCAGACTGCCTCAGTGCCCTTCCAGGCCGCCCAACTGTGCCTGCAGCTGCGCACCTCTTCCCTGAAGGACTATGACGCTCACTGTGCCATTCGTGAGTGCGGCTCAGAGGGCAAAATTCTGCAGCAGAGACAATGGAGTGACAGCCAAATGCGGCCTTTGTGTTCAGGCAGTTTTGGAGCAAGACCAGTTGGGCAGGACTTCTTTGGGAAAATATCATTGTTGATCAGGGGAGAGAGCATGTGCGAAAAATGCAAAGAGACACAGGTCTGCATGATCGCCACAGACCTGAACCTTAAAGTGAGCATGACTGAATCGCAGGAGAACAGACTCACTCAGCTGAACCGCAATTAGCTCGGTCGTGCTTCCTTGCAGTTCAAACCGACTGTGATCGCTCTCTCAAGCCGTTTCAGCATACTGAAAAGGGAGGCAGGAAATGCGCCTATAGGCTGCATGCACAGGTGGCCCTAGCCGCTCAGTCAGCCACACATGCAAAAGGGTTGTGCACTCCTGCTTTAATCCCATGTGGCCTGGAGGTACAAAACCGCTCGTAATGGCATTGCCACTGCAACCTGCGTAGCAGGAATTCTGTTAGGGCCACTTGCAGATTTGTTAAATCTTAACATGAACTGCTCTGAAAACTCAAAAGCACCAAAGCTGTTCGTACTTCTGAAAGAATCGTGCCACTCCAGGTAGAGTTCAACTTACAGGATTGTACTGCAGGGCAGAAACATATGCCTGCACTGCCCCTTCCATATCACCTGCAGCTACTAAAGCAGCCGCAAGATTTATGTATCCATCAATGAAGTCTGGTTTGAGGCGCAAGGCATGCCGATAGTGTTCAATTGCCTCCTGTAGCTGCCCACGCTCCTTGTATACATTCCCCAGGTTTGAGTACGCTTCCGCCAGCAGTGGATTCTGCTTGATTGCCAAAGTGCTGAAGTGAGCAGACCTAGAGAGAATGCAACGTAATTTGAGGTTTAATCTGTTATGGTACCATCAACACAATATCATTTGAACTGTTTGATAAAACTCTTGTGAATGAGTAAGATTTATGAGAACATACAAGGCCAGAAAAGCAGGTTACTACTACCAAATCAAATGAGGCACAATGCACTGCCTAACTTTCAGAACATCTTGCTTCTTTACAGCAGGAATAAACAAACAAACAATTTCAAGAATGTGTTCATTATTCAACTGATACAAGCTAATTGAGGAACTAACATAGATTTTGTGCAATCTAACCTAAAATATCCTCTATTTTCAGCTGGACACGTTTTTCCACTTGTGAACAGTTTTCAACGTAATTCAAGAATATTCTCTATCACGTTCAGTATTTTACATTGCTCTGTCCTCTCCAAGACCCATCTACTTTTGTAATCCTACCATATAAACCTTCCAAACTCCGAAACTGATAGCATCAAACCTCAATTATGCCTCATAACTACTTCTGCAAACCACATTACGCTGATTGGTGGGAGATTCATTTTTTTTACATAGCACAGAAATTCCCTTCCACAAATGCAGTGATGGCTACCAGTCTGGATGGTTTTAAAAGCGTCTGGACAAATTCATGGAGGAGAAGGCTATAAATGGCGACTAGTGCTGATGGCCGTATGCTGCTTCCATTACCAGAGGCAGCGGGCCCGTGTGCACCAGTCACAGGGGAACACAGGCGGAAGAGTGTCGTTACGCCCACGACTTGCCTGTGGGTCTCCCATGAGCAACTGGCTGGCCACTGTGTGAACAGAACACTGGATCAGACAGACTCTTAGTTTGATCCAGCGCAGTTCTTCTACGTTCTAAAAGGAAGTGTGCTCAACATTCCTTGGTATTTATAGAAATTTATGTGGTAATAGAACAGACTGATGAAAATGTCAATGCAGCTTTCTACCTGCTCTGCATTTTTCAAAAAACCCAATCAACTAAATATAAGCAGCAGAGAATTTTTAAGAAGCGCCTGGTTAAAAGCATTTCATGTCATTTGCAAGAGGTCAGTAATTTCATCCATGCGGCCAATTTCCAATGCCCAAAGGCACTAGAAATGTACAAGGAAAAACTGCTGTTCACTTCAATGCAACATTCTCCTGTTTACATACAGGGACAAGGAACAACCCTGTGTGCTATCTCCATGCATACACTTAAGAATCAGCCCAAGTCAAATCAGCAGCGATAAGCCTCTCAGCAGCTTCCTTTTCTAAGGCAGATCTCAATGCACAGGGCAAAAGGCCTCAGCCTCCTACCTGTCCAGCCTGCGACACTGGAAGTGAATGGAGGAGAGCAACAAAAGCACACCGGTGTTGTCAGGTTCTTGTCGCCAAAGCTGCATGCAGTGTCTCTCAGCCGCTTCAAAGTCTCCTGCTTGATACTCCCGGTGAGCCAACTCCGCTAGCCCTTGGAAGGAAAGCATACGTTTCGTTGGTTCTGAAGAATCACCAAAACATTTAGGGGGGAAAACAAAAAGTTAGAAAATGGGAACAAAAACTGACAAACTATGGTGTACAACTTAAAAGGTGAAATGTTTGATATAATGAAAAATCCCAGGGATACTGAGTGATTAAACATAAACACAGAACTATTCTAGGAAATTAAATTTTTAGGCAATATTCACCAGCTTAATCATGAAATACAACCATGTCACACTTGAAAGAATGTTTTACTTTCAGCTGCTGAACCCCGCACCCCCTTCTTAGTATGCAACAAACGCAAAATAAACTAGCCCACGATACTTGAACATTAGTACCCAGCAATCTAGATGAATTTGCTCAGTTACCATCACCTCAACATGGTGATGCCTGTCTTCACAAGACCCTAACACAACATGAAGCTCAGACTATCTTCCAGTCCAGGTGCAAATCTTATGACAAGGCACTCTGATTTGGGAAATCAGGTGAAGCAATGTAACCAAGACATGGCTTCATGCAATGGAATGAAGTCCAGGAGGCAAAGGACACCTGTTGCATAAACATCTGCAGGAAGATGTAGATCAGAGAAAGCTGTAAATCAATGCTTTCCTGCAAAATCACACCACCTTCTAAACTAAGCAAAAAGATTACTCAAAAGCCACTCTAATACAACAGAATTTGGTAAGAGCTCCTGGAATGAAACCATTTTGCTTTAACTTCCATTGCTGCCAAGCCTCTTGGCAGGGAGGATGACAGAATTCAACTTGTTGGGGTAAAAGCCAGGACTTGAAAAATTAAAACTTAACACATTATTTCTCATGAACATCATTTGCTAATGACAATGTACTACCATAATGAACAAAAACCACCCCACAAAATATTTTTTGCTCAGGTCTGAGAAAATGGGGTCCAGAAAGTCTTACTGACAGGCCACTATTCCTGATTGCCACTGGCCATGGACATTCTCTCCTGTCAGCCCTGCACTTCCCGGATGTGGAGTTGCAAGAGGATGCAGTTCTGCAAAATGTCACTTGAACTGAAGCAGAAGCTGCCCAACTCGTGCCATTTCCGCCTTCAGCAAGTTGCTCGCAGACGAATAATGGCCCAATTCACTGCCCAAGGCAAGAAGCAATTGCTTCGCCAGCCCCGCCCAACAGTCACCAACCAGCATTGCACGGTTATGGAGAGCAGCGGTGTAACAGGTGTTGTCCTCCCCACACCTATTGCTTCCCAACATCCTTAACTATAGTTCCCAGCAGCCCCATCCAGCATCATCAACAGTCTGCACTGACGGCAGTTGCAGTCTAGCGCCTGGGGTCCCCAAGCTGAGGAAGGCTGCCTTAGAGGACTAGCGGTATAAGCACACAAACAATACATAGTGGACCTTGACTGGTCAACGGAAAAGCCTCAAGAGGTGAGGTGAGCTGGCTAAACTTCATCAGGTTTGCTGGGCTGGTGCTGTGAGCACAAGCTGGTTGCTTCCCTTTCCCAGAAGAGGAGAACTGCACCGATGAGCTTATCCAACCCACACAAAAACAGCAATACTCATTTTCCCCCCACTAGTGCAAAGGGACCCAAAGAGCCCTTTGCTACTCACAGGAGATGCATCTGCCACTGCCAATGAGGTTTGTGGACTCTTGACTGCAAGTAATCTAATCAGTAAACCTCCACTGTATATGAATAATTTGCTACAGATTATTTCAAATGTATTCCTTTCATTGTTAAGAGTCCAGTGGCATGACAAGATTCTCAGATGAGGGGATGAAAGAGAGGCAAGTCTCAGCCACAGTCTCTGCTGTGCAAGCCTGATGTAAGACTGTAATAATAACTTCTCTGTAACTTTCCTATTCGGGCTGGCAGCGAATTTTAAGATTGGCAGACAAGTTCAGTGAACCAAGTGGGCACCTAAAGATTTTGTTTTTAAAGTAGCTCAATTTCAACCATGTAGTGCCACTTATTTTACAAACTGCTAATTTCTCTGCTACCAAGGACTAATTAGAACCCCCAAGAGGCATGGCGGTGCATCCCACCTGGACGCAGGATACTCCTTGGAGCTGCAGTGACATCACCGTTTTAGCCCTTTCCATTCCAGCCAATTCACTGTGTTTTGTCAGAGCCACAGAGTTTATGAGTAAGTTCTGCCCCGAGCTACTAGTTCCTCTCATTCTACAGAGGGGTCACTGGGATGGAAAGTCACTTGCTCAATACGCATCAGAGTTCAAAACAATGGAATATTTTTCTGAGTTTTTGAAGTGGAAAGTTTTCCAATGACCCAAAGCTATTAGAATTTGATTTATCATGTTGAATGTTAGTTTAATTACATATTTCCCTCCCCCATTTACAAATAAATTGTTTGCAAACATATGAGAGTTTTAAAAAGATTTGCTTGCTGTGGATGGTTACCTGAAAAAGTTCCCTTGAGCAGTCCAATTTGCCCCTTATCTCTTATTGCATCCATTTGTTTTTCTACTAATTGGTTTCATAGCACAATACATTTCTAGAACTGAACATTTCATCAGAGGAAAAAATTTGCACCCCATTGCACCAATCCATAACAAATATAGGAACTGGACATAAGCTTCCCAACTCTCTAGTCACTGGGTTATGCAGGCTTGCTAAATAAAAGCTCATTCTCAGAGGGAAAGTCAGTCATCTGCTTTAGGGAGAAGCATTTTCCGGTATTTCATGCTTGTAAACTTCAAGATGTAGATGCATTTGCTTATCCACAACAGGCCGCATTTCTCTTGGCACTAGCAAAAACTGATGCATTGAGTTATACCATTTGAACCTCTTGAAACACAACAGTTTTTAATTATCTTTCCCTTTTCTAGAAAAAAAGGGAAGGGGAGAACTAAATATTTCAGGGACTGCAAGTGGCGCAGTGGTTTAAACTGCTGGGCTGGTTGATCGAAAGGCCGCCGGTTCGAATCTGCCCAACAGAGTGAGCTCCTGTTGCTCCGTCCCAGCTCTGCCAGCCTTGCAGTTCGGAAGCAAGCAAATGCAAGGAGATAAAAAGGCGCCACTTCGGTGGGCAGGTAACAGCGTTCCGTGCACCTCGGTGTTTAGTCATGCCGGCCCTCCCTCGGCCAGGAAATGGAGGTGAGCTCCGCCCCCCGAGAGTCGGGCATGACTGGACGGAACGTCAAGGGGAAACATTTACCTTTACCTTTATGTTCTTCATAACCTGTTCATGTTTAAGACATTTCAGCATATCAAACTGTATTAACTTTTTAAAATTTGGATTAAAGTCATCCAGTTTTGCATGGTGGGGTGCAAAACAAACTATGATCTATGAATACTACACTGTGAAACAAACCTCAGAATAACATGTGTTAACAGGCCAATAGCCCAAGAAACACACCCTTCACTTCAAGAAGTCAGCTGATTTAAATTAAAACCACACTGGGAAAACAGCAATTCACTATGTGCGGGTTTATGAAAGCTTCCCAGAGCTGAGCAGGGTATACATTCATGGGGTTGCTTAAGTCAAAGAAGACTCGTAGCAACAACTGGCTTAGGAAAGAGCCCAGGCCTGTTTATTACAGCATGCCAAATCTGTCTGGGAGTTCCCTTATTGGTTTATCTACTGGCCCCATACCACAATGACATGGACCCAGCCCTCAGTAATACCAGCTAGCCTGGAATTCAGCTGGGCCAAAAACATCCCTGGCCCTGCTGCTACCCCATGCAACTATCTGGAGGCCGGCAGTGATGGTGCTACCCCTTCTCATTACAAAACAGTTTTACTCCTCTTGTTCTGAGAAAGGGTAGAAATGCTGAAGAGCATTTACAGGAGTCCGTAAAACAGTGTGCACACTTCCAACTGAGAAAGAGCCCACCTGGCACACGTTCTGGGGTTACGGCCCTTTCCATCCCAAAAGAATTGCTACCTCTTGAGAAAGCAACAACACTATCGATTGCTGCCATCAGTTACCCTACACGGGTTAGTGGAAAAACACTGTCCAGGATTCTGGTACATCCCCTCTGCCCTCCCACCAGTGACTTCACTGATTTCGTTCCTGTCTGGAGAATGTTAGCAAACTGCCTGGGAAAAGCAAGCCACAGCCCTCCTTTTCACAGGCATACATAACCTGTCAAATTCTGAAATCCCCCCCACCCCCGCTTGACTGTAGATACACATCTGATCTAGGAACCCCAGCAAGGATCCAGTTCTAACACTGCCCTGCCAGGCCATGCCCCACCCGCCCATAGGACCATTTACCCTGCGCCACTTTCCTCTCTGCATACACGTGGATTAATACGCTGGAGCCTGTCATCCTATTTCATCCTTTCTAAATGTTAATTTATGCATCATCCATCTTAGAAAAAACACCAGTGCTTGACTCAATACAATGTCAGTTATAAGATTGCTATCCCTTCCACTCTGAATTTTCTTTTACGCCAGCTGTTAAACACAGCTGCTTGAATTTAAACGAGCTTTGCTTGGCTCTTTTTCTAAGATGACTCCTCTAATTATCTTTTATGACTTTCGTGCTCCAGTCTTTTATGACTCTCGTGATACAGAATGCAAGAGGGGGTGGACTTCAGAGGTTCCAACGTATTATTCGCTGAACTGCAGCCTCCGAAAAACTACCACCTCCTTTAAAATCAAAACACCGACTCGGCTAACCCATGACTGCCTATTTTAGTAGAAACTGCTATAATTTCGATCAGTGCAAGGAAGCCATGCCTCTCCCCGCATGAAAAGGGGCCGGGGCCGAACTCCGGAGGCTGCATCTGCAAGGCAGGTGCGGGCCGCCTGCCGGGTGAAGGCCCGGCAGCCCCAGCCCACCCGGTGAAGGCCCGGCAGCCCCAGCCCACCAGGACGCAGACCGGCCCGCCGCTCTGCGCGGCACGACGCCGCAGTGCCGTTAGCGGCGGCCGGCCGGCCGCTCCACGTGCACGCTCGGCCGAGCTCCCGAGAGGCGCCCTCGGGAGACCGCAATGTCACGACGGCCTTCAGAGGGCGGCCGCGGCGCGACACGCCCGGGGCCCTGCCCGGGGGCGCCATGCGCCCCGCCGCGCGAAGCCTGCGGCAGCGGGCCACCTCCAGGCGCTCAGGCCGGAACCCGCCCACGGCGCGGCGCCGGAGGCAGCGGGGCGCGCGCGCAGCGCCCCTGGGACCCTCACCCGGCCAGGGCCGAGGCCGGGCCTCGCGGCGAGCCGGGGCCCGGCAGTCGGGCAGGCGGAGGCGTCTGGCTGCAGTACCTGTGCTGTCGGCCACGTTCCCCACAGACGATGCCGCCATGGCTCCGGCCGCTCCGGGAACAGCGAGAGCCGCGGGGCGGCGGCGCGCGTCAGTCGGAGGCTCGCAAAATGGCGGCGCGGGCGGCGGAAGGAGACGCGCGGCCGCGAGGGGCGCCGCCGCGGCCGGATCTTCTTCCTCCACCTGCGACGTAGTCCCTGCGCCTGAGGAGCGGGAATCGCGCCTCCACTTCCGGAAGGGCGCGCCTGGGCCGCCTCCGCCACTCAGTCAACGCCTCGGGCGAGCGACTGCCCACAGAACAGGCTGCCTTGGCGGGGAGAGCTCGCTGCGGCTCTTCGCCGTAGCCGTCCGCCCTGGGGTCGCCACTGCGACACATTGGCGCAGTACGCACGCGCCGTGGGACGGCCGGCACGTGCCTGCCGCTTTCCTTTCTCAGCCACATCCGGAGAAGACGCGATGGCCGACGGGAAGGGAAAGGGTGGGAATTCGACTGCGGCAGCGCTCTGGGAGCCCCGCCCTCCTCGAGGGGGTCGAAAATGGGGGCGGGGCGGGGCGGGGCTTGGCGCGGGAAGAAGCTCCTCCCCCGGCCTTCCTCGCCGCAGCGCTGGCTGGAGGGGTGCACAGTGGGTCGGATAGATAGTGGCGCCCCCTCAACGCCGAGGGAAAGTTTTCAGGGCTGTGAGGAGCTTTTGCTTTGGAAGCCTCATTGCAACAAGTCCAAGTTACTAGTCCCTGAGAGGCCGCCTGCACCTAACCTTATTCCTCCCTTCCTGCATGCTCCCTGTGTGCACAGGCCTCCTAATTCAAAGCGAGGCTTCGGGGTGCAGCTCCTTCCCTCCCTCCGACGAAGTAAGGCCCGTTGATCTCACTGGACCTGACCTCCGAATCAGCACTCCTTGGGTTACGATGCCCTGTATTTTGGTCCCTTGTGCTGACAATTGCAGGTTAGCATCCTGCAACAGAGGGAGTTTACCTGATGGCCTTCTGGCCCCTTCCGGCTCTGCTATGATGCACAGGTACCTCTCTGTACACCACCTTTGCAAGGTGGGTGGAAGGATGGTACAGTATACCCCCGAGAAGTCATGGTTCAGCATTCGCAGCTTCAGCCTTTTGCGGGATTTTTCTCCGAGTGAGTCCAAGCCGACATCCTTGTGAGTAAGCCGGCGCCTTGCTGTGCGGCAGCTTACTCGCAAGGAGAGTTTGGACTCGCTTGGAGAAAACGATCTATGCACTGCCTGCCCCTGCCTGTCTCGCCACGCGCGTGCACCCCCACCCCCTGACCCGGCCCGCGCCCCCCGCCCACACCGCCTTGGCAGCCGGCACCCATCGCCGGCACCAAATTCGCAGTTTTTCACAATTCACGGGTGCTTTAGGAACGTCACCACTACTGTACCAGCCTCCCTCATGGATCATTGCCATGTCGTGGTGAAGGAGCTTTAGAAGGCCAGATCCTGAAGATGAAACTCAAATACTTGGCCACCTAATGAGAAGGAAGAACTCAGTGGAGAAGAGCCTAATGCTGGGAACAATTGAGGGCAAAAGAAGGAGGGGACGGCAGAGGGTGAGGTGGCTGGATGGAGTCACTGAATCAGTGGGTGTGAGCTATAAAGTGGCCTCTGGGGGAGGGTGGAGGCCAGGAAGGTCTGGAGGAATGTTGTCCATGGGGTCGCGATGGGTCGGACACGACTTCTCGACTGACAGCAACACTGTAACAGCCTCCAAAGGTCTTGATCTGGCAGTGGGGTCTTCAGTCACTGAGCTCTGGCTGTCTCCATGTAAACGAAACACCTCCAAATTTTACAGAAACGGTTTATTCACAGCTTGGGCAAGTGATTCAACAGACCTGTTCCTGAGCTGCAAATACAGCCTAGAAACATTCTCACAAGCAAAGTGACTCTATGGACAGGAATGGGTGATGGAAGACTCAAGTGCAAACGGGCCGTTTAAACTCTGTCGAGTTTGCAACATGTTCAGCTACACGAGGAATGAGTTAATGCACTCTGCATCACAAACATACAGCAGCTGGCTTTTACTAGGGAAAACGGACCCTTTAGCAGGATGTTTTGTATTTAAAAAACCCAACAGTTCACAGTAACTATATAAATGTTTACACATACACACATTAGCACATAATATTGCTTTTTAAAAATGGCACAAGAACACATGCCTCTCTGAGACTGGCAGTGCAGACTGTCCCATTCCACATTTTAGTGGAGAACAACAGAAAATGGTACATCAAGTCCTGGCCACAGGAGCGCTTTATTCATCCGAATCTAAATCACTCTCTCCAGCAATGGAATGGAAATCCTCACTATCTTCTTCATCCTCCGACAGATGAACCTGACGTAACACACTAGGGCCACACCGCTGTTCCTCCTCTTCCTCCTCCTCCTCCTCCTCTTCCTCCTCCTCCTCCTCCTCTTCAGAGATCTCATAGCCTCCAATGCTGCTGAAACTTGTATCTCGGGTGTTGGACTTTGGATCAGGTTCCTCATAGCTGCCATAACTGGAAAAGAGGGAAATTTCATGAAAACGACCCCACCACGTGTCACGTGTCCCTACAGCTTCAGCAAAGGAACCGCACGGAAGAGAGGAGCCGAAGGGCAAGACCTACAGGCGCACGCCTGCTCGGTGCGATCCCACACCCTAGGAAGGGCCTGCCCCTCCAGCCTGTCGCACCCTCTCCGCTCACCATCTCTCACAGCAAATCTCGGTGCAGCAACACCTCCACAGGCCCAACACCAAAGAGCCAAATCCTCCCATGAGAGGTTAGAGGACCGAGTCCCCCTTCGCCTTTTTTAAAGCCTTCTTCAGACCCGAGCGCCAGAATGACCCTTGCGTGAGCAAGGCTCAAATGCCGTGCGCCACACTCTGCCGGCCGCGTCGCCCGCAGCGCCCTCGCCTCCGCTCACCTGGCGTTGCTGTCCTCCATGGCGCGTGACGCCTCCCCTCCTGCTCCCTCATAGGACATCATGCTCTCCTCGTAATCCATGCCCATCCGCGTATTCTCCTGGAGGACGTGAGGGTGCTTGGGCCTCACTGCACCGGACTCGATGTCTGAGTCACTCCCACTTTCGCTCAGCTGAATAGCTGCTGAACATGGCAGAGGGGTTAGCCGAGGCTTCGTCAGTTTTACGCTGGCCACTCACCGCCTTCTCTCCTCCATCTCTGCAGGCTTCCCAGTCACCCCACTCTGCCACGGCGCCTCAGCAGCTGGTGCTGTCAAAGCTGGCTGTGCCACGGTGGCACAAAGAAATGCTTCCCAAGCATTCTGCATGTCAGTGCCCAAGTCCTGGCGGAGAGACTGTCTGGGCAGCCCATTAAGGGAAGCCAAAATGCTAAGGAAGGGCAGATAAGTGAACTGCTTTTCATCAGCTACTAAGCAGGTCTCTTACAGAGGCTTTTTTTTAACAGGGTTTCTAAGAGCATTTTTAGGTACGCCATTCAGAGCCTACCACTTATAGGGTGTCTCAGAATATCCTAAATAAATACAATTTATCTCTCACAAGTAATGATGTTACGGAGCTGCTCCAGTGGTACGGATTCTGCTCAGCTCTCAGTTCAGAAGCTTTCTCATGCATGTGATCTGCATCCTACTCGGTAGGCTTCCCTTGCTCTGGGAAGGTGAGGAAGAGTTGGAGGAGAAAGCAAGTGGGTCGGCCAGCTGGGTTCCAGTCCCTTCTCAGACACGGTGCCCCCTGGGCGCCTTCGGGCCAGCCACAGACTCTCAGCCCAGCCTACCTCACAGGGTTGCTGTTGTGGAGGTAAGTTTGAGAGCAGCAGAATGATGTGAGCCACTGTGAGTTCTTTAAAAACAAAAAGCGTGGGCTATAAATTGAATAAATGAGTGAAGGGTGGGGCAGGAATCTAGTAAAATATAAGGGAACCAGAGCAAAAGATTTTACTGAAAACATACTTGGCTCGTGAGTGTTTTGTGCCTTTAGAGCTGCAATTTGGAAGGCAAGTCCCTCCAAATGTTGTCTGACTCTAACACCCATCAATACGGCCAATCAGCAAGGATGAGGAGGCCTGGTGCCCAACACCTGGGAGGACAAAGGCCTCCACCTCTGCTTCTCGCTTTAGCAAGAGAGGTTTAAGACTTCTAAACAGATTTGGCATTTTGAATTTGTCTTTCACAGAGAAGCACCTCCACCTGTGTGGCTTTCTCTGAAATCCACCCTATTCTCATTTCCCCTCTGAAGCTCAACTGCACCCGCAAGCTATCGATCGGTCCTTGTTCTGCAATCCCCAGTCCTCTGGGCACAGCTCCTCCCAAACATTGCTTGCCCATGCAAAACAGCAACAGGAGGATTGGGAGGAATGTTGGTCCGGCACCCTGACTGGACAAGTTGCCACCTCTGGTCTCAGCTGGCACAGGAGTGCAGGAAGCTGTCTTCTGCTCAGTCATGTAGACTGGAGCAGTCAATGGGGTTTCGGGTGGGAATTTTCCAGCCCTGCCTGGAGCAACAGGGCATGGACCTAGGCCCTTCAACAGGCCATGCGTGCAGATCACTGGATCGCTGCCTGAATCCATGAGCGTCTGTTTCCTGCGCATTCGCTCGCTCTCCTCTAGATGACAACTTACACGAAAAAGGGTTGTCGCCCTCCTCCTCACTGCCATCATCGTCCTCTCCGTCAGACATGAGCAAATCCTCGTAAAGCACACTGGCCTGCGGTTGCTGGGCCGAGCCGTCCTCCTCGTCAGCCAGGTCTCCGTCTCCATCATCCACTTCCTGTCACGGCAGAGCAATCGGCGGTGAGCAGGTGCGGGGCCCTGCTGGCGCGCGAGGAACGCAGCTCTCTGCCCACTGGCCCCAGCAATGCCACCTCTTTCTAAAAACTGACGGGTTTGGCTTGCGTTGCAGCCACAACTGCGGTGCCGCTCAGAAAGGCCCTGTGCCTCTACAGCTTCTCCCATGAGAGCAGAAGCCAGTCAATGAGCTAAGATGGGATCAGGGATACTCACTGGGGCTGGAGTCTTAGGTTTCCCATCCTCATCCTCATCAAACCCTTCAATATCTACGTCAGAGTCTTCCTCGCCCAGCCTACCTCGGCCCTGCCGCATCTGAGTGAGGAACAGAGACAACGCCGTTGAGGAAGGTCCAGGCACTGACAAGACAAAGGCTCTCTGAAGCAGGCTGGCGCGCAGGCCGCGAGGCAAGCAATCCACAGCGGATTCGCGGCACTTTTCGCCTATCTCTGCGCGCCGCCACATGCCCTTCCTCTGCCCCCACAATGCCTTGCTACAGCCGCCTGGGCTTTCGCACATTCAGCAGGCTCGAAGCACAAGGCCTCTGGGGACCTGGTGAGCAAGCTCCCTCTCTCTCTCTGACCCCACTGCTGCCTGCTAAAGGTAGAGCTACTCCCCCAGAATGGCAGCAATCTGGACAACCGAGGTCCACAAGCCGCAGGCAAAGCTGAGATCCCACTGGGCCACAAAGGAACACGGGCTCATCTCCGTGCCGCTGGCGAGGGCAGGCTTCCCCAGCTCTCTGCCCTCAACATTTGCTTGGCATTTACGGTGCCCCGTCTCCTCCCTTCTGCTCCAAATAGCATGACATTTATTCCTGACACGTTTGACGCCACACCACAGAAAACAGTGCATCCCAAAGCCCCCAGTGCGCGTGGGTGCGTGCCCGCCTTCATCTCCGACACACGCCTCTTTCCCACTCATCTGCATCACGGGGCATCACGCGATCTCTGCTGCCAGAACGTAAATCGCGCGCTCTGTTTTCTTGCTCCATGGAAACCGGAGGGGCCAGTGGAAAGCGGATGCTCAGCAAATTCCAAAGCAGGGCGCTCAGTTCCACGCCAGTTTCCGTTCAGGAGGCAGAGCTGAACCAGGGCGGGCACTGAGGCCTCTTTCACCCACTGGCCAGGGCCATTCAGACAGGCAGGAACGCCCCGTCCCTCGCAGCGGCCTTGTGCAGCGACGGCGCTGTTGCAAGCAGCCCCTCCACAGCCGCCCAGGAGCTACGATTTTATCAAGCAGCTTTCCAAGAAGGCCTTTTGTCCAAGAGGTATTCTAGCTGCCGCCATTCTCCTGACTGAGCGAAGATGTTGTCAAAGAGTAGCCCTCCTACTGCTGCAGGCCCTGGTCTAGCATTTCTGCACAGGCTCCGCCACTCACTTGCAGGGAGAACCTCTCGTCCCTTCTCCCAGCCCCACAGACATGCTAGTAACGTTCCTGCTTCGGCTCGTATCTAACCTGCATCCCCTGCTTCTCAGGTGTGGTCGTGGGCGTGTCCATAGCAGACAGGTTGCTCTCATCCTGATAGACGGAGGCATCGCGGGACATGCTGAGAGACGTGCTGGCATCGTACAGATCTGGAGGCTGAAGAGCATTGGAAAAGAGGAGGTCACAATCCTGCAGGAGCCGAGTCGGGGGCGTGGAGCTCCGCTTCGAGGGAACGCCTGCAAGGCACACTGAGCATACACTGCATGAAAAGGAGAAGACCCGGCGTTCCACCTGCCTTTCGAGTGCCCTCATTCCTCTCGATTCAGTGCGATTTTTCCATTTTTTGGACAGCCACATGTTGAGGATTACATGAGCAGAGGTGCCTGGAGCCGGGGGTCAGACTAGATGACTCAGGAGGACCCTCTGACTCGCTTTTTTTCTATGTTTCCATGTTAGAGCAGAACCTGGGACCTTGGCAGCGGGGACAGCTACAGTAATATTCATTCAAGCAGGAGGGCGCCGAGTGTCAAGTTCACACAATCAGTGGACTGCTTGCACTTAAACAAATTTAGCTTTTAAAGTAATTTAGTGCTAATTCTTTTGTTGCACAAGAAGCAAAATAAAAGCAATTTCTTCTCTCAGTGGGTCAAACGTGGATCCACAGGAAGGGATCCTTTAACCCCCAGAAAACTCACAAGTGGTTTCTGTGCTGTTTTTAGCTGCTATTTTTACTGCAGTTTAAGTGTATTAATAGTCACATCATTCTTTTTGCAGGTCACCTTTGATGTCCTCACTGAAAAGTGGCCCAAAATCCTTAAAATAAATCAACAGCAACCAGTATTTTGCAAGCCCTTTGCGTAACCGAACCAGCTGCCACCTCAAGTTCTTCCTTCCATCGCATTCGACCAGAAAGCGACTGCGGGAGTCAGCTGAGAGTACAGCACGCTGCTGGGTGAGCTGCAGCTGCCTTCCATCGGATCGGAAAGTTTGCCCCTTGGTGGAGCCCAGTGCTGCCCACTCAGGCTGGCAGCAGCACTCCTGTGATGGAGCAGGGAGCGCGGAGCCCTTTAAAGGGAGACGGCTGGAAGACTTTAAACTGAACGGGGGGGGGGGGGTTCAGGCCCCCCAGAAACTTGTCCGCACTAGACAAGTGTGGGGAGAGGACCAGAGCTCTGGGAGCAGGGTTTTAGAGGCACTGCAGGGGCTGACAGGATTCCTACAAAGAGGGGACTGGTATCAGGGAAGATGAGAGGAAGGAGGAGGCTGGGGACTCCAAAGAAAGGCAGCGGTGGGAAGGAGTTGGGGTGCATGTACACCAGTGCTAGGAGCATGGGTAATCAGCAGGAAGAGCTTGAAGCTCTCCGGGGAATAGGAGGGTATGACCTGGTGGGGATCATGGGAACTTGGGGGGATGAAAGGCAAGACAGGAATGTAAACATAGAGGGGCATCACCTGTTTAGAAAGGACAGGAAGGGAAAGAGGGGTGGGGGCATAGCTTTATGTGTCAGGGAAGAGACAGGATGCAGTGAGATAGAATGCAGACATACAGCAGGTCGAGCACTAGAAGTTGGGACTTCAAGAGGGCCAACTTTGGCCAACTGAAGGCCAGACTGGGGAAAGTCTCCTGGGATAGGTTACTGGAAGGCAAGCGAGTTGAGGAGGGGTGGGTGGCACTCAAAAGGGAGGTTTTGGAGGCGCAAGCCTTGACGATACCTCTAGTTAGTAAGGCGGGGAGGCGAAGGAGAGCACCGCCATGGATGTGAAAGGAGGTGGTTAGAGGGATTAGATGAAAGAGGAACCTCCACTGGAAATAGGTACTGGGGCAAATAGACAAAAGGGTATACCGGGTGGAGGAGGCCCATTGCAGAAGGATTCTTCGCAAAGCTGATTACGAGCTGAGACTTCCAAAGAATATCAAGAGCAACAAAAAGGGCTTCTATCAACATGTAAATAGCAAGAGGAAGGGGATCCAGGGACTGATACGAGGGAACAGGCACAGATGCTAGATGACTATTTTGCTTCTGTGTTCTCCCCAAAGCAGGATGGGGGAGATCCGCATGGGAGATTAGATGAGGCCAGGGACTTAGGGGCACAGATTAGGGTCACCCCGCTAGAAGTCGAGGGGCTCCTCAGGCCACTGGACATTACAAAGGCGCCAGGCCCTGACAGGTTACACCCGAGAGTACTTAGAGAGTTGGCAGGGGCTCTCTCATGCCTGCTGGCCTCCATTTTTGAGACCTCGTGGAGAACAGGTGAGGTTCCAGAGGACTGAAGGGTGCCATCAGTAGTACCAATTTTCAAAAACGGTAGTAGAAGGGACATGGGGAATTACAGACCAGTTAGTCTTATGTCCATTGTAGGAAAAACAATGGAAAGGTTTTTAGCGAGAGATCTAGTGATGCTAGACAGGGAAGGGAGGCTGGTGGCCACACAACACAGCTTCCGCAATAACAAGTCCTGCCAGACAAACCTTGTGGGATTCTATGACAAGGTTTCGAGGTGGCTAGATGGCGGGGATGCAGTGGATGTGGTATAGCTGGATTTCAGCAAGGCCTTTGACAAAGTGCCCCATGATATCCTGGTGGAGAAATTGTGGAGTTTTGGGATAGATGAATACACTGTCCAATGGATTAGGGCATGGGTGACGGACCGAAAGCAGAGGGTAACCATTAGTGGGGAATCATCGGGATGGCAGCCAGTGACAAGTGGGGTCCCCCAGGGCTCCGTCCTGGGGCCAATCCTGTTTAATCTTTTCATCAGTGACATGGAAGAAGGGGTGAACAGTCTGCTGATCAAATTCGCAGATAATACTAAAACTGGAGCAGTGGCCACAACTGAGGAGCAGGTACTCCAGATCCAAAAGGATCTGGACAGACTATGGAAGTGGGCAGGAGACAACAGGATGGCGTTCAATGTGGAGAAGTGCAAGGTCTTGCACTTGGGGCACAGGAATGGGGGTCAGAAGAGCAGGTTAGGGGACAAGTGGCTGGAGAGCAGCACTTGTGAAAGGGACCTTGGGGTGCTGGTTGACTGCAGGCTGAACATGAGCCAGCAGTGTGATGCGGTGGCCAAGAGGGCGAACGCCAGCCTTGGTTGCATAGCCAGAAGTGTGGCTTCTAGATCGAGGGAGGTGTTACTGCCACTCTATACGACTCTGGTGCGCCCGCAACTGGAGTATTGTGCTCAGTTCTGGGCCCCTTGTTACAGGAAGGATATAGCCAGGTTAGAGTCAGTGCAGCGCAGGGCCACAAGGTTGGTGGCCGGTTTGCAGGGGATGCCGTATGAGGCGAGACTGAGGGAACTGGGCCTCTTCAGCCTGGAGGAGACTCAGAGGGGATCTGTTGGCGACATGCAGGTATGTGAGGGGGTGTCCCACGGAGGTGGGTAGAGACCTGTTTTCCCCTGCAGAGGAAGGCAGGACGCGCTCCAACGGAGCCAAGCTCAGGGAGCCAAGGCTCCATTTGGATGCCAGGAAGCACTTCCTGACGTCGGGACCCCGAGGGTGTGCAATGGGCTTCCACGGGAGGCAGTTGAGGCCCCCTCAGTGAGGGTGTTCAAGGATAGGCCGGACATGCACATGGTGGGCATGTCGTGAGTGGAGCCGGCTGGAGCCGGGGGTCAGTCTAGATGGCCCGGGAGACCCCTTCTGACTCACTCTGTTTCTATGGTGAAGTGGGGGCAGAGGGCCTTCCTCAGTGAAGCAGAGGCTCAAGCAGCCAGAAGCACTTAGGAATCTGGGAAGCCGCCTCATCCCAAGGCAGGCCAGTTCCTTGTCCACCCAGCCCAATACCGGCTACCCCACCTCGTAGCAGCTTTCCTGCCACCGAGCGCGTGAGGGTGCCTTTGGCAAGCATGCCCATGGGCCACTAGTCACGCCACTTTGCTGATCCGGATTCGGAAGACGAGCGTTTCAGCGGGATGAAAGGGGCAGGAGTTTGCTCATGGTCCTGACAGGCGGGGAGACGGAAGGCAATCCGTCCTGACAGGCGGGGAGACGGAAGGCTCAAGGGCACACAGACGGCGGGCCGGGCAGACCCAGGGAGGAGCAGGGCGATGAGACGCACGGGAGGGGCCACTGAGACCGCGGGGCCCCCAGGCAGGGACTGCCCCCTCCCCTCGGAGCTGGGCCCCTTGGCCTCACCAGCTGGGGGATTATGGGAGAGCGGCCCCAGGAGAGGAGAGCCGTGCGGAAAAGCAGCGAGCCGCTTCTGGAGAGCCTCTCCCTGGCCCGAGGCTGGAGCATACACGTGTTCCTAAGGAGGGTTTTGGGGGGCAATCGCTAGATTGGGTTCAACAAGCTACCTTGCGCATGCTCAGAGACTTGCCTGGATGATTTGCCACTGGGAACAACAAAGAGCGTTTTGCAAAAGGAACGGCTTGAGGCTGGAGCTTGTCAGAGGGAGGAAACGCAGTTCATGACACCTGCGCCTCCAGCTGAAAGGCCTGCCCAGTCTTTGAATAGAACATGCCAAGGAGTGAACTCAGCCTCCTCCATGCAAAGCAGGTGCTGGCTGGGGGATTATGGGAACTATAGTCCAACACCTCTACGGGCCCTGGGCTGGGGAAGGCTATAGCAAGGAGACTATATAGTGCAACATACATGGGATTCACACAGGACTAGAAACACGGTGAGCTTCTCGAAGGAGTTTTGTTTTCCACTCCAGGCCCCACCCATGACAGCCCCGGAGCAGCAGATGCTCCAGAGCTTGCAAGTTGCACTTCCCCTTTGCCTCCGGTGAACTGATGTCATCCACCGGCCGAAAACAGAAGGGTGCTGCAAGAGGGAGGCAGGAAGCAGACTCCAACTAACGTCTGGCACGTGGGAGGAGTGAGGGGGGTGCGCATGCACGGCTCATTTTGGCCAGCTGATTCCCAACACAGAGCAGCGTATCTGGGCTCACGGAGAAGGACGCCCACAGCAACAACCCCTGGCGGGAGGAGGAGGCAGCCGAAGAGGGGCAGCTGGAGGAGGCTGGGCACCGCTCTGCAATGCAGCAGCCACCGGGCAATCCAGCATTCCGCTCGGCAGCTTGTGAGGAAGCGGAGCGATTGCTAGGCAACTGCAAATTAAAGTAGGTGCCTCAGCTGAGCTTGGCCAAGAGGCAGAAATGATATCATACACTGGAACTCTGGAAGCCAGAATATGAAAAATCTGCCAAATTCAGCTGTAGAAAAAAGCAGACGTACGTTGTTATTTTGCAGGAGTCAACGTGGGAACATGCGAAACTGGCTTGTACCAGGTCAGACCATTTCTCCGTGAGTAGCGTCTACTTTGACTGGCAGCAGCTTTCCAAGGTCTTGGCAAAAGACGCTCTTCCCATTACTGGTTGGCTAATACTTTTGTACCTGAAGGTGCCAGTGACCGAGCTGAGAGGACTGGTAACCCGGCGCGGCAGCTGCCTGGAACAGTGCTGTGCATCTGCCTAAGCCAGCCTCCGTGAGGTTAGTGTCTGCTTTGGTGGCCCCGGCCAACCAGCACCCATGCTCAAGACCCCTTCCGGGTTCCACTGACGGGGCCGAGTGACTGCCCCGGACTCCTTTAAGGAAGCACCGTCCTTGGGGAGGTGGAGGAGCTGGTGGAATGGCCAGGCACCGGCTGTTGATCTGCCCTGAATTCCCAGAGGAACAGAAGGCGGAAAGGAAGGCAGCTTGGCTACCTCCATTTTCATGTGCCAGTTTCTACAGGCTGGTGCATTTCTGAACCCCGGCTGGGAGCCTGTCCGGTGGGAGACCCTTTCAGGGGATAAGGGTCTGTTCTCATTTTACTGTTTTGCATGAGGCACTGTGTCAAAGGGTCGCTGCAGCTTTTTGCATAACTAGTCCGTCCTTTCCTCCTCTCGCCCCTTCTATCTTAATAAAACACTGTTCTACCTCTAGAGCTGTGTGCTCCTCCTTCCAGGAAAACATCCACGCTCACCTCAGTGCCTTCTGGCCAGGTGACTGGCAAGCAGGGAATATCCTAGGCATAGGGGGTAATATAAAGATCGCCTATCAGGGGCTCATGGATCTCCTGACTCAGGTGGCAGCAGCTGGACCGGGGTGGTGACAGCCAGCCTGGAACCGCCTACCTTGCAGGGAGATTCAGGAACTCTCACTCCCCAGGCACAGGAGCCAGGAGTCACTGGCAGAGGTCAGCACTGAGAGGGGCGCAGATTTAATCCCAGGCCTCTCCCCTTAAAAAGTGAGCAGAGCAATGGGTGGCAAAGGCCCCTTCTGTGTGAAAGAAGCGAGAGCCTCTGGCGACCAGGACGGGGGCGAGCCTTCCTTGTGCCCAGAAGCCGTTCAGCGGCTTGGAGGGACCACCGTGGGAAAGCGCGCCGCCGGGCCGCAGAGGCGGCGTTCCCTTTGCAGCTGCTGCGGGGCCCGCAAGGCAACTCTTCTGGAGAGGTGGGAGAAGGAATATTTATACCAGGTCCCCTCTAAGTCACCCCAAAGGTGAAAAGCCAAGGGAGAGTGGCCCTTTGGTTGCTGTTTGCAGCAACGGCACAACCGTTCGTTGGTTTAGCCTCTCAGGTCTGATGGTGGGTCGCTAACTGGTTTTCTGTGGAGCCCCTGGAGGATTCCACCCAGGGAAGAGGGTCACATAAGGCTGGGTGAGAGCCAGCTGGGTCTCTTGAAGGAGTCCATTGTGAGAGGGAGACGAAAGCTGAGATTGGCTAAGAGTGGCGGAGCGACAGCTCAGAAACCTCACACAGCCACACCCAGCAAAAGGAAGCAAGTGAGGAAAAAGGCCTTCCAGTCCCAGGAAGGTCCTGCACCCTTCCTAGCATCCGGAGACTGTAGCAGCCGGGTGGTATATAAGAGCTTTCAAAGCAGATAAACGCATGGCGGTTATAGTGCTGATCGCAGGGGCAGCATGCGGGAAGCATCACCTGGGGTGTGTAGGGCCCAGGGGTCATTGGGTCGAGGCTCTCCAGGTCTGCCTCCTCCAGGGCCGCCTCCTTTGCCGTGGAAATGTCCCTCTCAAGCTGGGTCAGGTGCTCGTCGTACTGCAGAAGGGAGAGAGCGGACTTGGCTAGGCTGTCCGACAGGGAGGCTGCTCTCGGAGGGCTCCGCACGAGGGGCCGCTTACCTCTGCTAGCGTCTGGTAACAGATGTTCACGATCTCCTGAGCGGTCTTTGTGTACTGGCTGTCGGGCCCTGCAACGAAAAGCACGCAGTGCCCTTGTGACGGACCGTCCTTGGCCAATGCAGTTCTTTCAAGGGCTTGCCTAGGTGAACTCTGAGGCCTCTGGCTGGCTCTGCAGACGCCTCTCCTTCCTAGGAGGTGCTTCACACAGCCAGGCCCATTTACAGGAAAGACCTCCTGCCAGTCAGTCCTCCATTCCGCTCAAGTCTGTCCACCGAGAGACAATGCTCCATGCAGCCCAGTAACACCGAGAACTCCCCAGGGTTCAGGCAGGGTCTTTCCTAACCGCACTCAAGGTCGAGACCTTCTGCGTGCAGAGCAGGGGCTCCGTGACTGAGCCACCCCACAGAGGAGGACTGGGCCAGGGGCCAAAGGAGCCTGCAGAAGAAGATCCAGCGGGAACCGGCCTTCTCTGCACAACTCAACGTGTGAATGCCCCAACCCATCACGAGGCAGGACTAACAGAGGAGCCAAGTGCAGCTCTCGCCCTGGTGCTGGTGTGAACGCAAGCCAAAGGCCCAGGGGTCACAGCAGAGTGCCAAGAGGTCTTCTCACCATTGTATGTGATGCTGTTGGCAAGGATCAGGTTCACGTCATCCAGGAAGATGTCTCGGTTCTGGTATTTGTGCTTGGAGATGTTCTGAAACGATACGTGGGCGATAAGGCGGGGTGCAAAGCCGGTGGGAAATCATCGGGGGACACGGCAAAATCCTCATATTGGCCCTCACATAATCCTCCTTCCTAGACCTCATTCTGACTTGGGGAACCTTTCAACACAAAAGCCCTGAATGTCCAACAAGACCCAGTCCTCTCTTGACAAAAGCAACCCTTTCACTGTGGTTAAAAGAGTTGTGGTTTTATTGTGGGTTATTTACATAACACTTTTATTGTGGTTATTTTTACCACGGCTTTGGTCCAAAATGTGGCGTTTGGTGTTGGAGGCTAGGTAGGAGGAATTACTTCTGACATGGCTCCTCTCTCCGTATCGCTCTTCCGTCCGGGATGTTTTGCCTGGTGTTTGCAACACTGCCATCCACTCTGGACCTTCGTGTCACAGGTGCACCCACAGGTTCATTCAGCCACAAAGCCATCACACCGGGCAATATGCAGGCAACCCCACAGTACGCACCTTGCGAATTGTCTCCAGGTCCATCGGGCTGACAATTACTTTGTAATAATCGGGCACAAATTTCTTATTAACCGGATGGTGAAAGGGCCAAGACTGCAAGCAACAGAGAGCACAGAGAGGTCACACAGAAGCACCGCTTAAAAGGGGAACTGCTGCTGCTGCTGCTGCTTCGCGCGTCCCCAGCAGGCACTGGAGCTTTTGCACAATGTCCGCTGGAACCAGGAGACACGTCCTATTTCCCGTATCTGCCAACTGACCCCAATTTCTCTGGAGGTACCTGCAGTTCGCAGCACAGCCTGGCCAAACGCAAAGTAAATGCAGGAATAAGAAAGCTGCGTAGCCAGAGAGTTTTCTGGCTGCCCTTCGGCATTCTTTAAAAGGTGTGTTGCTCCAGTACAAATCCCTGGAGATGCACTGGGCCAAATATCTGCCCAGGGAGAAAAGCCGGGGAGATGGAGGAAGCAGACGTGCCGGCTCTGCCCCCGCCTGACTTCTCCAAAGTGCAGTGCACGCCTTGCTCAGGAGTGAGTGCGCCCTGTCCCAGATCTCCCCTGCCTTCGCCCAGGCCTACGGGCCCCCTAATCACATCCGCCGCCATGGACACACGTACGTCGGGAACAGCCATCATCTTCTGGGTGACAATATTGTCCAGAATAAAGGAGAAGGCTACTTGGTCGTCGTCATCCAGAAGTGGGTTAATTGCCTTCTCCAAACGAGCCAGTTTATCTTCCTTCTGAAAGGACACCAGGGAATAGAAGCACACAGCTTGAGAACAGGTTCCCTTAAAATAACTCCCATCTGGTTGTACAGAGAATTTGCTAATAGCTCGATCACTCCTGTAATAAGAATTTATTTTTAATATCTTCTGTGCCACCCAGCAATTCATGTTCAAAATTGCTTCACTGATGGAGGAAAGCTACTGCTCACATTTCCCGGAAATTTTGGGTGGTTTTCTACAAATTTATCATGGTTCTGAAAAGCAGATTATTTGGACAGTATAACCTGGATATTAAAAGTTAACCATAAGTTAAAGCAACCCACTGTTAACCTGTGAGATGGACCAGACTCACCAAACTGCAAATGCAGACCAGGATTCAGCACAGCCTTAAAACCCCCTGAGTGGCAAAGCTACCAGCTCCGCTTCCCTTGTTCTGACAGATGCAAAACTTGCCTCTTTTAGTTTTTGATCACAGAGATCCAGCATTGACTGAGAGATCTGGGTCAAGGAGTGCTTTGGCCCTGGAAACACAAGGCAGAAACATTTGCTGAAAAATACCGCCATGGCAGGGTGCTCACACCTGATTAACGGCCTTTATTTGAGGGTCTGAAAGTCAAGTGAAATATTTGGATTAGGCCAAATCAAAGGCTGCAAAAAATGCGAACTCTCAACTTCTCCAGACCTCTTCCTCAGGCAAGGTGTACCAGAAGGCAGTTTTGGGAGAGAGGGCAGGACCAGGACCAGGACCAGGACCAGGACCAGGACCAGGACCAGGACCAGGGAGAGGCTGGCAATAATTTTGTTGGCTTTTACTGGCATTCCAGTGTTGCAACAGAAATTATTTGAGAATACAATGAAGCTAATAAGGTTGTCTGCTGAGAGTTGGCCTTGCCCAGCTGAAAGGACAGTTTCAAACACATTTTCAGTTCATGGTTAGGTTGGACCCTTTCCTGCGAGTTAACTCCTCGGCTCACAGAGGCTGCCCTTTCTCCATCCAGTGCACCACAGTGTTTGTTTGACCGGGTGGTACCTTGCCTTCCTACCAGGAAAAATAGTGCTCAAGGTGGCTTAAAATCGTAACTAATACTTGCTTTAAAAAAAAGTTAAACAAATGCTTGAAAGCACAATTAAACAAGGCAGCGTTCCTTTCCCCTTTCCCCTGAGAGGTCCCAGAAGATGAAAAGCCCCAAGGAAAACAAGAAAGAAAATGTGGAGAGGCAGGTATTGCAACTTTTGTCAGCTAGGCAAGAAGTTCTGGTTCTGTTTTGGGACTCTCAGTTCAAGGGCGCAGCCAGCTAATTGCAAATGGCCTAACGCAAGGAGAAGGGAGCATTTCAGTAGGTCCAAAAGGCAAAATGCTCCTCAGTTGTCTGTCTTCCTCTTGTCTCACAGTGTCCGGAACCTTTTGCTTTTTCTCCTATCAGCCACCTTTAGACACGAGCAGGTAGAAAGCGTAAAGGCAACAGCTTGCTGGTAGGTGAGAGATACTTAAAGGTGGTCAGGGAAACTACTGGAGAAGCATGAAATGCTTTCAAGTACAAGCCAGGTCAGTTCAAGACGGAGCCACGTGAGAAAGGAGGTCTGCAGTCTTAGGCAGGCAGGCAGGCACAAACGCACACACACTAAAGCAGGGCCGGCAGTGTGGTGCCTGCCAGCCATCCCAAGACATCAGCCTGGGTGCCACCGCTGCCCTGCACACAATCTCAGGGCAGGCGCAGCAGGCCTGCACCCCACGTTAAAGCCTGGGTCTCTGGTTCCTAAGGATGTAGGCCTTGCTAGGCCTGGATTAGGGTTGGGGTTAAGCCTCTGGCTGGCCCCAGAGGGAAATCTCAGAGACAGCTGGCCAGCAAGGGGTGGTTCTGTGTAGCCCCACTGCCCAGACAGGAGTAGGCGCAGACGCTGGGGGAACAACTGCCTCCAGGGCTGGGCGCAGCTTGAGGAGTGCATCCCAGTAGCCAAAAAGCCCATGTCAGCCCTCCAAGGGCTGGGGGCATTGCCTAGAGCAGCCAAGAAGTTTTGATTGGAACCGAGAAGCTGAGCTGGCAGACTGGGTGGCAAAAGGTCCGGGGAGCAGAAGTGGGGCAGAGCTTTACCAAGCAGCCTACTTTAAAGCCACGATTTGCACGTCTCCCTTCCCCGCTGCCCCAGAACGAGCACCAAGCGCCACCCCACAGACACAATGGGGTCTCCTGAGGCTGGAGCCTTTTGTGCCGGAAGCAGAGGAGAGGCAGGAGAGAAGTCGTTTCTGTACCGTTGTACGTAGCGCTGTTCTTCACAATCAGCTCCAGTTGTTCTCGAAACTCCTCCCGGGAGGGGTAGAGGCGTCTGCGGACATTCTCACGCAGGGTTTGCAGATCCATCGGCTTTGTGATGATCTTGTAATAGTCTTTGACAACCTTCCCATTAACCGGCTGGTGGAAGGGATATGTCTGGGAACAAACCGGAGAAGGCAATCAGCTGTGCTCTGCCTGGCACCCGAAGAGGGCAACTGGCACCCACCTTCCCAAAGCAAGCTGCACCCCTCGTTTTGTCCACTTCAGAGCAGCCCTGCCGAATCGGACCGAAGCAGCCGGATTTAGCCTGCCTTGGGGGCTGGCTATGTGCAGAAGGCAGGTCGGAAATGCAAAGCCATTTGGGTGCTGCTAAGAAGCTCTGGACCTGGGTGCAAAGCCACGGGCCTTCCCCACCACCACGCCAAAGCAACTGGAGTGTGAACCTGGAGCTTCCGGTGACAGGCCTCCACTCCAGAATTTGACAGATCTTCTCTTAAAGCTAATTTGTTTTGGTTTGCACACCCAAATGCATTCCATTAAGCCAAACTTTCCCAGCCTGCCGCCCTCCAGAAGAAGCTGGCTGGGGATTTAGGCAGCTGGCATCCAGTGTCTCCGGAGACTGGGGAAGGCTGCAATGCAGACAGGGCGCATGAGGGGGAACTGCTGCAAGGCGTGTGGCACAAGCAGGGCGCTTCCCTGGGTCCTGCAGAGGGAACGTCGGAACCAGGCCCCTGGAATTGAGGGACCCCGCCGTTCACCCGCGGGCAAGGCAGACTCCCCTCCTCCCGCATCCGAGGGTCAGCCTGCACTCGATGCCAAGCATGGAGTGGTTCAGAAACAGCAAGAGCGGCCGTCGGGGGCCTGACCGGGTTCGGAACTGCAGGGCAAGTGGCCCTCCCCGCTTCCTCTGGTCCTGAGGAGCACCCACAACCCTCGAGGGGCCGTCCGTGTTGGGAAGGAAGCTCCCCAGTGGGTGCTTCCTTCCCCGTCCAAACAGCTGAGGGGAACCTGGGGGGTAAGCTGTCCCCCAACACACCCCATCCCATGGCTGCCGTTCCAGCTAGTTTGGCCCTACGGACCATCTGTAATACCGTAAAATCTGTATCATTGGCAAGAAGGGTGCAGGGGCAAGATTCAAGCCGGAAGAAAGGGCACCCCCCACCCTAGGACCAGACCCACAGAGCTCCTTCCCTCCTTGGCTTTCCCCTTCCTCTGCCTTTTCTACTCAGCTCTCCTTCTGTGTGCACTGCCGGCCTCCCCCAGGTGCTGAGAGAAGCCGCTGATGGCGCAGCCAAACTGCCTGCCCTGCCCTGCCCTGCCCTGCCCTGCCCTGCCCTGCCCTGCCCTGCCGAGCCGGCCGGGGCTTTCCCTGTGGCTCCTCCACCCCCAGCCAGATGACAGCTGAGGGGACCCACCCCACTCCTTGATCCTTGATCCCCACACACAGATCAAGGAAATAAGCGCTACGTGAAGCAGCGGTAAGGAGAAAGGGGCGGGCGGGCCACACTCTCCCCTTCCAAGGACCGCAGCCAAAAGCACCCGCCCAGACTCCCAACGCTGCGACGCTTCGCGGGCCGCCCAAGGCACTCGTCCTGCAGGTATCGGGCAGCGCGAAAGGCTCTCGCCCCCACGCCCCATGGCGGGCCAGCGCGCAGCGAGCGACAGGCCCACGGCTCTTACGTTGGGCAGGTCTCTCATGTCGTTGATGATGCCTTCCAAGACAGAGGACAGCGTCACCATGGGGTCTGTGCGTCGGCGGTGAATGGATTTGTGAGGCCGCTGAAAGAGAATGAGGGAGCTTATGGCCGGGCTTCTGAGTGTCCCGTGGCTGCGCACCATGGCGGACCTTTAGAAGCCGAGAGTGCGCCTCTCCGAGCCTCCAACACCACCAAGGCAGCTGTCCCCCCCCCCCCTCTCTCTCCCTCTCCCTCTCTCTCTCTCTCCCTCTCCCTCTCTCTCTCCCTCTCCCTCTCCCTCTCTCTCTCTCTCTCTCCCCCGCCCTCTCTGGGGTAGGGGTGTCTTCAATTTTACCACAAATGCAAAGTTTTAGAATCATCACATAGTGGTAAAAATAAGAGAGAATAAGAGTACTTAATATGAGCCTTAAAATAAAGCTACTACATAATATTACGCATGTTAAAAGAGGTTGGCGGGGCTGAAGCAATAGCACCTGTTTCTAACGGAGGAGAACCAGGGTGCCTCAGGGGCTTACATTTAAGTAGTCACAATGAACCGTGGTTCCGATGCGTCGCTTCTTCTTTGGCGGGAGCTGCTGCTTCGGGAACTTCAGGACTAGGGACTTCCTGCGAACCTCATCCGCACTGTGAGTAAACAGGGAGAGAGAATGAAAGCGGCGTACTGTAAATGATGAAAGTCACATCCGTGAGATGGCTGCTGCTGTAAAATAGAACTGGACAAATTTACAGAGAACTCATCCAAGTCCGATAGTCCTCATGGCTCCGTGCGACCTCTAGTATTGGCGGCATTATCAGCAGCAGCAGGATCATCTTTGCTTCTGCACTCCAGAGCAGGAGCCTTTTGTGGGGCTGAACTGGCACAGCCGCCTCCCCGTGGACGCAGCCGCTGAGGAACCGGCAGAAGCCACGGCCCTCTGGTCCTGCCAGTGAGCCTCTGGCGAGCAGCTGGGGGCTGCTGTGAGCAGAATGGGCTTGAGGGACCCTGGTCTGATCCAGCAGAGCTTTTCTTGCGTTCTTGTTTCAGCTTCCAGCTCCTCTCCATCCAGCGGGCCTCACTAGCCCTGTGCCCCAGGATCCCTGCGACCCCTACACCAGTCAGCCCCCACTGAAGACTTTGGGAAGCTTCAGAGGCACTCCCGGTTCCACACCCTGCAGCCGCCCTGCTGAGGGGACTCGGGAGCAGCCTTGCCAAGCATCTCAAGGCACTTTTCCAGAAGGCCGTGAAGCATCAGGTAGAAGCTTCTCCTTTTAGCAAAGCTTTTGATGGGTGCATCACACCATTTTTCTATTTAAGGGCATAACCTTACCCTTTAGACAGAAAGAAAAGTCCTACAACCTCCCCAGCGACCCTGGGAGCTCTAGGACCTTTCCCTGCGCACCCACGTGCGGGGACTGCATCCGGCTTGCTACGTGAGCAGCCAGGGGCCGGTCCTGATTATCCACTCGATGAGGACATTTCTATTTCATACATCTTCAGTACTACACACGTCTAACTCGATCATCTGTCACCTCGGGTACTTCAGGAGAAAACGAAGAGACTGTACCCATAAAGCCACCCGGCACAGTGAGTCTGCTTGGTTTTAAACGTGGAACGCAGAGGCTTGCAATCTGCGAGGCGTCAGTCAAGCCTTCGTCTGAGTTCACGGCAGCCGAGACGGGAGCCCGGCCCGGCCCGGCCCGGCCCGGCCCGGCCAGCCGCGGGATGGCGCCGAGCGCCTCTCTGCCACGCCTCACCTCTCAATGAGCTGCTTCCCCAGGACAATCTTGGTGCCTTCCACTTTGATGAGCTCCTCGTTATCGTTGGGGATGACTGTCTTCTCCAGCTCTTCTTCCTGCTCCTCTGTCATGGCCACGGGGTTTGACGGTGGAGCATTGGTTTGGTAGTAGAGTGGGCAGAACTTGTTGGTCCTCATATGCCCGATGGCGCCGCAAGCGCCACACTTCAACTGCGGCAAAAGAGGAAGAGCGTGAAGGACCACGACGTCCGGTTTTGGGAGGGGAAGCTGTTGCCCTTAGTGGCGAAAGGTGGATGGGCAGGTGAGCTTCCCGGGCAGGCTGGTAAGGCCGCTAAATGAGAATGGGGCGCCGAGGAGAAGCAACGGAAGGGAAGGGCTTCCGCCATCTCCTGCCAAAAAACGCAGAACCACGTTGCTTGGGGTTAGAGACCGACAGCATCCCAACAGCCCGGACGCAGCTCGAGGCCAGGTGCACGCCAGAAAGAGAAGAAAAACCTGGACTCTGCGCCAAGGCAATCCTTATCCAGCAAAACCCACCTGCACGATTACACCAACTAAGCAAGGCTGCCTGTCTCCCCGCTGCAGACCTGGGGCACGGGGAGGGGACCACCCGGGGGAAAGGTTAAACTGTTTCGTGGCTCATGAAAATTCCCAGGAGTGCCCAGCTACCTTCAAGTCTGTCCGCTCCTTCATCTTCTTGGGTTTCTTCTCAGGCGGACCCTTCAGTTTTTCCTTCTCTTGGTTTCGCTTCAGCCGCCTCAGCTGCTCCTGGATCCGGCGCCTCTCCTTCCGCATCTCCTCCCGACGCTGTTCATCATAGATGGCAAACTTCCGGCTGGAACCGATACGCTACCTGTTAAAGGCTCCAACGGGACGAGCCCCAGCTCTGCCGCGCTCTGCGCTCTCAAACCCAGGAGCGAGAATGCCTTTTGCGAATGGGTCCAGTCCTAGGCAACCAGGAACGATCTGGCTGGGACGGCGGCTGAGCACCTCCCTCGCGATTCTGTGCAGCTCCAGGCACAGAGAAGCTGCTCTCCACCAGCCCTCCATGCCTGGGAGGCCAGGCCAATCTCACGTGTAGCACAAAAACAGCCCGAAACCTGCTGCAGACGCCGCTTCGCAAGCGGCGACGCCCCCCAGCCCACTGCCGGAGGGGAACCAAGGCCTCATTCAGCCATATGCTGGTCTCCCAAGGCACCTGGTGTGCGGGTGGAACACAGCACACGACACCTGCTGCCCAGCAAAACTATGCTCCTCTGCCAAGGAATTCTATCTGACTCCCTCCCCAACGAGATCACCCTAAGTTACTAGCCTTTTCATTCCAAAGGATTTGATTTTATCTGACTCCCTGTGTTTGCTCCTATTTTTCTTCCCTATGTTCTTTAAATATGAATTTTAAGGTGTGCTTCTGACGTGCACAAAGAGGCAGCTGTATGTGTTTTTAATAAATCCATCAGGAAGAGGGCCCTGTGTATCCCGCCCTTTTGCACCTCGCCTTTTCAAAGGAGATTCCCGCCCTGTTGGCATCTCGCTCCTACAAAGGGGAGCACCCCTTTCCAGCAGGACCTTACATGAACTCATCGTCCTTGGTGGTCCGGATCCTGCTGTAGGCATCGATGACCGAGGGCTTGCGGACGGTCTCGCATCTCACATACTCCTTCCCGTCTTCATCACAAAAGGTGCGGTATATTTTCAAGCGCCGACCGGTGGCAGAGGAATTGAGGCTGGTCACTGAGGCCGTGTCGTCGTCTTTGTGAGAGCCCCCCAAGTTGCCAGGGGTGGAAGCTAAAAGACAAGCACAGGGGAGAGCCGATGCTGGGTCTCCCTACGGCAAGAGGCGGACAAATGTCCAAAGCGAGGCTCGGAGGCCCAGTCCACGCAATCCTGTGGGGCTGAGGTGCAAAAGCGAGCCTTGGCCTGGGATCTTACGTTGTGGGCCGTCCCGAGATGCGGAGGCATGTGGTGACGGCATATAAAAGTTTTAAATCTATCAATCTATCTATCTATCTTTCGGACAGCACAGGAACCTCTGCCTCATCTCCGGAGACAGCCGTTCGGACAATGCCACTCCCCGGCAGCTGCTGGCACCCGCTGCCCGTTCCGTCCCACTCCATGGGCCCCGTTCTTTGCAACTTCCCAGAACGCCCCCCCTCCTCCCCCCAGTCTGCTCTCCTAGTCACGCCACTCGTGGCAATGGCCGCTCAGCTGCTGGGTCTGTGCGGCCAACTGGCTCAGAGGCCCTGACCAAGAGGGGCTTTTATGCCCCCCACTGATCTGCAGCCATCGTCTGACGGCACTCCGCGGGTCCCCACCACTCGCCCAGAGAGCGGCCCGCTGCCCAGCACTCACAGAGCCCCTTCTTGTCCCGCCGGTCCTTCTTGCCCCTCTCCTTGTCATTGCCGGGGTCCTCCCCCATGAGCATCCTCTGCAGCTCCTTCCGCTCCTGCTCCTCCCTCTCCCGGGACAGCTGGGAGCTGGTCTTCTTGTTCTGCAGCATGTTCTCGATGTTCTTCCCCATCTCCTCGAAGTCGCTGTCCTCTGCTGAGCTGCTGTCCGTGTCGGTGGACAAGATCTCCGTGGATTCCAGGACCCTGAGGCAGAAAACCACAGTCGACGTCCATCCCTAAAACTGACATCAGGATGGCTTTGGGCAGGAGGGAGACACGAACCTCGAAGCTGCCCCTGACCGTCTGAAGCAGAGAAGGATCAGCGCGTGTTACGGAGAGGGGTGCGTGGACCTGAGGCAGGACCCAAACTCACTTGTTCTGCAGGTCGAAGATGCGCTGGCACTCTTCTTTGTACCTCTCCTGGTGTTCTGCAACGGAGAAGCGAGAGCCCCGCGCAAACTTGCTCATGGGCCCCTCCCCAGAACGGGCCTGCTCCGTGGACATGGTGCGCACAACATCAATCACCTCCCAGCGGGAGAGCTTCTTGATCTAAGGAAGGAGAGGGTGACCAGCTGCGGAAAGCCCCGGGGAGCCTCCTGGTGCCAGGGAGAGCGCTCCGCCCACACCCACCTCCTCTTCTGGGACGCCAAACTTGCGGAGGAGCTGCTTGGCGTTCTTGAGAGACAGGCGCCGGAGATCCGCATCCGTCCCCGTCACGGTCTTCTTCACAGGCTGCGGCTCCTTGTCATCCTGCTTGAAGAAGAGCAGGCTCTTCCTTCACAGCCCCACCTGAGCAGCCTCCCACTTCTCGACTCAAGGGGAGGCCGCACTGAGACACTCTGCGGCAGGCCCACCCTCTCCAAGGCCCCAAGGGGGGCTTGGGCGCCTTCTCCCGCCCTCTCCTTGCTCTTGGACAGGAGGAGGCAGCTACTGCAAGAGGCCCCCAGCCCAGCCCCTGCGTCACCCGCCCGGCTTGGCCTACCTTCTGCTGCGTGGGCTTGTTGGGGATTTTCACGTAGGAGAACCCTTCCCCACACCCAGTAGGGTCTGCCACTCCGGTCACTTCAAGGAGACACTTTCCCTTCATGGCAGCGATGAACGCCCGGGTGGTATTCCAGGGGGCTGTGCGCACCTAGCGGGCGGCAGGCAGGAGCCATCAGCAGTCAGGGGACGTCACCCCATCCGCCCCCCAGGGAGGGTCTCCTCCCACAGGCATCTGCCCAAACTGCAGGATCGTCTTTTGAGGGACCCCCCGAGCACCCTGCCAAACGAGGTCAAGTAAGTGGCCCCTGGGGGACAGACTTCTCAGTCCGGATGCCCCCTCGTGGAATGCCCTCCCCAGAAAAGCCGGCCGGACCGCTACCCCACCGTCTTGTGTGCCCGTATTTGTTTTCCCAGGCTTTTGCACCTGTCTCTCCTAAAAGCTGCACTGCTGAACTTTTCGATCTTTGCATGGCTACCGGCGTTTCCTTTGGTTTTATAATGCACTTCTTAAATGTGGGGTTCCACACTTTATCACGCGCTTGTATTTCATCATGTCAACTTTTATAAACCACACGGAGAGTTTCAACTATCGGGCAGCACAGAAATGCAGTAACAGGTCAATCTGACACTCCAGCCGAGAGCATGCAAACTATCTGCTCTGTGCCCTTTCTCTGCCCTGCGCCGTCTCGCTTCTACCTCATCGTCTATCTTCATCTGGAAGTCCTCCTCGTTCTCTTCTTCTGGGGCAAAGAAGGATTTTTCCCCATAGCCTGCATCCTGAGAGGAGAGAGATAAAAGCTAATTTTCTGAGCCACTTGGGACACACCTATCTGCCAGTTCAAGCAGCCAAGAGGAACGTGTGCCTGATTCACGGGAACATCACCTTCAAGCGCAGCTCGGCAGAGATCATGCTGTAGTAGGCGCAGCACTGCTCCGGAGACACCATCGCTCTGATTTCCTCTTCGGACGGCAGCCGGAAGTCAGGCTTCAGCACCCACCAGTTGGAGTCCATCCCTGAAACAAGCACAGGTCCCCACTGAACCAGGCAAGCAGCCTTCCCTCCCGTCGTCCCAGGAACTGGGGAAGCCAGCGGAAGGGTCCGCCGCTTCTGTGGCTGAAGGGGGCAATCCAAGCCACAGGGCACAGAAAAGATTTGCTGCACCATTTCCGAGGCCCTGAAGCACCGTGCTGCGCTTCATACTTCACCTGAGCCAGCCGTTTGCCAAACCCACCTCCTCATACCGTCCAGGTTGCAGCTGCTTCCAAAAGGTTGCCTTGCACACTGAGCAGCTGTTCCTCCGGACAAGAGGCAAGGGGGCGCGGCACACACTCAAGTGCAGCACCAGAATGAGGCAAGGCGTCTGTGCGCTTGGCTCTGCCCTCCGAGACATTACGCAAGGGGAGGCCAGCAGAGGGGAGGACTGCTGTCCATGTGCATTTTAAAGGTAAGGAGCAGGCAATCAGCTAGAAATACTTCCTGGGCACGTGGTGCCCTGGGTGCCACCTGATTCCAGGACAAACTGGGACCCCGGCTGGCCTGGTCTTCGCCCCTCTAGCCAGAAGGAAGCAGCTCTCCAGAACTGCTGGCACACCTGATCCTTTCAGCTAAAGAAGGCACGGGTTCACTGCGCCACGGTTCCTGCCCGGGAAGGTGACAGCTGCCCAAACCCGGTGGGGCGGCCCAGGAAGGCCTGTTGCCCACCTGTGCGCTTGAAGTCCGCACAGAGCTTCAGCCGTTTGCGGATGCTGCTCTCGGAGTGGGATGGAAACGCCTTCTTAATATCCTCCATGCGAATCCTACGCGGTCGATCTCTGCTCTTCCAGAACAGGCGATATATGAAGACCTAGCAAGGAAGCCGAAGAAACGACCTGAAAACACAAGCAGCCCATGTCGCGTGTGTAGAAGGGACCTGCGAGCGGCCCGGGCAAGCCTCCAGGCAGAGGCCACCGCCTGTCCTACAGGCAACTCACTTCTTCTGTGTTAGCAGGCAGCCTGAATCTACGATCGAAGGAGAACGCAATCACTGTGAGCAAGCGAGGCAGCCATTCCTGAAGCTGCCAACCAATCCGAGCCGGGGAAGGGCACGTCCTGCTTCGACCTCAAGCGGAGCACCCGTTAGCCCTGCTCCAAATATATTCCCTCGGCCTGCCTTCCAGCGGCACTTGCCCACACTCACAAGTGCATGGCAAGCAGTCTTCCCAAAAGAATTCCCAACTCCCCTCCAACTTGCCGCAGAGTTCACTGTTCGCATGATTCCCCCCAAAACCCACCTGCAGGAAGTCTCGGATGTGAGTATTTGCCCGTTTGGAGTTGGGACCAGGCACTTCAAAGAGAGGACACTCCTGTCCGACAACAAAGATGTCCACCAGCTCCCGAATATAGTAACCTTGCCGCGTCCGGATTATTAAGAAGTCTGTTTCAGGCATCTTGTGAAGATAGATTGGAGCTCGGAACAGATTGTTTTCAAATGCCTGGCCAAAGAGAAGAGGGTGTCTCAATCAACTGTCATGGTGGTGACAGAAAAGCAAAGACCCCGTGTGACCTGGCGAGTTTTGGAGCCCCTTACATTTCTTCAAGACAGCCAACAGAAGCTGAAAACCATTAACATATTCATACAGAAGACTTTAAAATTGGTTGCACACAAAGCTTGCCATTTTCTGTCCTCCAAAGGTGACAGCTCATGTGCCAAGCCCCAAGAAAACCAAACCACCGATTCTTCGCCTGCAAAGATTCCCAGCTCACTCTCTGGGGCCACTCATTCATTCAGCTATCGCTTCCACAGCCTGCCTGCCTGAGCTAAACCAGAACTAACCAGGTAGATAGATTCTAGCAGCATACTTTTATTAATGTTATTGCTATTATTATTTTCACCCAATAGCTGAAGCTTTCTGGAAGGTTCACAACCATTCACGGCTTGCCTAAGCCGAAAGAGCTCACAGATTATGGCTCACAACAACCGCGTCCCCAGCAATTACGGCTCCTGTGAATGGTTCCCACTTATCTCGCTCATATTTAGGCCTGGCCAGGGTAGGAGTGTAGAGGACCCCGACCTCTGCGGGTGGAAGGACATCCAACGGGCACGGCCTTGGCTCCTGAACCCTTTGATCCACAGCCGACGAGCCAGTTTTGCTGTGGCCACTGGGGACGGGCGCAGAGCAGGCGAAGCGGCAGCAGCCACAACTTCTGAAGTTGTGAGGCTCAGACGCGGCCGGCACAGGAAGACCCCTGCCCGCCTAGATCCCCGCTCATCTCCGAGCTGGAGCTCCCCTGCTCCAGCTCCCCAGGGAGATGCCCCAGGCTGTCCCGGCAGCCTCTGCGGTGAGGGGGCCCCGTCTACCTCTGCCCCTCCCCGCGCAGCCTGCATGCACCGTGGGCCAGTTCTGGTCTCCAAAGGCTTCCACCAGGATGGGTCTGCTGGAGGTGCCGCAAGCCCCCTGCTCTTCTTGCACGTTGCAACATTCCTGCCGGGAGGCATTTGGCCAGGGATGCTGCCCAGGCAGCCCTGCGGCAGCGGGCACTGCGGTCAGCTGCTGCTCACCACAAGCACGTCCCCTGCCGCTTCCGCACACAGCCGCGGGTCCGCCGGATGCTTCTCCCGATCGTGCTGGGATGTGGGCGGGGGGGGGGCGCCAGCCTGGCCCATGGGCTTTGCAGGCAGCTCTCCACTCTGCCACCGGCTGTTCTGGCACAGAGTGACTCCTCCGCAGTTCGAATCATCCGGCAGCTCAGCCCAGGCACCCAGCAGCGAAAGGCAGGCACCTCACCTGAAGCAGCTGGCCCGGGTGAAGAGAGCCCAGGAAGGGGGAAGTGTGGCAGTACACAGTCTCTCCGTATTTACAGTCGGGGGCCCCTGGATCCTTGCCCGGTTTCTGCCAGGAAGAAGACAACTGGAGTCAAATGGTGGCCTCCGACTGCAGCCCCTCCGCGCCGGCAGCCCCCCAGGAGCACTCACCCGCTTGTAGTAGTTCTTGATCTTGCTCGCCATCCCAACCTGCATCATTAAGGGGGCGTTCTCCTCGCTGTACTCCGCCAGGATGAGGTCTCCGTCCTTGCCGGTGAGGTCCTGCGGAGTGCGCATGAAGAACATCTCCCCGCCGCCGGAGGCCTGGCGCTCCTGCTCTCTCATCTGGGCACAGGGCAAGGTGGAGATCTCAGTGGGCTGCAGGCAGCAGGGAGCACGCACCCCGCCCAGCAGCAACAGCGGGACCCGCTCTTTCTCCCCGGGTGCCTGAGGAGCCCAGTGGGAAACCACTGGGCAAAATGCAGCCCCGGCACGGCCTGCCCAGCGACGCGGCACAGGCAGGAGACGAGCGCTTCACCTTGGCTTTCTTCTTGATCTGCTTCAGCAGGGGCTGTACCGGATGGGGGCCGGGCTGGGACAAGGCCCCAAAGGAGTACTTCTTCAGGGGAGGCCGGTGGAACTGGCGCAGCTTCATGAGACTCATGTGGGTGGGGAAGAAGGGCTGCCGAAGCTCCACCGCGGGAATCGAGTGCTGCACCGAGGCAAACAGACATGTGCACTTAGCAGAGGGAGGGCGGGTGGTCCCCTCTCAAGACAAGGCATCTGTCCGGGCGCCACTAATGCGCAGGGGCTGCCACAGAGGGGCGTGCCAAAGCAGAGCAGATGCCGCACCCTGAAGTATGCGAGGCCACGTGGAGCCCCAGGAGCAGCTCCTGCAAGCCGGTCACGAAAGCTGGTTCAGCAGGATCTGCCCGGGGTCTCCAACCTTGCCAGAAAACACGAGGCAGGAGACATCATGGGAGGTTGCGCGCTGTCCCCGGGGAAGCCCTTCCCGGAATGCTGAGGCACTCTGTGCTCAAGCTGCATGCGTGCAGATGCCACACGCACACGCCGCGTATTCCTGCTGCTAGTCCAAACCTGAATGATGTTGCCGCCAAAAGTTCCGCGAAGGCCCTGCTGCTTGGGGTAGTAAAACTCGTCGTTGGAGAGGTTCCATGGGTCCTTCACCTCTGGCTGAGACATATTCTGCATTTGGGGCAAGGGAAGCGAGTCAGGCGCCCTCCGCTCGCCCACATGGCCCTCCTCCACAGAACGGGACGCCACCCCCACCAACCTGCTGTGGCTCTTCCTTAATGACTCCTGTTTTGCCCAAGAGGATCCGGCTCTTTTTTAGAGAAGACTCTTTCTTATTCTCCTTGGAAGGAGAATTCAAGGTCATCTCTTCCTTCTCATCAGGAATTTCTAGGAGGCAGCAAAGGAGAAAAGTGTATTCCATCATGGTTCCATCTCCATGTCAAATAGGGAAGGGATGCACAAACAGAGAGAGCAACAGCCAAATCCTTGATCCTCCGGGTGCTGAAGGTGGCTGAGGGGCCCATCATCCAAAGCATCCTTCCAGATGGAGCCAGAAGCGTGGCGGTGGAGTGGTCTGGACCACTGCACTGCCATATTGCGCTGTGGGGCTACTTTTGAAAAGGGTGCTGCAACCTCAGCAGGTCCAAAATAGGCAGCCAGGATATGACTGGGGAGCAGCCAATGGGATCATTTTATGATAGGACTGTTCCATGAACGGCCGCTGTGAGTCCCTTTTGAGGCCTAATCCAAGTGCTTGTATTAACATTCACAGCCCTGAAGTCCCTCAAGAAGAAAAAAGCTGGCATATAAATACTGATATAAACAAACATACACATGCCTGGGGGGAGGGGCTCAGGGTACCTGAAGGAGCATCTCCCCCCATATACACCAGCCCAGACTCTGAACAGTCCTTCTCCATGGGCCCCCCAGAGGATGTGGGGAGGGTGGCTACAAAGAAAAGGGCTGTGCCACCCAGGCATGGAATGACCGTCCCCAAGACGCTCACCTGACCCCGGCATGTTGCGCTGCCAGGTGGAGACCTCCTCATTTTCCCAGGCAATTTGCATATTCTGGTTCTGCTGTTTTAAATCTATTCGTGCATTTTAATTATTTGCACTGCTGCTGTGTTTCATTTTGGTTTTTATTTTGATGATACGCTGTAGTTTTAACATGTTTATATTCTGCTTTATTGTATTACATTTTATTTCTCTAACTGGTTTAAACTGCCCAGAGTTTCGGCTACTGGGCAGTGCAGAGACATAACACATAAACAAACAAGTGAACTCCCTGATCGAGAAAAATATCCATCTGGGCTGAGAGAGCTGTTTCAAAACCTTTAAACCTGAAGCTCTGGTTCTCTCCCACCTACAGACTTTTGTACAACAGGTCGCCTCATTTCATCTTCCTGCAGCTCAGTTCATACTACCCTCGTGCATAAACATTTCTATGTGACACACTTCAATCTAAGAGAAAAAGCAGCTTTACTCTCGGGGCTTCCACAAAGAAAGCTCGGCAAGTTCGTTCTTCCGACAGTGCCAAGACTTCTACAGCACTTCACACAACCGCACTTCCCAAGTTTCCTTGGAAGGAACCATTTTCCAGGAGGCAGGACGCATGGCCCTTCGCTGGAGACTGGGGCAGGAAGCGGCTGAGGCAACTGCTTTCCTCAGCCCAGCTGAGTTCTGCCTCTTCTGCACTCTAGGAAATCGTTGTGCCACAGAGGAGCAGGGGCAGGAGAAGGGCTAGGGCAGGCCAGGCCTTCCAGCCCAGCATTCTGCCCACAGAAGTTCTCCGCTCCCACTTTTCCCTATCAGCAGGCCAAACGGGAGGCGGCACTGGTCCTTCGAACATACCCAGGATTATATTCTCATCGTTCGGGTCCAGGGTCAGAACAGGCGGAGCCAGGACGGCCTCCATCGCCTCGTCATCCCAGATGATGAGGTCCTCCCAACGACCATAGACCAGCTCTTCGTTGTCAATGGGGAAAATGGAGAACCACGGCTTGTCTTCGTCCAGGGCTGCTGCAAAGAAGCAACAAGGGTGCTTCAGTCATGACCCCCGTGTCTCCCTTCCTGTCCCCCGCTCACCCGGAAGAGGCCTAAAGCCTCCCCACGGGACGGGATGCCCCAGAGGCACTCAAGGAGAGAGCGCAGCTCTGAGTAACACTGCATGGCCCGTTTTCGCAAGAGAACGGGTCCCATGCAAAGGAGGTGCCTGAGACGGTTCAGAGGGAGAAAAGACCGGTCATTGCTTTGCATGCTGAAAAGGGAACTTCTGGTATTGCCACCTGTCCAGATTCTTCTCTGACCCACCTCCGTAACAAAAGGTCCTGAACTGCTTGGATCGAATTGTGTAAGATCAATATGTGGCAAGTAAAAATCCTACCGGCGCCAAGCTGCTTCTCAACTGAAGCGCGGGGCAGCCTTATCATAGGTCCAGATCCTGGAGGCGAATGCTGCGCCTCGCACAGCCCGGCCCAGCCCACCTCTCCTCCTTACCCTGCTGCTCCGGAAGCTGCTTCTCCTTGCCCTTGGCGCTGCCCAAGACTCCGGCCAGGCTGGGCTTCTGCACCAGGGGGACAGGCAAGCGGCTCAGCCCTGAAAACGGAAGCGAGGGAACGCTGAGGAGGTGCTGGCGCTGCTGCCCCCGGAAGCCGCTCAGGGACAGGCAGGCAAGAGGGCTGCCCTACCCTGCTGGGCGTTGTAGGCAGTGGCGTTCCGGGTCATGCTGGAGGGCAGCCAGCCCGCCAGACTGGCGCGCTGCGTTTTGGTCCCCTTGTGCTTGATGTCCTCCCCGTTCCAGATCACGTCGTCCTCCCACTGCAGCTGGGTCACCATGAGGAAGTGCTCGTCCGCCAGCAGCTCGTCCTTCTCGGCCTCGGAGCGCTAGCAAAAGAGACGCATGCTGCCACGGTGCCAGCGGGCCCGGCTGCTCCCCCTGCAGGGGAGAGGCACGCAGCCCCTGCCAGGGCTCTCCCTCCCCGCTCACCTCCTTCCCCGTCGCCACGAAATCTTTCAGCTTGAAACCGTAGTCAAAGCCGCTGCCGTCCTCAGGGATACCCAGCATGTCGTACCAGAGCTGGGCGGGCCCGTAGCGCCATTCCGCCACCCTGGGCCTGGTGTCGGCCACTTTGTCTGCATCCCCGGTTGACTGCGAGAATTTTGACTCCACGGGTGCCATCATGGTGATCTGCAAGACAAGCCGGGGCGGGGGGAAGCGAGGGGGCTCCCACCAAGCTGAGGACACCCTAGCGCCCCCTCTGCAGCCCCTCACAGGGAGCTGGCGGAGGCATGCTCCTCCAGACACCCCGCTTGCCCGGGTGCTCTGCTGGGAGAGCATGGAGGCTCTCCAGCATGCCCGCCCCCAGCCCCGAGAGCGCTCCCCTGTCCACAGCCTCACCTCATCATCAGAAAGGCACTGCTCTGGCGGAGGCGGCGGGGCATACTCATACTCCCAGGGAGACTTCCCCTCCACGCCCACCTCGGCCACACTTTCTCCATTCTGTATTTGCGCTTCAGGGACTAATTCCCGGTGCTTCTTTTTGCGCTTCCGGCGGGCACTGCGCCAGACGGATGGGATGTTCTTCCCTGGGCCAAAGAGGCGCAGGAAGCGCAGGACCTGGAAGGAGGAGGGGGGAAAGGAAGGGCCGGAAGTGTGTCCCAGTACAGAGAGAGGTCCACCCTCGGGCCACGTTTCCAGTGCTCTGGCTGATGGCAAGAGGGCGCCTGTGGTGGCACACCTCTCTCCGTGGGTGGCAGGACGTGGGGCAGGGCTGGGCCACCTGTGCTCTCCATCCCCCATCAGCCCTCGTCACGGGCGGGGCGAGGCGAGGCACGAAGGCCAGCCTCTTGGAGGGCCGAAGGCTGCCTGGCAACAGACTCGAGGAGCAAAGGGCACCATGCTGGCTGGCAGGAAAGGCGGGTCGGCCCTCCGGGCATGGCTTGGGCACCTCTTTGCCCTGCAACGAGACCACTGGTCCATCTCCTGGCAGGAGTCTTCCCGGGTTCGGGCACCATGCAGAGAGGCTGGGGACTGAACCAGGGACCTGCTGCATGCAGAGCTGCCATGGAGCCACAGCCCCTCCTGGAGGAGCAGCCTGGCAGGGCCGGCCACCGGGCGGCTCCGCCCACCGAGCGCTGCTCAGGCCTCTGGCAACCCAAGCCCGTCCTGGAAGGAAGGCCCGTCAGCGCGGGATGGGGCTCTGCCTGGGCCAAAGGCCAGGGCTGGGACTGGCCTTCCCCGGCTGAGCTCTGCACAGCCGCTGGGAAGGCCTCGGGGCCCCTGGGCTCGTCACTCTGCACTGGGCAGCGCGCATGGGCCCCCTCTCACGTCCCCCCTCGGGACGGCCGGACTAGCTGGATCCGGGATAGAGAGCCGAGCGGAGCACCCAGCGGCAAGTGCTGAAGGGGGGGGGGGGGGGGGGGGGGGGCCAGGCTCCCCCGCAAACCCTGGGGCCCCCCCGGGGGGCCCAAGGTCTTCGGGCGGGGGGGGGGGTTTCCTTCCGAGGGCCCCACCTTGCCTGGCCGAAACTCGGGGAACAGCTCAGTGACGCCAGGCAACAGCTTCGTGGCATCGCGCTGCATGATGCCCGCCAGTGGCAGCGTGAGCTGGCCTTCCTTGGACTCAGACGTCCTGGAGGCCCGGGACCCGGTTTCCGATTCCGAATCGGAGGAGCTGCTGGAATCCGCCTTCTCTGAAGAAGCAGCGATGATGGAGGGCAGGATGATACCACCACCATCTTCAGACCCTGGAAGACAGCACGTGCCCCGGAGGAAAGGAAACAGGCCCTCGCCCCTCTCCTTGTGAACAACTGAGACGCACCTGACTGGCTGCACCGAGAAGCTGATCCTACAGCTAACCTAGGGACCTGTGGCCCGCTGGCTACTGTTGGACTAAAATTCCCATCCTCCATGGCCACGCTGCCTGCAGCTCGTGAGAGCTGGAATGCAAATATATATGGAGGGAGGTCCTGAGCACTTTTATAATCCTCGGCCTGATCCGGCACAACGTGCTTTAGCATCTTTGAGCAAACACGCAGATCCACGCAGCCCTGAGACAGGGGAGGAACGAGGAGTGGGCTTCAGAAGTGCGGTCAGAGGGCTACCTTAAAGTCTGCTTATGTTTCAAATGGAGGACTAGCCTCTGCTGCAGTCCCACTAAAAGCTTGAAGGCCTCCAGCATTCACAGCCCACCCTCAGGGATGCCCACGCACCGGAAGGACCCGGATCCTTCTCATCCTCTTTTTTCAGTGGCACTGGAGGAGGGGGAGGGGGAGGCATCAGCTTGGAATCAATGTCCTCAGAGTCAGCATCATAGTCGTCATCGTCATCGTCTGAGGGGAAAAAAGGGAATTCACTGGGCAGGCGCCACGTCGCAACTTTGATCCATCTCCCTTGCTAGAGTCCACCAGTGCAAACAGCCACCATGCAAAAGCGTTCTGTTCCCTGAAACCCTGCTGCACTCAGCTGCTTCTTCCTATATGTGCTGATACAAGGTTTATGCTTCCCTTAGTTTGCAATTGATAATAAAACCATCTGAAAAGCAAAGAACAGCATACCAAAAATATCTGTGCTTCACATGAATAAACAATCTCCTGCTAAGATCACAATTAACTGGATACCTCTACGCGTAAATAGCTGGAGGAGAAGAGGAAGACCGAAAAAGACCTGGCATGAAACATTCCAAAATAACCTAAGAAGTATCAACCTTGAATGGAAGGATAAAAAAATGGTTGGTGCAGACTGTACACTCTGAGAGAAACTTTTAGTCCAATGAACTTTGCACAGGACATAAAGAATGTCAAGCAATTCTTTAACATCAGCCAATTTTAACTGTATATGATTAATTAATTAATTAATTAATTAAAACATTTCTACGCCGCCCCTAGCCGAAGCCTCAGGGCGGCTCACAGCATACAATAAAATACACAATAAATTAAAATAATAACAATTAAAATATATACATTAGAATAAAATAAGCCGCCCTGGCCAAATAAAATTCAATAGTATTAACATTTAAAATGCTGCTTAAATAAAAAGGTCTTCGCCTGGTGCCGAAAAACAAATAACGACGGCGCCAGTCGGACCTCTCTGGGGAGCGCATTCCATAACTTAGGCGCCACCGCTGAGAAAGCCCTCCTCCGAGTAACCACCCTCCTAATTTCCTTCACTGAGGGCTCCCGGAGGAGGGCCTCTCCCGCTGATCTCAGGGGGCGGCTGGGCATATATGGATGTAAGCGCTCCTTCAGGTAAATATGTCAGTTTTATGCCAGTTCATGGAATAGCTAATTTATTTTGTTTAGGATTTAGAATAAATCTGTAATCCGCCCAGAGACGACAGTTATGGACGACCTATAAATTTCCTAAATAAATAAATAAGGAGAATGTAAATGTCGATCGGCATCTACTTCAAGAGTTACAACAAGGGTTGTACAAGAAAGTGTCTGCCGACAATTACCTGCTTTCTGAATTGGCTGAAGGCTGCCCATTGCCTGCCGGTACCTGCGACTCTCATCTTCGGCCACCTCATTAATGTCAGAATAATCAACAGCATCTTCAGTGCTCTTAACCCAGCCTGGGTGAGGGGCAGAATGAGAGGAAACACCCAATCACACAAAACATGACAGATAACACCTCTCTCCTGTCACACTCCCTGGACACACACTTGTTAAGGCCACACAAACACGAACACGGATTCTGCCAGACTGCCCCAGCCTTATGCAATCCAACAATTGGGAGAAAAGGGGAAAAGCAAAACAAGCAATGGGAGGAAGAGAGCGCTTTTGCTTAGACAACAAGAATACACTCTCCTCCTCCTGACAGAGAGCTGGTGAAGGCAATAGAGAAAGATGATATACGTTTGTAGTTTTTATTTTTTTAATCCAGGTGCCTAGTTGAGGTTTAGTTTGTGCCAGGGCCCTCCAGCAGCCCTGCTTGCAGATCCTCTTCAACTGTGATCGAGGAGAGTGAAGAAAATCTGCAGCTGAGGATCAGGAGTGCGAATGACTGAACAAATCCCAGACCATCATTCCACTGCCCACACTGCTCCTCCCCAGCGCTGAGGCACTTTCTGCAGCACTTCTAAGATGCGCGTCGGATACCCGCTAGAAGCAACCCATGAAGGTTATAATCAGAGAAGGTTTTCAAAGATAAGCAAGCAACCATCACTGGAGCGCCAATTCAACCTGTTGAGCCCATATTTCACACACATACAGTGGTCCATTTGTCTGTGAGACCTTCCTTACCAAATCAGCAGAGCAAAAAGGTCTCTCACCTTCTTCATCCAGTTGGACTCCATCTGTCTCAGATGCATCATCTTCAGCAGCTGTGATTTCAGTAATGAGGCTGCCCAGCCCCAGGGCCCCAAGTCCAGCCAAGTGATTTTTTGATTCCTGAGGGAGGGAGGGAAGAAATGAAAAAGATTTGAAACACACTGCGCTGTTTTAGAAGAAAGTAACAGTGTATTAAAGATGATATAGTCAGGAGACCATAACAGAAGTACATGTTGGAAACGTATACAAGGTGGAGCAGATATTTGGTGGCTAAGTGGATGTTTGCCAAGGAGGGGTCCTCCAGTTCAAATGCAGCAGCTCTGGTTAAAAGGAAGCAAGGGTGCAAGAAATCCACTGCTGAGAACCTTGAGAATCACTGTCAGCACACCACACTGGATTAGATGAAGCAGCTTCCAGCATTCAATACATGTTTGGAAAGTCCCTTTTCTGTGCAGGCAGTGGCCACCGGCCACCTCCTGAAAGTCCAACAGCAGGACACGCCTGCGACAGCTCCCTCCCATCCGTGTGCTCCACTTCTGGGATGCAGATAGCATTCAACCATCAGAACTAACAGCCCCAGAGAGCGTTCTCCATGGGTTTTCCGATCCCCTTCTAAACCGGTAGACATCGCTACTGCCACATTTTCGGGACGTGAATTCGCAGCAGATGAGGTCCAGCCAGGCGGAAATCACGGAGCTGCCCAGCGGAGACGCCTCTCCGGAACCTGCCACAGGCGCTATCGCTTGCCGCCCTCCAGACAGGGCCGCCTGCACCGCGCTCGGCCGCGGCCCGCAGGACCCGCACGGCCCGCCCCGCTGTCTGGCGCCCCGCCCCGCCCCGGCCGCCGGCAGGGGCGAAGCCGCCCGAGGCGCCCACCTGGTCCAGCAGGCCCTCCCCCTCCAGCTGGCCTTGCTCGTTGATGTTGCCGAAGAGGAACCCGGCCAGGGAGAAGGGCGTCGCCCGGCCGCCGCCGCCGCCGCCCGCCTCCTCCTCGCTGTCCGAGTCCGACATGCCAGCGGCGCGACCAGGCGCCCAGCCGCGCCACGCCGGAAGCGGAACCCGCGACCTCCTGCGCAGGGCCGCCGAGACGGACGGCTAGAGCGGCCACTGGGCGGGCCGCTCGGGCGCCGCCGCCGGCTCCCGTCAGCCCTTGCGCGCGCCGCGCCGGGGGAGGGCCGGTGCGGGCGGGAGGCCGAGGAGCGCGGGGCCGGGGCTGGGGCCGCCCCAGGCGCCCCATTCGCGGCAGAGCCGCCGCCGCCGCCAGCCTTGCCAGGCCCGCAGGAAGGCCAGCATCAGCCGGGGCCCGACGCCGCCCAGCCCCGCGCGGTCGCCGCGGCTCTTCCCACCCCGCACAGGCCTGTTTGGCAGCCGTGCCCGGCGGTGGGAGGGCGCCCAACTGCCTCCGAGCGAAGCGGGGTCTCCGCAAGAGCGGTGCCCCCTCCCTCCGCTGCGCCACGCTGACAGGGGCCGCTTTTGCAACGTCTGCTCTTTTCTGGTTGAGTGTTTGGTTAGTTCCGAGGGGCAACATACATCCATTTTATTACACAATTTGGAAAATCGGCTGCCCACTAGCTGGACCAGATGGGTCTGCTTTGACCCAGTTTTTAAGAGATGGGGGCAATAGAGGTATGTCTCTCGTGCACTTACTTTTTTGGCAGTTACATTTGTAGCAGGCATCTCCCCACCACCACCACCCTCAAGTGGTCACAGGATGCAAAACCAAAGCCAAGGCAGCAGCAGGCCAGAGAAGCAATGCATATCGACGTTCTTCCCAGGCATTTTGGTCAGGGCAGTAACACTTCAGCAGCGACTTGGCAGCTGACAAGGAGACCCTTGTAGGATGGAAGAGAATGATGCGATAACTTCAAGTAAGGCTAGGTAATTGACAGTCTCTGCTGCACTTTCTCTGGCCTCTAAGGAAACAGCACCATTGTTTCAACTCTCAGCCACCTCTCTTGCTCAGAAAGCAATTTTAGGCATGACAGGATGCATCCTGCCCCTAAATCTAAATAAGTTAACTACATAAAAATGGGCATTCTTAAAAACTTTTTTATCGTATTAGAGAAAAAGATGTTTGCATTCCATACAAGATGCTAAAGAGGCTTACCTCCAATCTTAAGACAAAAGCTTAAGGGAAAGAGAACACACCCATATAATAAATGAAAATAACCAAAGAAATTATGCAAGAAAATGCTTTATTACAATTTAATTCTGCATAATTTAAAAATAACTTTGTTAGTCGCCGTACAAATGTCTTTTAACTATAAAAATCAGTTGCCAGTGTATGTTTCAGTACCACAGTGTCTCAGAGTTTCCTTGCACAGTAAGGCACATGTGGCCCACCCAGCCGCCATGTAAAGCCTCAGTTCAGCCTTGAGAAAGCTCTTTCATGAGAGGTCAGAAATCCTCCCCCCACAGGGCTCCACAGCACTGTGTGGTGACAGGGATGGCTTTCCGTGGCTTTACAGCTGGCATGTTCTATACACTAAGCTGAAGATCCACTTGCAGAACTATTAGCCTGCAGGGACTGGTCCCCCACAGTCTTGTACACAGTGATGCTTTGCCTGGCATTGAGAACGGACTGGGACACATTGGTGAGGCCAAGCCAGCATCGCCGTCAGTTCCTAGTTGCCCAGAAAGTTCATCACCACTTCATACCCTGAGAATGGTCAGATCAAGGACAAGGAAACCAGACTTGAATCTCTATGTTCGGGGCACAGGGAAGAACACCACAGTTTAGTTACAGAAATCCAGTCGCGTTAGTCTCAGCTCCCAGAACGTCTAGGTGTACATTTGGTTTATCCATGATAGGCATGCAGAATTTGCACACGGCCTGAGTTCTGATCCTGCTCCATCACTTGCGCATCTGGTTAGCAGCAAGTCAAGCAGCTCACAAGCATTATGATTCCCAATTCAGGCCAATTTTCTACTCCACTGGTACACATCAGAATCACAACCATCTCTATCACATAAAGCATAGCTAATTCGGAGTGGGGCCAAGCTAAAAACAGGACAGAGTTCTACTTCTCAGCATTATTTTCTTAGTAGCACCACTGCACATCTATGGAGAAGCTACTCATAACACTTTCTCAGGAACTGCCATTTGTAAACTTGTTTGTCAAATAAACAGCTGTCCTTGTCAAAACAGAGAAGCTACAAAGCATCAGATTCTCTATCTTGATTCAACTGAAGAACTTGAATTTGGCCGTACTGTCTCAGCTTAGGTGAAGTGTTTCCTAATGCCACTAGATGAAAACATTGTTCATGAAGCTAAATGGAGGCACATGTTTAAAAAATGCATAATTCTTTTTCAAGAAGGGAAAGTTAATATTTCAGTGAAAGTTAAACCCTGCTTATATGCATCTAGATTGGGTACCAATCTAGATTTAAAGAAGTAACCAACCAGAGCAGCATTTTAATAGTACTCACACTTGACTGTCGTTAAGGCAAGCAGTCATTGACCTTTACCTGCAGAAGGGAAAACAGTAATAACAAGAAGGCACAGAAACACCACTTTTTAGCATTAGCAGTCAAGTTAAAAAGGAGGGTGGCAGTCAGCAAACAAGCTTGCTCCTAAAAGGCAAGGCAGGTCTTTCCCAAAAGGCCACGTTCACAAGGGTTAAGGCCAACCACAGCTTTTGCCAGAGGAGGAGGATCCTTTGCAAAAGCATCCCCTAAATGGTGCGAAGGCCAGCCAGTCCAGTGTCTCCTTAAGGGGACCTGTGGTACAGTAAGCTTTTCTTATCGCCATGGCCAGACAGAGCTGCCATGGCCATCTCCTCCTAGAGCAAGCGTGATGAACGTATCATCTTTGAATGAGGAGCTCTTTTGCCAAGTTCGGAAACCTCATGCTGTGCAGCATAAGCCCAGCTTAAGAGGTTGTGTGTGGGGGGGATGTGTATTTGAAAGAATGCTTTGGCTTCCTGACATGGAGGAAGGGCAGCTTCCGAAACAAACACAGGATTCCCTAACCTAGAAAGCCAAAGAGACTGATCTGATTCCCAAAAGCTAATGCTATGAAGAGGGCACAGCTTAATTTCACCTTATTAAACAGAGAGGCTCCCTCCTTTGCACCTGCTTAAGTGTGCTGTTACACAGGGTATCTGCTGGGCCTCACACACAGGGGAGAAATTTTAAAAATCAGAATGCATTTTTGGATGCTCTCTAACAACCTGACATGATTTCTGGAAAAGCACAGCTCTGTGTATGCACAAGACAGCCGACTGATGCTGAAATGGATAGTGGAAGCCATGGCACGTCAAGAAGAATTAACCGCAGTCTCTTTTAGAAGGACCGTATCTTCGGTTTCGGTAGCAAAGAAAGCGACTGGCTTTGAGGGAGGGCCTCCCATCTGTTGCTTTCCTCTTCTGAAGCTACAGAGGACGACACAGGCAGGGACGGGGAGGATTTGGCAGGTAGGCTGAGCCTTACACCTGGAAGCAGGACATTCCTTTCAGTCTCTGGAACTGGTGCCTGAATTGTAGGAGTGCTTGCCATAAGGAATCTCTCTTCAAAGCCATTAGTGCAAGATGCAATTAGATTAAGGAGGCGACCTACAAACATCCCAAGCCCGGGGTCTTTGCTCCGCTTTCCATGAGGACTACAACAGAAGACACTTCTTGGAGTTCTTCTTCGTCACAGGATACAGAACGGCGCGCACAGCTTCCGCAAACACTTCTCTCACCCCCTCCTGGTTCAGCGCTGAGCACTCGAGGTATTTGACCGCTCCGATCTGTTTGGCCAGAGAAGTTCCCTGCTGCGGGGTGGTGGGGCCCAGGCTTTGCTCCTTCAGCTTTTTCACCGTCTCCACGTTACTCCTCAAGTCCCTCTTGGTGCCGACAAGCAGGATTGGCACGTTCGGGCAGTGGTGGGACACCTCGGGGTGCCATTTGTGCCTTACGTTGGCATACGAGGAGGGGCTCCCGATGGAAAAGCAGATGACAAACACGTTGGTCTGAGGATAGGAAAGGGTGCGCAGCCGGTCATACTCCTCCTGGCCTGCTGTGTCCCAGAGGTTCAGACTAACCATCCTGCCGTCCACCGTCATCTGGGCACTGTAGTTGTCGAAGACAGTGGGGATATATTCCTCCGGGAATGCATTCGTGGTGTAGCTGATGAGCAAACAGGTCTTTCCCACGGCGCCGTCACCAACCACAACACACTTTATCGTCTGCATTCTTGCTCTCTGTAGGGAGGAGTCCTGCGCAAACAGAGACACAATTCAGAGGAAGCCCGGCACACTCTGAAAAAGGAGCTTCGAGGATTACAAGAATAGTTGACCCTAGACAGCATAAGGAGCAAAGGATGGTCGTATCCCACCCCACCTCCCCGTTGTCCTGGGACTGCAAAGCTGAAGGAGACATGCTGTCCTCTGCCATCATCAGGGGCCAGGGGCAGGCTGAAGCCCTGCCCAGAGAGGCACCAGGCAAGGGGCAGGCCGACCTGGCCCAATCCACTGGGCAGAGAAGCACTGCAAAGAGACTGCTCGTGCCCCCGCTCCCACCGTCCGAAAGAAAACTTCCCCCAGCCTCTTGCCAAGCCCACGCTGGCTTCTTCTCTCTCCGGGGGACCCCAAGGGGTGCTGCGTCTGCGTTTGTAAGCTGAAGCATGTGTGTGGAGGGACTATATTTGCGTAAACACAATCTGGTGAAAGCTAATTTGAAGTTCATTTGATCGGAAATCAGAGGATAAATCTCAACGAACAGTATGTCCTAATGTAAAGGCAGAAGAAAAGATCAGGCCAAGGAGCTCATTACATCGGTTCCTAAAGACACCACCAGCAGCCTGAGAGCATTCTTCTTTTTAAAATTACTTTATATAGTACACTACTTTAAGAAAAGCATGCTACAAATGCATTAACCATAGGAGTGAAGCACAGCAACAGAAAATAGGTCATTTTTCAGACGTTATGCAAGAAAAGCAAATGGCCAGCCAGGAACAAGCCAGAGGCAATTAGAGAACAAGCCCAAACCTGGCTCAGAAAGTCATCCCTGCAGCAAGAAAGGCACGGCTCTTTTCTGGCCCTCATCAAGCATCTCTCAGCATCACGATTTTTAGGGACTGCAATGTGCTCCTAAGCAAGCCCTACTCTAAACAGAACCCAAGTACCTTGGAGACATGCTTTGCCCGGTGTATTTTAAATGGGGACTGTTGTATCTCTCTCACATTTTGTTTTACCTGTTTCCAGCTTCCTGCTCTTGGAAAGGTAATCCTAACAATCAAGCCAAAGCCTCCAAGGGTAAGAGCAAGAAATGAATGTGGCACCCCATGATTAGCTTTCCAGTCTGTTCCAGCTGATTGGTACAGTCTTAACTTTAGTTCTCTACTGACAAAGCTAGAGTAGCACAGGGGAGACCTTCAAGGTGAAGTCTTCTACTTGGCTGCGTTAAAACTGCCTGCCAGCCATTCCACCTTGGCGGAGGATCCACCCCTGCAGTCTGAGCTCAGCAAGAGCTTGAAATTGAGGATCTGTGATGGAAGTCAAGCCTTTTCCAGCACCAGGAAGGCTTTCTGGGAAAACACAAAGAACTGTTAGAAGCAGGCCAAGGACAGATTTTTCAGTAGGCTTGAGCGGTGACCAAAAGTAATACTATGAACATGTAAGAAGCTCAGAACAGGAAGGGTTACTGAGAAGAATTAGAGAAGTATTTTTACAAATGAGGAAGACTAACACTTTGAAACTATTTGGCACAGGGGGAGTATCTTAATCTGTTTTCCACTGAAATATTTATGTATTGCAATAATATGCATGCTCTCACGTACTTGCCAGGGACGATCACAAGAAAAACGTTAATTACCAGTTTGAAAGTGCCAACTTTGAGAGAATTAGCAATTAGCATATCTTCATTGTTACTAAGGAATTTATGAAATGGAAACTTTGCCACAGAAAAATGAAGTGCTGGAAAATATTTCTTCCCACAGCATTTACTGCAATTGTCAGTACTTTCCAAATGAATCTGCTGCAGTTGAATTTCATTCCTGGACATAAGACCCAACTGTTGCACACTCTTGCATACTGGAATTGCTAAACTAGCCTGAACAAGAAACAGCCCTTCAGCCTTCTTCCTCAGAAGGTACTATTTATCTCTGGAGATGCTGCTTCCTGCTAAGCAAGACCCCACCCCTGAAGATGACATGGCCTGTTCCAAAACCTCGCAGCCGAACCACTTCCTAGGAGAACACATCTTCACAGGATAACGCTCCGAGGAGGAGCGCCCTGCAGCCCTGCCTTAAGTCTCTTCCCTCCAGCCTTAGAGTGACCTTCCCCCTACCTCACCAAATCTATAAATCCAGGTTTTTTGTTTTTCGGGGGTGGTGGTGGGTGGGGAAGAGAAATAAGAAGCACCACCCTCGCACTTCTCGTCCACACAGTGGCACTCGTCCATACAGAGCTCTTCTGAATTTTCCCAGCACGTCAGCATCTTGCAGGAATATCTTGCAGTCCATGTTTTAGGGACATGGTGTTCTGAACCAGGAAAAACAATGTGACTGGTTTGCGCTATTCTTGATGGACGGACGGACGGACGGCCACCAAAGAGATGCAGTCACAAACTGGGAGGGAGAAGTGCGCATGAAGCCACCCACTGGTCAAGCAGCGTCCCAGCGCGAGCTGGCAGGCTGGACATGAAAGCTGGGACAGGGCGTGGTGCTAGGCCCTCCGTATCTAGAACGCGCCAGACTGGGGAAAGCTGCACTGTGCATAAGGCCATGAATGCCAAGCCTCAAGGACTGGCTAACTTGGGTCTGGGCTACTTCTATAGGCACATATCAAAGTGGCATAAGCTACCATACATTCGCATGACAGGCAGGGGAGCTCGAAATGGGTTGCTAGTTCACCTTGGGTGGAACATTCACTTAGAATATCTGTGAGCTACTCTTCTACCCAGACTAACAACGCGTCACCACAGTTTATCCTTAGGCTTTCTCTTTGCCCAGCAAATGTTCTTCAACCCACACGGCTCCTCAACCCACTTCAGCCCCATACGTTAAGTGGAGGCAAACCACGCGCACTGCAAAGACGAGATCGCAGGGGCTGCTTTGAAAAGCAGATCTGAAAGTGCAGCTGTGAAAAGGGCACTCCAAACTCACTGTCTGTCTCCTGCTGGAAGGAAGAGAATGTGGGGCTGCGTAGCCACAAGCCCAGCCCAGCTGCAAAGCTTCCTTTGCCACAAAGCACCAAAAGCCCTCCTGGCCCACCCCGTTCTCCAGCCCCCTTGTCCTCGCTAATGTGAACAGCTGCAGCTACAGGCAGGAGCTCGGCTCACCTGGCATCGCAAACACCGTCCCTTAAGGCACAGATTTCACTGTCAACGGCTGCCACTTCCAGGGAGGAAGAAGACAAACCACTCTGGGGCAAAGCTGCTTCCCCACCCATCCCAGCAGCTCTGCAAGTGGGAACGCTCAGCGGTGCCTCCCTTGCGGCTCCAGCCCTGCACGCACCTCTCCAGCCACTCACAAGTCCACGTATCCGTGCAGAGCCTGCAGGCTTCCTCAAGGGGAACTCCTCACGGGCAGGAAGCAGGTGCTGTTCATGCTTCTGCCAGCAAGAGAGCTCTGGCAGGCCACCAGGGAGAGGCAATCACTCCAAGGGGGCTGTAACTAAAGTCAGTCCAGAGGCAACTCAAAATAATTCCATACGACTGAGCACACGAACAGCCGCCAACACAGCACCGATTCCTGATTTGTGCTATTCGGCATCTAGGCGAGGCACCCCAGGCTTTGTTGGAAGCAGGCCAGATGCATCAGGCGTCAGCTCGGTTTGACCTGCCAGCAAGGTTCACCTGGCATGCTGCACCGCCTGCTGCCCCAGCCCGATGGCCCTTCCAGGGGAGCACTTGGGCTGGGCGGGCCAGAAATGGCCAGGCCGTGTTGCTTGGCCCCCGCTCTCATCCCTCTGGGTAAGGGAGTTGTGCAACAAGGAGGGCACGCGTCACCGAAGAGCAGGTGAAAAACCAACGTCCCTAGGAACAGCGGATGCCAGGGGACGCTGCGATGGGGCTCCACAGCTCGAGAGCACTGCGGGCACCCAGCTTCTCTGCCAGCCTGCTCTTTCGCTGGCGGCAGTAACGCGAGGCACAGGCTGATCAAGCTCCCCTTCATCCTCTGAAAACCTTCGCTGACCAACCTGGACTGCCAGGCTCCCATTCTCCCGGCATCCCTATTCAGTTAGCTCAGGGGCCCTCCAACTTTTTCAACGGGGGACCAGTTGAAAGGTGCCAGCAGTGAGCGCGGGCTGCCAAGGTGGTGCCGGCAGGGGAGGCGCGGGCTGGTGAGCGGGGGGGGGGGGGCGTGTGTGGCAATGCAGATCATTTTCTCTGAGCGAGTCCAAAATGATCTCTGTGCAAGCAAGCCGCTGCCTCGCCGTGCACCCACACACCCGCACTCGGCAAGTGCAAAACTTCTGAGGCGGGCCGGATACAGAAAGAATCTGAGGACCCATGAGTTAGCTCCTAAACTCCGCTGTCCTCCATATAAAGCTTTTATTGGCTTCCTTAATTGAATTTTTAAAAGGAGCATGACCCTTAGAAATACATCTAAAAGCCTCGTTTTAAAGTTTGACAGAAAGGTGTCCTAGCTGAGAGCTACCCATACCTTTTCAGAAAAATGGGATGGAGGAGAAGGGAGGAGGGGGTAGCATGGCCTGACAAAGCAAGCCTCGCGGCCTGGTGCCAACAGCCATCACAGGAACAGGGTGCAGGACGGACCCACCCCGCTACAGGCTGCAGAACTTCCAGAGGCTTCGACTTCGTGCCCGTGCCCTCCCCACTTTTCAACTGGAACACACACACACAGATTCTTATTTTGCTGATATTCTTCCAGCTGGCTACCGAATAAAGTAAGAGGCAGAGGGAGGAGAAAAGCAATACGGGTACCAAATCAACGCCCGAGGAGAGTTTGCCATAGACGTAGCCCCATCTGAAGCCCATCTTCGAGATGGCTGCCAGCAACACACCTGGGAGGCTCCCGGCGGACTCGCGAGCGGTCCTCCACCCCGTCCCAGTTAAGAACCACCCTGATGCCGCTTCCCGCGGCCCGCAGAGGCGGCGAAAACGCCAAAGCCCAAAGAAGTGCTCCAAGCCGCGCTCTCCGGCAAGGGAAGCTCCGGCCTTCCCCAGCCGCGCGGTGGGAGGGCGCTGCAGAGGCGCCGAGCTTCCACTCCCATCATCCCCCGGCGCCCCCACGGCGCCCCCCACCCATCGCCCGTTGGGATGGCGGCCCGGCAGGGCAGCGATGGGAGTTGGAGTCCGACTCTTCCGCGGCGCCCCCCGCCCACTCCCAGTCGGGGAGGGGAGGGGAGGGGAGGGGAGGGCCGCTTCGTGGAAAGAGCGAGCCGCCCGCCCACTCGACCGCCGCGGCTCCGGCCCGCCGCGCAGGCCCCAGACCCAGGGACTTCATCCGGGACGGGCTCCCGGCCCCGACCTCACCTCAGGCCGCGCGCGCTCCCGCGAGCTGCACCCGCCGCCGCCGGCCGAAACGAAGTTGTATCCGGCAGGGGAAACCGCGCCCCCTCCCCGGCCTCGGCAGTGCGCCTGCGCCATGCCCCGCTCCCGGGACGGGAGCACGAGACCTCCGCCACTGGGGCCTTCTGGGAATTGTAGTTCCGAGGCTGGGTACGGTGGCCGGGAAGCGCCCCACCGTCCGTCCCGCGAGCCCACCGGCTTTTCCCTGCAGCGGGAGCGGGCACCGGCGCCGCAGCTCCGCCCGTGCCCCGCCGTTTGTCCCCGCAAGGCGCCCTGCGCGGCCCGCACACGCTCCCGCGACGGGCCTGCGGGGACGCCTTCCCTGGGAGCCTGGCGGGGCGCGTGGGGCGGGCTGCGCGGGCGCTCCGCTCCGCTCCCCCGTCCCGGCGGCGGGGCGGCTCGCGACCGAGGCGCCCCCTTGGCCGCCGCCTGAGGCGCTCGCTCGGCAGCACGCGGCCCCCGCTGAAGGCGCGCAGGCCCGAGGCGCGCTCGCTGCCGCAAGCCGAGCCTGGTCAGCCGCCCCGCGCGGCGGCTTGGCGCTCCCCGCCGGCTTCGCAGCCCCGCTTTCCTCGCCGCGGGCGGGCGGGCGGGCGGCTGTCCATCGGCGGCTCGGGCTCGGGCCCGGGCCCGGGCCAGCACGCGCAGTGCAGGCGGGACTCCCGGCGTCTCCGGGGAAGGCGGCTGCCCGAAGCCCCGCGGAGCCCCCGCCCTCGTGATGCGGGGCTGGAGGGGCGCGGCCGCCCGGTGCAAACCTCCCTGGCATTGTTTCAGGGAAGCCACACGGTTTGCTTCGAGTCGGAGAGCATCGGGGCCAGGCTCCGCTTGCAGAGAGGAATGGGCTCGACTGAACGGCACCGAGAGTTTTACCAGGGGGAGTGAAAGCGGGGAGAGGGGCAGGACCCCGGATTTGCGAGGCAGAGCGTGAAAGAAATGCTGGAAAGCAGCGGGCTCTTGCAGCCGGGTGTGCGTGTGCAGGACGGGTGCTAGTCTGTGCAAAGATCGTCCTTTGCCCACCCATCCGTCGAGGAAGCCCCCCAGGGCATGTCAGCAATTGCCATTGTCTCATTGCGCCACCACTCGTTTTCTTCCAGGAACTGCAAGGCCCTGGTGTGACATACGAGGTCCAAAGGAGCTCCTAGTCTCCGGGCGCTCTTAAGGTTCAGTCTGCGGCATGTTGAAACGGAAAAGGCCCTGTTCTCCCTACATTGCCCAGCCATCTGGGAAGAGCTGCTGCGGTGCGGTGACCTGGTGCCGGGCTGGAGTTTGGCAGGCCCAGGTTCTAGTCCCTACTCGACCATGAAGCTTATTGGGTGACTCTGAGCCCATCACGACTCAGCCTGACCTACCTTACAGGGCTGTTGTGAGAGTAAAATTAGAGAGAAGGAAGACTATGTAAACTGCTCAGGGTACCTCACAAGAAGAAAAAAGTTGGGCTATAAGTGCAATATAATAACATCATCATTGTGCCCTAATGAGGCTTTTCGGATCCATCCCCGGCTTCTCCAGGTGGGGCTAACCATTAACCTTGCCCAAAATGATGGTTAGAGAGCTGCGGTTATCAGCCTATCCCGGGCTAGACGGAGCCAGGGCAGGGACTCGGTGGAAGGCGGCTCCTCACATTCCCATGCACAACCTGCGCCCTCCCTCGGACCCTCTCCGACATGGGCATCCGGCTCTGGTTGAGAGCCGCTGTGGCGCTGCTCCCAACTCCTCCGCCTCGCCTCCAGCTGCTCGCCCTGCAAGAGGCCTTGTGCCACACACAGCGTGGCTGCCCGGACTGGACGTGCGCAGCTCGTGTGCGTCCTGCCGGCCAGGAACGGCTCCCCGGGGACGCCAGGTGCCACAGGCAGAGTCCTCTTTGCTTTTCCTCACACAGGGAGACGTTTCTTTTATTTCACGAATGAGAAGCAGCGACAGCAGCGCGCAGAGAGGAGCTGGGGCCCCAGCAGGCCGCTCCCACACCCCTGCCCCTCCACCTGTCCCCCTCTCAGACTGTGCTCCGGAGTCCTTAAGCATCAGGGCCGGCATCGACCTCTGCCAAAGAGCCGCCGTTCCCTCGGGGCCCCTCCGCTGCAGCAGCTGCCCAGACGCAGCACTGTCCAGCGAGTGGCTGCTTCAGGGCCCGGAGGGATGCCCTGGCATGGCTGCCCCCCGTTCGCACGAGGGCTGCGGCTGGAGGGGGCTCTGCTCTGCCTCCGCCCCCCACTGCTCATCGTCTTCCTCTGACCAGTCCAGGCTGTCGTCCGACTCCTCCTGGAGAGCTCCGCCAGCCTCCTGGCCTCCCGAGGCGTCCGGCTGCAGCCCTTGCTGCTGCCATGGGGCTTCTCCTCGGCTCTGCGGATGCTCCAGGCTGGCCCAGGGGATGGGGCTGGCCTTCTTCAGGACGATCTCCACCTTGGAGGGCGCCATGTTCACAAAGCTCTGCCCCACATCGATGACCTGCAGGAAGAAGTGTGGGCTCGGTCAGGACGGGGCAGCCTGGACGGGAGAGCGGGGAGGCACCTTGCCACTCCCCAGGCCCCTGGCCGAGCACCAAAGGAAGCCCCCCGGAGACCAGCGGGCTGCCGAGTCCAGCCCCGTCCTGCTGGCGGAAGGCCGAGGGGGCAGGAGCGTGTGCCCCTCCTCCGCTTGGGGGACAGAGGGGCAACACAAGCCTGGGAGGGGACGGAGACACCCAAGCTGTGGCAGGGGCCACCTCACCCCCTGCCCACCTGCCAGCGGTTTCCACCCAGCTCTCAGAAGCCCTCCATGAGAATGGGGCATCAGTGGGGAGCGGGCCACAGGCAGGGCTCCCAGCTGCAGGGTGCAAGTGACCTGATGCCTGAGGCAGAGGATTCGTCCCACCTCCCGGACGAGCCAGCCCCACGCGGGAGCTGCAGCCCACCCCGCACCCGCGTGCGCCGGACTGCGAGGAGCAACTCGGCGAGCGAGGCTTTTCCTGGCCTGCCCTGCACAGCCCCGAGGCTCTTCCCTCCGCCATATTTTACTCTCTGAAACGGAAGCAAGACGTGCAAACCAAAACCTACCCCCCAGAGCTCCAGCTCCTCCTGGAAAACCTTGTCTCCCTCAAAGACGACATGGGTGTCCAGCTGCAGGGGGGGCAGCACGAGGGAGACCCCTTAGCACATTCGGCACTGCTGCAGCCCCACGCAGGCCTGGCTGCTCCCTCCGGGCCGGGCCGTGGCTCCGTGCGCTGGCGGGCCCTGCCGGCCCCTCTCCCTTACCCCCGTGCGGTTGGCCTTCACGGAGCTGCGATCCGGCAGAGGGCTCTTCGCGTAGACCGTCACCACCACTTGCCCGCCGGTTTGGTGCCAGTCCTGCCGGCAGGCGAGCCGCTGCTTGTCCGGCTGCTGGCCACAGAAAAAGGCAGTCCGCCTTCTGCTGCCCGGCTGGCGGCACAAAGGCCGTGTCCTCCCCCCCGGCCTCGTGCACATGCAGAGACAACGGCGTGGCGGCCAAGCCACGAGCCCCGCCAGCCTTCCAGGCTTCCTGGGTGCCCTCACGAGCCCAGTTGCTCTCTCCCGGCCACCAGGAGCCACCTGGCCACGAGCCGGCCATCGGGGGCTAGCGTTCCAGATGGTGCAGCCACGCCACTTGCCTTCCCGGCGTTTCAGCGTTCCCACGGGAATGCCCTCGTTCCTACCTCTTGGTCATCAGCTCAAATGGGGTGGGGGGAGCAGGGGCTGTTCCTCACCTGGTGCTTCACCCAGCTGTGCTTCCCTTTGCTGCAACCTTTCTGCTCCAGGAACGCACTAAAGTCTGTAGTTTTAATTCCGCAGCAGCTCCAGTATTTCATTCTGGGGAGAGAAGCGCAGGAGCAACCCAGACCGTGGAGTGGGGGTGCTGCTGAGAATGACGCCTGCCTGAGCAGACGCCAGGCCCCTGCGACCCATTTTGCATGTTAAGCAGAATGCCAGGCTGGGCGCGTTTGTGGGCTTGGATTCGACAGGGCCTTGACGGGGGCCTGTCACCTCCCCGCGCCTTTGCCCGGCCTGCACGTTTGCCAGTGAACTGAGCATTCTGCCATGCGATGCCGGGAGCTCATCCTGCGCCACTGACCTGCGCACCAGAGTACCCGGCACTGTCCCATCAGCTGGGGCAGAACGGGAGGGAGGCTGAGCCAGCCCTGGCCGGAAAGGCCTGGGAAGAGGCTTGGCCACTGGCCAGGAAAGCTGCCCGTCTCTTACCCCTCGTGGAAGACGGGCACGCCAGGGTGGAAGGTGCAGATCTGCGAGTCGCTCTCCTCTCCCTGGTAGGCCTGAAAGGGACGAAAGAGCCCCAGGATCAAGCCCCTGGGGGGGCGTGTGGAGGCAGCCCCCCTTGCTGGCAGGGAGGCCCCTGCTCTCCTGCCTCCACGCCCAGCACCAGCCACATCGCTGGGAACCATTTCCCAGTGGAGGGTGCCACGGCTCTCCCGAGGCCCGGGGCCCCAGAGCAGGGCCAGGCTGGCTCTGGCCCATCTGGGCAAGGCGCCCGTCTTGTGAAAGCGGCGGGGGAACCCGGACGACCAGAACAGCCTTGCTGGAGCAGAGGGACAGTTCATCTCGTCCAGCACTCGGCTCAGCGGCCCACAAGCTCCCCCAGGCAGGAGGGGGTGAGACCCCTGCCCCGAGCAACTCTGCGGCTGGTGCACGTGGGCGTGGGGAGCCCTCCCGAGGCTGGCGGTCCTCAGGCAGATGGGACGGGTGTCTGGCGAGCGAGGCGAGCGGAGCCCCCGCCCCACTCACCGCGGTGCAGCCCGAGTTCTTGCAAGTGGTGCCCACGCTCGTCTCCAGGGCTGCCCCTGCAAGAAGGCACCACCGCTCAGGACATGCGCCAGGCCAGCGTCCCCATCCGCGTCCCCGTGAGCCGCAGTCCTCAGGGCCAGGGCCAAGCCCAGAGCCAAGCTGCTTTCCCGGCATTCCCCGCAACCATCTCCGCAGGGCCAAGAGCCGCAGCGGTGCGGCGGGAGGCCTGCGCGCCCCTCGCCCACCCTCGGGGGGCTTGCTGCAGCCTTGGGGGTGGGGCAGCTCTCAATAGCCAGTGCGGTGGGAGGGTCAGACTGTGGACCTGGGGCCCACTCCCCCTCCAGCCAGGAAGCTCCCTGGGCCAGCCTACCTCACGGGGCTGGTGTTGTGAGGACGACAGGAGGCCATTCAAGCTGGCCTGAGTTCATCACGACAGATGGGGGGGATATACATGCACGATAATCATAAAATAACCGAAACAAAAACAAAAAACCCTCGAACCCAGGTCGCCTGAGCCCCAGGCCCACCCCTTACGGATGTGGAGGACAACGAGGTCCACAGGAAGGGGGCAGCCTCGGGGGATTCCGTAGCGTTGCAGCCCCAGGCACGGCACCCAGCCGCCCCAGCAGCCCTCTGCACCTGGGACCTGCCCTCCCTGCCCACGAGGCCCTTACCGGCCCCTGGAGGGACCAGGGCTGAAGGCTGCTCCTTGCGGGACAAGCTCAGCTTCTCCAGGGCTTGCTCCAGAGACCGGGACACCTTTACCGGCAGCAGCTGCTTCGGCTCGTCGGGGCTAGCGAGAAGAGCCCGAGAGAGAGCGATCCAGAGGTGAGCGTTGCCCAGCTGGTAACATGTGCCAAAAAGGTGGGACCCCCCCCCCCACGCGCTCTCCCACAGCACAGCCACAGGGTACGATGAGGTTGAACCCGGCTCTGCCCTGGCCAAGCTGCTCAGACGTCCCCACAGCCAGCCGGGCCCTCCTCCTGCCCGCCAGCTCACCTGGGCCTCTCACGCTGCATCACTTCCGCAGACTTCGGTCCCTGGACGACGACCTCGGTGCTCACCTTGACCTTTGCCTCTGCCAAGGTCTCGTTGAGCTCCGGCGGCTTCTCATTGCTGTGATACCCGCGGGTGCAGCCCTGGGAGAGTGAAATGCAGAGTCTGGCCCCTATTCCAATGGCCCAGCATGCCAGAAACCGCCCCGGGATTCTCCCTGCCACAGCAAGACGTTCCCAGCCAGAGTCCCGGAGGCCCCCCAGCAGCAAGCTCCGCATCCTTGGCCCCCTGCCCAAAGGCTTGTTTTCCTGTTTGAATGGCAGCGTGTTAGCAGCAAAGGCCAACACCCCCATCCAGGCTCTGGGGCACCCAGGGCTTCCACATGCCGGCAGAACTGCATCCGCCTGCCAAAGCTTCGGGGATGGCTGCTTCTGAGCCGTCAGCTGAGTTGGCCGGGAATGAGGACTGTTGCAGGCCAGCACAGCTGCAGGTCCAGGGTGGGGAAGGTGGCATTCGGGGCCCACACAGGGCCACGGAGAGTCACCAGGCCTGGGGTTCCCCAGCTGCGTTCTGCAGAACCCCAGGGTTCCGCAAAAGCCTCATAGGGATTCCGCGGAAAATCTCAAAAATCACATTTAAAACAGATTTTTAAATGGAACCACATGAGGTCAACCATTCGGTTGTCAGTTGCCATCCAAGCTGCAGACAAGGAAATGCATCAAGTGCAGGATTCTACTGCGTAGTGTTGAGAATAATCGAAAGAATTAATTTGGGACAGGACCAGAGAATCGTCTTCTTAATTTGTTCTCTTTAAAATGTTTTCTCTTTATTCCCAAACCTACCATGTTATGCAAAGCACTTGCACAATAGGAACAGATGAAACAAGGAAGAACGTCTGAATTCACAATGCTTAGTAAAAATTGGGTACAGAGTTAGAGTCCCACAGAAAAAAAAATGTCTGCAGAAACGTTCCATGACTGCAAAGGTTTGGAACTGCCGTGCTGGACAGCTGCTGAGGACAGACAGCAGGACGCTTGGGAAGGCCCTGGGGTACAGAAGGTACCTTTATGGAGAGGAATTCCGAGAAGTCAGTGGTTCGTTTCTTGCAGCAAGACCAGCCCTGGGCACAAGGACAGAGTGTAAGCCCTCCAGGCTACAAACATGGGAACCCACAAACTTGGTCGCTGAGAGGAGCTGGTGGCAACCGGAAACACAATTTTGCTGGCCAGCCGGGAAAGCCTCTTGCCAGGCAACGAGAGCAGAGGAAACGCTGCCAGACGGACGCAGGGGCCCCTCTGTGGGAGCCACCCCTCCAGCGGGTAACAGAAAAAGGGCTTCTGCCACTGCTCCCCACTCTGAGAATGCCCCCTCGAAAGAGATCTGCCTGGGGCCATCCATGTATTCTTTTCGGTGCCAGTCAAACACTGATCTTTTTAACAGACATGTTAATATTTGATACCTCCCATTGATGCTACTACAACCTCTTGAGTAAACTATCTGATTGGAATTTAAACTTGTAATAATTTATAGATTAATCATTTTATGAGTGTTTTAAGTTGTCTTAATTTTTAATATTGTGAGCTGCCTAGGGATGCTGTTAGTAAAATAAGTGGCATATAAATATTTGGCTGGCTGGCTGGCTAGGAAGCAGGTGCAGCTGGTCGAAAACCCACCTGAGCGCCTGAGCAGTGACCCCTTCCTCACGGTCCTTGCGGCCACCTCCCCCCCCCCCCCCGCCATGCAATTCAATCTGCACAGAGCTGCCCAGAGGCCCGAGGGCGGGTGGGGAGAGGCCCCCTTGCTGGGAGCGACGCTCAGGCATGGCAAGTGCCATGGGCCACTCACCTTCAAGGCATCGTGGAAGATGGGGACGCCCGGGTGGTGCAGGCAGGCATCTGAGGCAGGGGCAAGACAGCAGAAGCAGCCGCTTCAGTCAAGGCCTGGGCTTGGGTCATCCGTCCCGCAGGTCCGCGCCCGCTCCCACACTTCGCCGGCCCAGACTGGAAGGGAGCAGGAGACCCAGGCAGACCCCTGCAGCTGGCCTTCGGCAGAGAGGGAGTAGGGCTGCTGGAGGCAGCAGTGCGTCCCTTTCTCCACTGGTTTGTCAATCGCAGGAGCGCCTGCGCTCGCTTCAGAGCCGGGCGGCTCCACAGCCAAGGGCCCCCAGGCGCAGCAGCGCCTCAGAGCGGGCAAGACACCCAAGCGCCACCTTAGGGACAGATGTCCCCACGGTTAGTCAGAGGAAGCCAGACCGCTGGACACGTTTCAGCCAGTGGGCCCTGCTCTCGTCACGGCACTCGCTGGGGGAGAAGGCCGCACACGCGGAGTGCGGATTCCTGGAGTGTTTGGCCCGTTAGGCTGCAGAACGATCAATGCGCTCCGCAAGATCATCCAGGGGACCGGGCTTTCCAAGCACCTCCCCTCCGCATATTTGGGGTTCGGTGTGGCCCCTCCCGCCCATGTCCTGGGGAGAGACCGGGAGGCAAGAAGCACCCAGTTTCCACCACTTTGTGAACTCGCAAAGAACGCGCATCCAGCCCTCCTCTGACACCCTTCCTCAGGGCAGGTGCTGTGCCGGGACACCTCTGGGACAGTGGCATCCCTGCCCGCTGGGGCCAGGCACCCGCACCCTGCAGAAGCCCTGGAGAGGACCAGCCGGAACACCTGGGGTGCAGGAGAACTGGAAGCCTTGTGCAGCGGGGTGGCAGCACCGCCCCCCCCCCCCCCGCGGCCAGACAAAGAGCCCTGCGCAGAGAGTGCTGTGGCACCTTTACATGAAGGGATGCCGGGTCGGCACGCTCAGAAACAGTGCACTTTGCCTTCTCCCTAGACTCAGGCAGGGCTTCCCGTAGTTACTCTTCCGTTGCAAGTTGTCCTGAGACATCAGTGACGGATGAGTTAGAAAAGCTTTACATAAGTAAAATAAATACTTCATGAGACCAGAAACTCTGCACATGCTCAGTGGCACTTCTCCTCGCTGGTCCAGGGTGCTCATTTGCCATCTCCAAGCGCTCCAGCTGCTGCAGTGCACACAAAATGGAGCAAGGCAAACACCTCTTGGAAAGCGGCAGAGGATTGTGCTAGTTGCCCTCCTGATCAATCCCTTCAGAGAGGGACTCCAGTCCTGAGAAGAGCTGCATGCCAGGCAGGCATCCAACAGGAGAAGGGCTTTATGCCACTCTGCTAGGAGAAGCGTAACCTGTTGAACTTGCTTGTCTGTTGCACAAGGCTCCGCAGCCAGATATTTTTTGTAGGGGGGGAATATGACACTCGCACATTCCAGGAACGGCACGAGTGTTCTCCGCACTAGTCCAGCGGCCCCTCGCAACCCGTCCCGCACTCCGGGGGCACACTTGAAGCCGAGCCACGCAGGAACGGGCGCGGCGACACGCGTACCCGGTGCCCTGCCCTGCCGGCCCGCCCGCCCGCCGACTTACCCGGCGAGTTCCGCTCCAGGGCAAAGCGCTGCCCGCAGCCTTTGTTGTAGCACAAGAGTGCCATGACCTCCCAGGCCGGTCCCCGGCTCACACCTGGGCCGGCATCCCGGCCACGGGGCCTCCTCCTCCTGCAGCACTCGCTCGTGGCTGCGCGGTGCGCTCGGCTATCTTTAGCAGCAGGAAGGGAGGGCCTGCAAGTGGACACCAGCCCAAAGATGGACATGCCGCCACCGCGGCCGCCTGTCCTCCCGGATCTTGAGCAGCAGGAGGCGGCTGTCCCAGCTGGGGGGCACGTTACACGCGCACGCTTTTCTCCACGGCTCGCCTCCCCCTGCGTGTGCGCGGCCACCCACGCCGGGCACGCCGGTCCCTCCCGCGCAACACGCCCACGTCGCAGGGCTCTGTGATGGCCACTCGGGGCTGCACAAGCGGCTCGCGAGGGGGGAAAGGCAGACTGTGGGTCCGAGGCGGCAGCAAGAACCACTGGCTGCCCGCATGGCCTGGCGCCGGCCTCCTTTCCCGGAAGGCTGGACGGGGCATGTTCAGCCTGGGGTGGGGGAGGTTGCCTGGCTGGGAGGGGAGAACATACTGGCCCCACTTGGGGGGAGGATGACAGGCTCTGCAGTTGCCCCCTCCCGCCAGCATCTTCTCAGGAAAGCTCCCTTTGCCCGGGGTGGCTGGGGGGCTCCTGGGAGCGGGGAAAAAGGGTAGCCAAGCAGTCCGGGGCGCGGGGTGCAGCACGGCTGTGGGGGTGCCCACCCCACTGCTTTCTCGCCAGTCCAGCAGCCTCCTTTGGCCCGAGGGCTGAATGCCCCTTCGGGGTCTCAGTGGGGGGGGCAGGGGCATTCCATGGGTAGCAACGGGGTGTGCAGTGCATCCCAAGGCTGCCACTGGCCCAGCTGCAGGCGCACTTTCACCTGCTGAGGCCACTTCTGGGCATTGTAGGGACTGCTCTGCTTCAGCATGCACTGACCGGGCCCTAGGCCCAGGGGGGGCCACCCGGTCCTTTAGAACAGGGAAGGCTGCACAGAGTGCTATGGGGCACCAAATGAGTGGGGGGCACAGAACAGGTGTGCAACACCCCCCCCCCAGGGGCCAAGAGAGCAGCGGTGGCCCACGGCCCAGGGTTCCCCAGCCCTGCTGGAACGGTTCCGTGGCAGCAGAAATGCAAAAGGGGCTTCCCTTCCCCTCAGCATGCCCGCCAGGAAGTCTTCTTGGCCAGGGCCTTCTGCCTTTTCCAGAAAGTTCCTTGGGCCCTCCATGGTTGGTCCCATAGCCCAGCTGGGCGAACCAGCCTGCAGGGAGGATATGTCTGCCCTGGCTGAGGGAAAAATGTTTCTGTGATCCCCAGCAAATGATTATGCCAACTTCCAGGTTTACTTGCCAGGAGAGGCTTTGTGGTTGCAGCAAACAAGGCACTAGCTAGGTTCCCACAGCATTTAGCAGCAAGTCACCTGCGCAGCAACCCCTGCAAGGTGGGCTCCCATCAGCTGGAGTGGATGGGGTCAGCTGAGCCTCCTCACAGTCCGAACAAGAGCGCACGGGAAATGGCCAGCTCGTACAGGGTACATGAGGACAGCAAAGCATATCTGGGAGAGGTGACTCATCGACTGGGCAGCGGAGGACAGACAGGAGCAAACAGGCATTTTGGGGCAGGGAGTTGGAGCAGGCGAGGGGGGCCCTGCCTGGCCTGTCAAGGGCCCCGGTCTGGAGGTCTCTCCTCCACTGAGGGTGCCAAGACAAGAGGGCGAGGCCTGAAAGCGCAAGCTCCTCCGTGCCTCACACGCCTCTTCCGTGAGGGCAGGAGAGTCTCAGCAGGACCCGTAAGGAGTCCGGCCAAGGAGTGAGCGTGGCGGCCTGGTCATCCTTTGTCCGTCTGTCAAGCCAAGGGCGTGTCTCGCTATGGTGAAGGCACCCAGGAAGCGAGAACCAGGTGCTAATTTTTATTGAAACAGGCAAGGGAACTAGATTTTATCCAGAGCAAGCAAGGCCCACGCTTCCGGGATGGCCTAGGCGAGGGCTTGGGGGCAGGCTGCCTGGGTCCTGCAGCTGCAGCGGCCGCCCTCAACGGAGTCAGCGCCAGCGCTGTCGAACACGCACCTCGTGCTGAAGCGCAGCCACCCAGCCCTTGGCACACAGAATCGCTGCAGCCGTCCGTTTTATCGGTTCGCTCAGGGCAAGCGTCAACCCGGCTTGCCTGCTGCCCTCGGGTGCTCCCAAGACTCCATCCCAGGCAGTGCCTGGCTGGAAAACACCCAGGTCAGGCACTGTTTGCACGGGCAAATACCAGGCAGCTCCAAAGGCGGATGCCGCACAAAGGGACCACCTTTCTCCTTTGGGGCAGGAGTCCACCTGGAATTCTCTCTGACCAGGGCAGCCTCCCTGCCCACTGGAAACTGGGCTGGGGTTGGAGTAAGGAAGCCATCCCTTTTCCAAGTATAGGAAGGGCACTGCAGGACAGACTGGGATTCCACCCACACCGAGCGCCTCCTATGGTGTATCGAAGGCAGAGACCCAATCCAAAAACTTTCTGAAAGGACCCATGGAAGGGAGCTGCACGGAACTCTGCCTGAAGCCAAAATGCTATTTCAGAGAAGCTCACAGGGGTGGCATTCCAGGGCAGCGTGGGGCCAAAAATATAAAAAATGCTGGTATGTCTTAGCTTAATGCTCTTGCTGTCAACAACTAAGTCTTAGGAGAGGCATTTCAGTCTTACAATGGAAAAACAGTTCCTTCACTATGGAAAGATCACCCGGTTCAGTCCTGAGACTCTCCACCCGGGGACTGCAAAGTTGCCTTGTAGATGCCCTGGGAATTGTGGAGACAGCTCGCCAGGCGAGCTGATCGTTTGCCTCCAGAGTAGGCAGCTCGCTCCATTCCTGCTTCCATTTCGAAGGCAGGGACTGCACTCTGGACAAAAATACAGGACCAGCTGTCATCTAGCAGCAGAGCAAAAGGATGGAGTGTTCTTTTAACCTTTTGTTGCTTTTAGTGATTTTGCTTTCAGTTGCTCAGAGTGGCAACTTGGAGCTGCAGGTTGGGCAGAACCTAAAAAGAATAACCTGAAGTTAAGATATGCCTCGGACTGACCAAAGACGGCTTCCCAGCACGTCCTTGTCCCTTGGGACGACCCGCGTGGCTGGCTTCACAGCAGACACACGATCGGCCAGTCATGGGAAATGATTCTGCAGCGACTGGACCTGCCAGAGCAGAGAACTGGCACAGGGTGGGAAAGGTGTGAGAAGCTGCCCTGGCATAGTAGCATCCTTGCCCTTTTGGCCACAGGGTTGGAAAGCCAAATTGAGGCAGAAAGGCAGAGTCAGGCAAAGGACCGCCCCCCCGCCCCGAGGATGGGCATGATAGCTGCAGTCAACCCTCTAAAAGAGGTGCCCAAAATTAAGAAAAGCAAAATGGACAGAATCTGCAGAACTGCTGCAACTGACAGACGGGAGCGACCTGATTCGGTGGGGCACCAGCCTTCCCTCAGAAAGGTTCTATAAGCCGCGGATTTGGTCAAGGCCCCAGCAGGAGTCAGCTCAGGCCAAAAGGGCTAAGGGTCACCGTGCTGCTGAACCTGACCGCTTGCCAGGTGGCTGCTTCTTTGGTGGAATTTCAGGAACCCTTTGCAATTCCCAGAGCCGGGCACCCAGCTTACTTGACCAAGTGCAATCATTTGCACCTACCGGACCCACTGCAATCCCCCGCAAGGAGCGCCAAGCGTGGCAGCTGTCCCTGGTGTCGATCAGCCTCGGCACACCGTGGCAGACGGGGCTCTCGCTGTGCGGCCCCCACAGCTCTGGGCTTACGAAGGCTGTGTGGAGAAGCATGGAACGCTCCACGGCCCGGAACGGTGCACTGCTGCCACGGGGGAGAATCCGCTGCACGCTGCCAGAGAGATGGCAACTGCAGAGGCGCCCCCACCCTGCCAGGAGGGAATCTCGGCACACACGCCTTCCCCACCAGCCCATCCAGTCCCACTCAGAGCAGCGTGGGAGGTGCGCTGCTGTGCCCCCCCGCCCACTGTTGCCCAGCTGAGATCCTCAGAAGCTTGCTCGGAAGCTTCTGCAATGCCCACGCCTCCCAGGGACTGCCGGGGCACTTCTAGCCTGGTGATCTCCGTTCCGACTGGCAGCTCCTCTCCAGAGACCAGGCAGTTGCCTCAGAGCCCCTTGGATGGATGCCAGGAGCCGAACCTGAGACCTGGCACATGGCGGCCTATGCCCTGCCACCGTGCTATTAGCCATCCCTCCCGCCCTGCACCTCCACCCCACCTTCTTGATTACATTTGCATGCCGCCCTAAAGCCCAGGGGCCCTCCCCCTTCCGGCAGCTCCTCCCACCGCCCATCCAGTGCAGGCAGTGTCCAGGCAAAGCCGTCTCCTCCCCGGCCCCAAGTGAGGCACTGCTTCCCCTACCCGCTGCCGCCCCGGCTCTCGTTCATGGCCAGCTGGGAATCTCTTACACCACAAACACCCCTTTCGGTCGCCGGGAGCTCCACCACGTGAGACTCGGCTCACGGAGCTGGGCAGGCAAGCCAGATGAGCCTTGCGCCGTGCTTGAGTCCCCTTCCCCTCCAGCAGACTGTTTATACGTAGGACCAGGTCGCTACAGTAAAGATTATTCCACCTGGGCTCCAATTACTACCCTAGTTCAGACCGACAGTGAAGTACGGCCACTTGCGTCTTCCTAGTACACCTCTAGGCAGAAGGGAAGCTGCAACTGCGGCAGGAAGAGCACCGGCGGGGGAGAGAGGACATTTTGGGGCACGGAGCCTCAGGCCTTCGCAGCCAGAGTAAAGATCGCAGCGCCATTTCCAAGAGCCTTATGAGAGCAGCCGTAAATTCTCCCTCTAGTGACCAAAATCCAAAATGCAGAACCCGGGAAACAGAGGAGACTGCACACCAGATGAAAAAGGCTTAAAATCCCTTTTAATAATGCATTCCTGTAACAACCTTCAGACAAATTCAACCTGTTAGTGGACGACTACAGCTCGGGGTCACACATACAGTCTCGTACTTCTACACAAGACAGGCAAAGTTAGGGTTATACAAACAATCGCTTCAATCGCGTCTTCAACAGGAATTTTCTTGTTTTGTCCAATAGATTGTACTTTTCTACCAGTAGAAAATAAAGAATGGTACAACACACCAAATAATTCATCCCCAAATCACCATCACCACTACCTGGCCCTCTTGGCTGCACCAGCGAGCTACAGTAAAGAAAAATGGTCCAGAGGAAAAGAAGTAAAAAGCTACAAGTCTTAAAAAACTGACCCTCCCCCCCACATGATAAGCCATTTGAAGCGACAGACATGGATGGATCCGCTGGCTCTGCCCCAGCCCTCCGAAGGGGCCTGCAAAGGGCTGGCGGAGGGCAGCGCCAGCCTCAACAGGGCCGTGTCAGCTGGGGCAGAGCCTGTGCTGAGGCGCTTGGGAATGGGAGGCGCCCGGGCCCTGGCCTGGCCTCACACACTACAGCTACTGAAGCCTCCTGGGATCCGCTCTTCACATTGTTTTGCAGGAATGCACCTTGTGGCGTCGACTAAACCCTTTGCCAATTGGGCCGGGTGCCCTTCGGCCATGGCCAGTCCCCGGGGCAAGGAGAGCCTCTGAGGGTCTCGCTTGAGGGAGCAGCCAGGGCACTAACCTCCTCCTTAGTATCGGCGACGCTTGTTCGGGCCAAAATCCCCCCCAGGAGCTCCTCTGTTGAATCCTGGTGTGCTTCCGCCCATAGTTCCGAGTCCTTCCATTGCAGTCCCCTGACCAAAGCGATCGGTGGGTGGCGGAGGAGTCTGGTGTGGAACGAGAAGCGGGGGAAAGCTTGGGTCAGGGACATCTCTCAAGAAGAAATGCAACCCGAGACCTCCAACGCGGAAGCACTGCCCCACTTTGGAGGTGGTTCCCAGTCACAGGAAGACTTCGGGTCCTCTAACTCCCAGAGCACCAGGAGGACTCTCACAACTGTTTCTGCAGACTGGGAATGCCTCTCTGTCCTCTGCCTCCCGAACGAGGTCCAATCAGCAAATGGCAAGAGGAAGCCAGGCAGGTGGGCATAACACTAAGCAGGAGGGGGACATGCCTGAGCCATCTGTATGCCGCTGGCACGCCAGACCCGCTGAGGAAAGAGCAAGCGCCTGCCCTGCGTCGCTCCACCCACCCGAAACAGCTGGTGGGAGCTTCCACACGGCAACATACAAGCCCCCTGCTGGGTGAGGCCCAGCTCCATCTGGTCCGGCTTTCACCCACACGGGCCACCCAGCTGCCCGCAGGAAGGCAACAAGCAGGACACGACGGAGACTGCCGCACCCACCCGTCCCGCTCGGCTCCAGTGACTGCTGGGCAGAGGCCTCCTGCCTGGGATCCTGCAGAGGGTGCAGAGCCCTCTGGACTAGCAGCCACCAACAGCCTTGTTCTCTAGGAGTTTGTGCTAGTCCCCTTCCAGAGCGCCCCCCCCCCCCCCGTTCAAATGGCTATCACCACCCTGAGTGCAGAGAAACGCAGCTGTGCCTCTTGTTCTTCAACGAGCGTATCAAGTGAGCCAAATGGCCTGCCTCTTGCTGCATCTGTCATGCGCCTCAAACGAGGAAATCCCATGAATTTCTCAACACTCACAACAGCTCAGGGTCCCGCAAAGGCTAGGAATCCACTCACACAGAACACCTGCCCAACAGATGAGCACTTGCCAAGTAGGAAGGCCACAAATCCTCTGCACGGAGGGGCCTCAGTTACTGCCTCAAGCCACCTGCAACGCATTTTGTGCCACGCCTTAACTTGTGCAACTGACTTCTGGCTGGAGGATGCCAATGAGGAATGTGGGTGCACGGGCAAACAGACCTCTCCCGAGCAAAAGCTCCAGGGCAGACGGATCCCTCCCAAGACGGTGCCTTCGCTCAGCTTACCATTCCCATAGCTCCGTCAGGGATCATTGGTCCAGGTCCAGTGGCGGGAGGGGGTCCAGCCGGAACGCTGGTGCCTCCCATTGTCCCCCTGTTGTTCATGCCGATCGCACCTGGAAAGACAAGCAAGGGGTACTCCCACAGCAAGCCCCTGAAGGCAAGGGAATTCCAGCCAGCTCCGGGATGGCCCTTGCCAGGTGAGCAACCCACAGCAAGGCCGCCACAGCGAAGCCGCCTCTCCACGAGCCCTTCGGAGAGCACCTCCTCTCTCGCACGCACGCAGGTGCTGTTGCCCTGGCTGCCTCGGAACACAGCTGTGCCTGCCAGTTACTAACACTTTCATTCTTGGCCCATCCAAGCTCAGCTACCTGCAGGCACTGGATGAGGAAGCGAGCAAGCAGGGCCATGCAGCAAAACTTCTCCAGAAGACAGCTTACCTCCCATGCCCATCTGTCCCATCCGCATATCTGGAGGCTCCCTCTGAAACAGACAGAGAGTCCTGCCTTAGCTGGCATCTGACACGCTCCATCCCTTCCTCAAGGTTGTAAGAAGGAGCTCCCCGCTCCCGCCTGCAGGCGGAGGTGGCGACACGGCCAGCAGCCCACCCTCCAGGCCAGAGAAGCCCTCCTACCGCATCCGGGTAGGCCCCCTTGAATCCCTCCTGCTGCTGCCGCCGCATCATCTCCTCCTGCTGCCGCCGCATCTCTTCCTCACGGCGCCTGCGCTCCTCTTCTTGCCTGCAAGGGAAGCCCTGAGAGAGTCCCACTGCGTCCGAAGCCTCGGCCTCATCACTCCCGGCACTAGCTCTTCAGAACCTGTTCTCTCTCGTGTAGAGCCACACTCTCAACATGTATGTATGTATTTAGAACCTTTGTGTACTGTCCCACCACAGATGCCGCAGGACGGCTTACAGTAACAATAAAATAAGATAAAATAAAGTAAAAATAGCACAGCATCCAACATCAATACATGGGGCAGTTATCCTGTCACACAGCTCCAAAGGAACTTCCTGCTTTACAGCCAAGCCACAGAAGGGGCTCTGGGAAGTGCTAGCGGAGAACCGAGCCACTGGGAATCCCCTGCTGCAAAATCGTAAGGACCACACAGATACCGTGCAAGGAAGGCCACGCCAGCCCGTGGCAACTCCAGCAGCTTCTACACAAGCTGTTCCGTGTATTTATTCGCAGTATTTCTAGACTGCTCAGCACCCACAGTAAGTCAAGAGCAGGGAATGGTAGGAAATTCAAGCAGAGGAATGAAAGCTTCGCATTAAATACAAAATAGCAGTGAGACCGTGGGTGGCCCACGCAAAGCACATCCCAGGTAGGACTCTCTCTAGCAGGAATCAAAGCAGCACACAAATGCTGCCTTGAAAGAGGGAGTTCCGCGGCAACGGGGCTGCCACACTGGAGGTTCTTCTCTCAGGGGCCCCAGGCAGGCCATGGATCTGTGCGGAACCACCGGGGGAGCACCCTCTGACATCCCACCCAGCTCTCCAGTGAATCACCGCAAGCTGCAGATGTTCCCAGAGTAGCATCCAGCAGAGCTGCTGAACCGCTTGGGGGCAGGGGCCATCCGACTCCCGAGCCCTCTACAAGCCAAGCCCCCGGTGGGCACAGCCCACACGGCACAGCTGGCTCCTCCAATGTGCAGGGTGAACAATCCACCGGGTGCTTTCGCCAAAGGCCACACTCCGCTTCCAGCGAGGCTTCCCGTGGCCCGCGCGTAGCTCAGCTGCCGAGACCTCTAGCGGACACCCCACCCACTGGTCCACTAGGGAGGCAGGCGAAGCCAAGCTGACCCGCCAGAGACTGAACTGGCTTGGCATCACAGTGCCTGGGCTTTGCTGTGCTCGGTCCGCCAGCAGCCAAGGCACCCGACGGATGGCCAACCGGCCCCTCCCAAGCTGGGCGCAGCAGTGACCCGGCTCACCTTGACTCCGTCCTGGCCGTAGAAAGCCCAGCCAAGGCTCCGATCGTTCCTTGCTCACCTGAGTTCCAGCTGCTTGCGCTTCTGCACCTCCTGGTTGTGGAGTTCCTCCATTCTCCTCAGCTCTTCCTGGCGCCGCATTAAATCTAGGAGCAAGGCCCGCAGGATGGCCAATGAGTGCCTCTGCTCTACCCGAGCGCCCCCAGCTTGGCAAGCAGCGCTTGTGGTTTGCTGGGGTGACCGCGGGGCTCACCTTGCCGCATGAGCATGACCTGGTGCTCATGGCGAGCCGCCTCCATCTCCATCTCCAGCTTCTCCCGTGCCTCTTTGATGTTGCGGTCGACCTGCTCCTGCTGCTGCTTCTCCATCTCGATCAAGGCCTTCCAACGCATGGCGTATTCGTACTCAAAGGAACCGGGCTGGGCAAAGCGGGGGGGCTGCTCACGCTCCCTGGAGGCGCAACGTGGGGAGGCCCCGTGACCCAGGGAACTTGGTGAGAGCCACGGGTCTGGCACAAAAGCAGACCGCATCCTGTTCTCACAGCAGCAGTTTGCCCCCTGCATGTGCTTGAGGAGGAAATACCGAGCCCAGAACTGCAGCCCATCCACGCAGCAAGCTGCTCAGTGCCTTTCACACACCTGCTCGGCTCGGCAGGCTCCCACCAGAGTGGCCAAAGCACCGGCAGGCAGTTGCCTGCTGACACATGCCCCAGGACGAGCAGCTTTTGAGAACGGCCGTTCCTGCCGAGAAAGCACCAGCGTTTCTCCTTCCCCTATTCAGCACTTACTTGTGATACTGCTGGTTTTTGATGACCAGTTTTTCTGGCAAGCCCTCCTCATCATCGTACTGATCCATGGGCTCCACAGTCACAGGCCGAGGGAACCTGGCAGGCCAAAATGAAGCACAAGTTTCCAGTGGCATCCAAAGCGAATACATGACAATGCCTGGTAAGTCAGCTGCAGTATTTGCTTAGAGTAGGAGTTCGGGCCCTGACACCAACCCAGCACAGCCAGGCTATTCCTCATCTTGGTTACCCACACTCTTTCCCTGAAAGTGGGCATTGCTGCTTCTTGGGGCCAAATAAGGGTTCTCGGGAGAAACATAGCAATTAAATGTCAGAAACATTAAGCAGCATGGGGAAGATGCTGTCGTGGCCACCAGTCCGTGCTGTCCTTAGCCCAGTCCTGCAAGTAGTGCTATCTATCTGTAAGTAACTACCTCCGTCAGCACCAACTAATTCAGATCCTACAGTTTCGAGGATCAGGCAAGTGAGCAGTGACCCAGACATAGAAGCGACTGACACTGTGCGAACTGTGGTGATCGTTAAGAGCCAACAACCGTACAGAGCAGAGCCCCGACTGCACAGACCCCGCGTGCTGAGGATTCCTTGTTTGCCAGCCCTGCTCACCACACGCGATGACTACTCACCACTGGGACAAGCAAAATGCCAGTGCTCCTCTATTTAGTTCTGTGGACACAGGCAGAGAAAATCACTTCGATTCAGTCCCTGCGACTGAATCGAAGCACGCTTTGGTGCCCTCGGGCTGCAAGCCACCCCCCCCCCCCGGCCAAGCTGCCGCACCCACCACACTTACGTAGTGAGCAAGAAAGACCCCTCACTGCATCTGTCCAGAGCTTTCCGAGCAGCAGGCTTTCCCGAGAACTCCACAATGCCTTTTCCGGAAGGCCGGCCCCGGTCATCCACGATAACCACAGCTCTCTCCACTTGGCCAAACATTGAGAAGGCCTCCTCCAAGAGCTCATTCGACACAAACTGTGGCAGGTTCCTGACAGTCAGTGAGGCACTGTGGCACGCAAAGCGCACTCGCAGCTGCTTCCCACGCAGGGGCATGTTGTCCAGCTCTACCTTTGCGATTTCAGCCAGAGTACGTGTTTCCTAGGCACACAAAAGACCCACAGATGGCCCCAGTTAAAATTCACCAGGCTAGTGTTTCTGAACCCCTCTCATAATATGAGCAGTTTATTTTGTTTTCATCCTGGGCTTCCTTAAAATATGTTACTTATTTATAGAAACTGTCCTTGTCGTGCGCGTGTGGCTACAACATACATAATGCAAGCAGAGGAGAAATGAAAAAGAATTAAAAACAATAAAAGCAGGGACCACCCACTTCATAAACAGCATAGCATAAATCTTACGACAAACAAAAGACAACTGCAGCCACAATCCAATATAATAAAATATGATCAGTAAAAGGACGGCCAGTGTAAATTAGGGGATTTCGAGGCCTCCGTAAGAGGCTGCAATGATGGGGCCTGACAGACCTGATGGCAATTTATTCCAGAGATGTGGAGCCACTGTGAAAAAGGCCCATCCCCACATACTCAACTAATTGCTGTTATAAGTGAGCACATGAAAAGGCCTTTTTCACTGTCCTTAAAGTGAAACTGACTAATATAGGAAATACTTTCTCTAGGTTGGCTTAGCTCTATCTTCTTTTTAATTATTTTAATGTACTTGCGTACCAGTCTGAAGACTGCAGTGGGTGGCACTTTTAAATATAAGAAACAGCCAAGACTTCTAAGAAGTGGCTATGGGCATCTCAGGTAACAACAAGCACTAAAAGTTTCCAGGACTATGAGAAGAAATGTAAAGCTGCACACTGAATAATGCTTGACCCTCACAAATGTTCTCCAACTATTTCTGTGTGTGATTTAGCCAGAGACTGTTTTAACCAAGGCATTACACACCTGGAAATCATCCTTAAAACACAGCATTCCTAGTGGCTCAGTGCTGCTGCTTCCAGTAATTACCACGCATGGAACAGAAGGTAAACACGTGGGGCCACAGAACACCAGTGCACAACGTGAAGAAGACAGCTGCATTTGGATGCAAAGATAGGCTAGGATTTCTAGAGAGCCACGGTGTGTTGCTGATGAATAGTCTGCTGGCAGCCACCACCTGATCACTCCCTATTTAGCTACTCCAACAAGCAAGAGCAATTACGCAAACTGCAGTCCCTTGGTCCTTGACTTATCATGAGGTTCAAACCAGGAACTGTGGCTTGCCTCTCCCCAAATGAGCCAGTCATAAGCCAAAAACAAACCATGGCTTATGATGCTAGCTTGTTTAGGCAGAATCAAACCAGAATCAAGCCACAACATAGCACAGACAAAAGGCTCTAATTTTTGTAGCCATTCCTACCTCTAGGAATAGGCAATGGCAGTGGTCAAGCCGTGCGCTCAATCCCAGTAAGCCACGGTTCTCTGGAAACCCACTTTACTGGGATGTTCAACCTGGGCCAACGCTTTATTTACTAAACTGATTTATTATGCAGGGTTGTTCAGCAGATTTTAAAGCCATACTTAATATGGTTTGCTTTGCACTGCAATCCCCTACACTTACTTCACAGTCACTGCCACTGAATTCAGTGGGTTTTAATTTTTCCGATGTGGGCACACTTGCACTTAATTCTGAACGACTTGGGACAATAATTAAGGTACTTTTCTTTTTAAAAATGTAAGCACTTAGACCAAATATTCTTTTACAATGAACTCAGAGGCAATGCTAGAAGTGAAAAAACAACAACTTTGCAACTGATATTCCTCTCACCCCTTCAGATACCATTTTGCATCAAAATGATACACATCTTCTTGAAGGTACAGAACATGCCCATCTTTTTCTTGCAACACATCTTAAAACCTGCTCCTCAGCTCTGAAAATACTAGCATGAAAGTACGGCAAAATTAACAGCTAAAAGCTGCTGACTTCAAAGTTTAGAGACTTATGGAAGTGGAAATCTAGTCCCCCAAAAGTTCCCAATTTTTTAGTCACTCATCATATAGTGTTAAAAATTGCTGTACGAAACCAGCCAAGCTGGAATCAGCACATGATGAAGCGAAAGGCCACAAAATAATCAGCTGACAATCTCTTAAGCCTGCAGGCCATAATAATCACATTTTGACAAGAAAGATGCCTGTCTAGACCTGCTAACAGCTGATTTCCCCTCTCTGTATACAATTGCAATAAAATTGCAGTAGCAGAGGTAATCAGCACACTTTGTAGAGTAATTCTGAAAAATCTGGAGAAATTATGTTTTCATGGTCAAAGGGGGCCAGACAGAACACGTGCATTACTCATAGAATGTCACATCATGCAACATCCCCTTGGCTGCTCAAACCCATGTGAATCAGGCCCACAACCAGCACGATTTCTTGCCATGGCCACTCACCAGCCTGATAAAGCCAAAGCCTTTATCCTTATGAATGAACACTTCACCAGCCTTCCCATATTTTTCAAACAGCTTCCTCATCTCCTCCTCTGTGATATCAGGGGGCAGGTTCCCCACAAACAGGCGACTCCTCTGGGTGAAGGTCTTTTCACCAGGTTTTCGAAAATTCTTCAGGTCAATTGTCAGGCCTTCATCTGAGGGGAATAAGGTACATAATCGTTCTACAAAATTGGAGAAACAAATGCCAAGTGTTAACACATTCAGGAAGACAAAAGTCGGAACATGTAATAAGCATCCTAAAGCATTCCCTCTGCAGCCATCTTAACAGCAACTCGAGATACAAGCCAGTAGCTCTGCGAGAAAGCAACTGCCAAGAACCATCACTCACTGTGTGTGAGAGACAATTAAGGCAGCCAGCTAACCAGGCAGATCCCTCTTTCCGCCCCTGCCCTGCCCAGACAAGGGATGCTGCAGATTATCAATGCAAAGCCACCCACAGGGCACTGAAGGCACTGCAACTGGACAGATAGGTCTCAGGCCCCAAAATTTAATAGCACCCATATGAATGAGCTGGAGAGAGGCACTGCTGCACACCACAGCAGGTGGGGTGTGTGGTTCCAAGAAAGACAACCTTAAAGTTTGCAATTCTGAGGAGCCACTACAAACAAGACCAAAAAGCAATGCCACTCAGAGAACACACCACCCAATGCCTTGACCCCCATCAGAAGCAAAGTAGTCCTAAGCTCAACATGAGTTCTACTGAATGCTGTGATGGAAAAGAAAAGCAGGTGTTTATGGGATGTTCAGAGCCACCAGAAGTACTGCAACAAATGCAGGCAAGGGCATCCCAGCCCAGATGAAAAAAGAAGGCCAAAATGTTCCTCAGGTCCAGAGATGCTAAGCCACCTTGAGGATGCAACCCATGAGCCTGCAGCAGCAGCCACAGAAGTATAAGTGAGCCATGCTGCCCATCCCATATACATCTCACTAGTTAATTATGCTTCTAATCTACAAATTAATTTTTTTGCAATTAAAAAGCACATATCCTTGAACCACTAGTAAGTAAATCAGTTGCTGTTTCCATGCTGCTTAATGAAATCTAAGCATTTCACACTAAAATCTAGACATTGTTACTTTGAAACAAAATATATTGGCAACTGTATCTTAAAGAAATACTATATTATTGTAATAATTCTATTTTCAAATGGGTGGGGGAGGAGAACATATTTAAGAACCAAGGAGGTAAACAGTAATACCCAATGACATGAACGACAGACATTAAGTGTCTCAGTGCAACAGCTTCCATTCTTGATTTCTCTGGTATATTTGTTCCAGGACATTGAACTAACTCCAACCTAAGAACTCCACCCATATTGAAAATCAGTGGATTTTCACTGATTATACTCTTCAGTGAAGAGTATAACAGACCTACAACATTGGAAGTTTTACCACAAATGCTGTAAAAAACATGTTTTGCAGTTCACATTGGGGTGTGAGTCAACAGGAATGCTACCTGCAGAGAATTCAGCATCCACCTCTACAATCCCCCAAAGACATGGGAAAAGCCCCTGTGGATTTTGCTCCCCTTTGAACTCACAACTAGTTTGCACAATGCGTTCTTTTCCATGTTACTGAGTTCTTAACTGCTATATTTCGCATACGTGCATAGGCACACAACCTCAGTTGTGTTTTCTGCTCTGAACATAGCCATCCAAAAGGCACAACTTTCCAGTGATCGCAGCAAAAGCTCTCTCAGACCACATAAAAGCTGCAAGTTTGTGAAGCATGCACTCAAGTCTTTCAGAAGTGCAAACTCAGCCAAATAAGAAAGACAGAGAACCGGCAGTATTCTTTATTTTGCCTTCCCAAACCGGGCTCTGAACAGGAGCAGCAGCAGGAAAGTTCAAGTAGGCCGATCTGCCGGCCCAGCCAGCTGCGCTTCGCGAGCCCAGTCCCATCCAAGAAAGCGGATACTCACTTTGGCTGTTGGTCTGCTGCCCGTTAGCCGGGGCAGGGGGCGGCTGCTGCGCCGGCGGAGGCTGGTGCTGCTGCTGATGGTGCTGGTGCTGCTTCCGAGGCGTGTGGTTCTGCTTCTCCATCGCAAAGCCCTTGTTGCCCTGCATCTTTCAGTTCCGGCGGGGGGACTGTGGCGGGAGGAAGAACGGGACATGCATGAAAGGCGCCGCGACGCAATACCGGCCGACAACGGGCCGGCACGTGTTCCTGCCACGCTCGACGTTTTCGGGGAAGCCCAAGGACGACCCCCGTCGCGCGGATGGGGAACGACGACAGCGAGCTACCGCCCGCCGACTCCACAGAGAGCCGCCCCGCTGCCCGTCAGACCGCGAATAGGCACGCCCGAAACGTCCGGCCGCCGGATCGCGCAATGCACGCGTCGCGGGCTGCGCGGGGCCCTTCCCGGTCTCGCCCGCGGGGAACGGGAGGCGAAGCCTTCCAGGGCCGCGCGGGCCGAAGAGGCCTGGCAGGCGGCCTAAGAACCCGCCGGAGGGACTCGGTGCCGCGGTGCCTGCCTCGAAGGGCGGGAGAGCCGGGCGGGGAAGGGCCGCGCGCGGCGGAGGGACTCGGGGCCGGGCGGAGTGCGGCTGACTCACGCGCTCGCTCGCGCCCGGCCTGCGGCTCCTTCCTGCTTGGCCGCGGCGGCCCAGCGGCGTCGGCGAGACGCTGGCGCGGCCCGAGCGTCCCGGCGCTGGCGCGGCTCCGCCTCACACCCGGGCCCGCCGCCCGCGGCCCTCTCACCTCAGACGAGCCGACGGAAACGAGGCGGGGGGGCGAGAAGGGGCGCGCGCGGGGCCGGAAGCCGTTTGCGCACGCTGGCTGCGCGCGGCCCGCCCCACTCGCTACTCCTCGCGGTCCCGATTGGCGGAGCGTCCTCCCACGGACTAGCGCTGGCTGGTGGCGCGTCGTGCCGATTAAAAGGCGTCGCTGACCGATTGGCCGGGCGCGAGGGCCCCCCCCAGCCCGCGCAAACCGCTGCCAATCAGCATGCGAGGCGCTTTCCAGTCAAGTTCGGATGAGAGGCAAGGAAGGGACAAAGGGGCAGTAGAGGAAGGAGCGGGTGGGAAAGCGAGGAGCCAGCGACGCGATGGCACCGAAAGGTCCGCGCACGCGCACTTGGATGTAGCTCTGCTTCTTAAAGGGATAGCGCCAGGAATTGGGGCGTCCTGGTGGAAGAGGCCCACCGGTGGGGGGCGCTAGGGCCGGGCCTCTTTTATCGCTAGCAGCACGAAAGCGAGTGGCGGGCGGGAGTCCCGCTCATGGATATTTAAATGTATGCAAATCACGGGAACTAGAGCGGTGCTCCAAATGAGGATTCCCAGACGGGCGCGAAAATGTGCACGCCATGGGAGAAAGAGCTGGAGTGGCGCAGCGCGATCCTATTCCGTCTTCACCTGGCCGCCGTCATGGGGAAGTTCCTAGTAAATAAGCATAGCATCGCGGCCATGCAACGAAGGGAAGCCGAGCTTCATTCAGTGCGGCTCTTTCCTAAATACCTGAGCGTAGTAAGGATTGCAATCTCACAGGGAAATAATGTGTTTGCTTTCTCGGGCATAAGTTGAGTGAACATAGTGGGTTTACTTCTGAATAATCATTCAGCGGGTCGAATGGTGCAGGCATAATCTTATACGTCTTTACAATGCATATGTTTGCACCCAAATTCATCTGTACATATATGTGGGAATGTATTAATAGGTTTTCATGTAAAAGATTATATAAAGATGTAGTAGAAGATAATCTTCAAGGTTTAAGGTGGCGTCGTGGTTAAGAGCACAGGACTGGGACTCAGAGGATCCGGGTTCGAGTCCCCGCTCGGCCATGGAGCCAACTGGGTGACTTTGGGCCAGCCACAGACTCTCAGCCCAACCTACCTCACAGGGTTGTTGTTGTGGGGATAAGATGGAGGAGAATGATGTAAACTGCCTTGAGCCCTTTGTAGGAAAAAGGCAGGGTATAAATCAATCAATCAATAAATAAATAATATACCAAAGAGCATTTCTCATTAGTTATCTGTTGTTCCTATAGGACTCTGCAAACTTTGAGTCATGCTTAACTCTTCACCAACCTTTATGGGAAAATAGCTACATTTCAAGTGTCTTGAAAATGGAGCAGCAATGGTACCCACACTTACTCAGAAATCCTGCAACTGATTACCTATTCCAGCATTTTGAAAGTTTCATACTGGAAGCTTCATGCATAGACATGTCATCATTCTGTTAGGAAAATACACGCACTGAAGTTGTTGTTGTCTGTGACTTGTGACCCTACAAGTGAAAAGTTTCCAAAATGTCCTGTTTATGACAGTGCAGCCCAGCCATTCCAAATTCACATCTGTAGCTTCCCTAAAAGAATCAGCCCATCTCATATTTGGTCTTCCTTTTCATCTTCTACCTTCTACTTTCCCTAGCATTATCGTCTTCTCCAGGGAGTTTTACCTTCTCCTAATGTGAAACTAACTACTGGCTTTAAAAAAAAAAAAAAAGGCAAAACAGCCCCTTAAGGTCCTGAGATTGTCCTGCACAGGGCATTTCACAAAAATTTGCATATTCCCAACTTTTAAAAGCTCTGTTTCAATAAAAGCTACTGCCTGGGTTATTTTTAGGTTGCATAGGATAAGACAGGATATGTTAAATAAATTATATTTCTGTTTCCAGATTGGCCCAGCAATGTTGAATGTGTAGTGCGCCCATGTTTTGCCCAATTTCATAGGTTTACCCCAGGAGAGGTGCCTTCTCTCCCACTTCACCCCATATTTTTGCCCATATGTAGGCACACAGTTTGTGGCGGTGAGACCATAGAGAGCTGCCAGGGGCTGCAGGTCCCCCAGTCAAGTCTGACAATCCCAAATGTTTTACGTGGCACTGGAGGTGGGTGTCATTTTCCTGGCCCTCTCGCTTCAGTCTGGGAAGAATGCACCATTTTGACTTCCCCCACCCAGAGGCAAAAAACGGCTCAAGGCCAACCGTGTTCCAAGAAGTTCCAAATTGTTTCTCACCTGAAGATGCAACCATCTGCCTCCTGCAGCCGTGTCCACTCCACCGGGATTTGTTCCAGCCCAGCCCTCATTCCACAACCCCGTTTTTGCTGTTGTCCCATCTGACCGATGCTGGCCACATCTGTGGCGTTGCTTGCTGCTAGCATGCCCACGCTTCCACCCCGCTCCCCCATGCATCCCATCATAAGCTGTCTGGGGAGAGACCGGGCCCTGCAGGTACAGCCTTGAAGAGAAGGCTCCGAGTGGAGGCTGGGCTCCATTTGTTTCATCGAAGAGGCCCGGAAAAGGCACTCCTTTTCTTGGGCTTCCAAGAACAGCCGGACAACAATCCTCCTTGCAGGGATGGGGGTTGGGGGGGGGGATGCCGACCAGCGCAGCGGGTTACAGCTCCAAGGGAGCCTGCGGAAATCTCACACGCGGCCCCCCAGGGCCATTTTTCATGTGAGGCTTCCAGGCCCTGCCTGCAGCATTTCCTCCATCTGGGGACGCAGGAATCCCAGCTCCGCTCCCTTTCCAGAGCGCGGAGGTTGGCGGTCTCTGGGAGAAAGCAGCAGGAAATGCGCGCCTGGAGGCCATTGCAACAGGAGGCAGGAGAGGCCCGGCAAGGGGAAAACCTGGAAGGGGAGCGGGCACTGAGGAATGCGCCCGAGACGGGGAGGGGGCCGTTGCGCGCGCGCCCCCGTCCCCCTGCGGGGAGCGTTTGTGCCTCGCTTGTGGAAAGCCGCCCGCCGTTCCTGCCCTGGCGGGGCGCCCGGGGACCGCTTGCGCGCCCTTTGTCCGGCAAGCAACGGAGGGGAGCGCCGGGTGAGGGGCGCAGCGCGCGCGCGCGCGCGCGCGGCCCCCGCCCCCCCCCGCGCATTCCGGCCCGGGCTGCACGGCTATTGTCTGCGCGCACACGGCGCTCTGCCGCGAGCCGAGGCTGGCCCGGGCCCGGGCCCTCCGCGCGCCGAGGAACGGCCTGCCCGCCGGCCAGAGGCACCGCGCGCCCGCCCCGCGCCTCCCCCGTCAGTGGCGTAACTTCCTCTGGAGCGGCGGCGGAGCGAGTCCCATTGTGGCTGCCCAGCTGAATTACTTGGCGACGGAAGCCCCGGCAACCCGGAGAGCGGGACGCCCTGCCGCTTCCAGGCTGGGCCCGCCGAGGGATGTGCTAATGCCAGGCGGCCTCAGAGGCCCTGGCGAGGCCCCACGCGGAGCAGGTGCTCTGCAGAGCTAGCGCTGATCTTCCTCTCCGGCAGATGCCTTTGCGCTGGTGCACACGAGCTCGAGCTCCTGGGGATCCCAGCGTGTCCAGGCCAGGGCTGGCAGGCAGCTTGGCCTCGCAGAATGCAGCAAAACAGGGCACTGTGCCCGGAGAAGCATCCTCTCTGCCTCCGTGTCCGCGGAGAAGCACACCCACCCGCCCCAGCAAGCATCTCCGGGCACCACAGGGGCCTGCTGGACCTCCTCACACTGCCCCACAGAAAGCAGCCCTGTGCGAGAAGAGCCCCCTTCCTCGCTTGGTGGTCTCTCAGTGTAGGGAAGAGTGCCAGCTGGAGGGAGGCCTACCCACCGTTCCAAATTTTCCACTTGAGGAACGCCCTGGAAAGCTGATCCCGCTGCTCTAGGACAAGAGGGATTTCACAAAGCCACCCCAGGCTCAGCTTCAGCCCCTGAACAGCCCAGCCCAGCCCAGCCCAGCCCAGCCCAGCCTGAGGGTCAGACAAAGATGCCCCCCTGGCTCCCCATCACGTACCCAGCGGCAAGAACAGTACTTTGAAGGTCACTCTTTTACAGGCTGGTCCCACACGGTCAATGGGAAGCAAGCTCACCGGGGCTTCCTCCCAGCGTGCGCAGAATCGCAGCTTTGGACTCTGCCACGCGACGGTCAACCTCGCTTCGCTGATGCCAAGGCAAACATGCTGAGGCGAAAGAAAGCCCTGCGTGTCCCAGCATTCTCCAGCAAGCGTGGCTGGCTGAGGCATGCTGGGAACTGCACTATGGCGTGGCCTCGATACCCCCACCTTTTTCCTCATGAGCCAAGGTGGTCGACATGGCCTTCCAGTTTTTCCTAAAGACAACCTTGTGAGATAGGTTAGGCTGAGAGCCAGGGTCTGAACTCAAGCCCCACAGAAGTGGGGGCCGAACACAAGCGGAACCCAAGCCCCACAGCGAGTGGGGGCTAGACCCCGCATTTCCTGAGTCGCAGCTTTCATGGCTCCACTGCACGGGCTCCATAGAGCCTTCGCTGCCTAAACATATGCAGGAGTCCCCCCCCCCCCTTTGGCAGTCTGAAGTGTCCAGGAGTGGCCACTAGCTATGTTTTACTCAGTCATCTCCCCTGCAAAGAAAACAGAGTCCATTTGCCATCAAGCCAGAGGTGGGGGGCTCGTTGGCACATGGATCGTGTTGGCTTGCCAATCTCACAGCCCCAGCCAGCAGAGACGCTGGTGAGGGGAGCTGGAGGGGAGCCTGGCAACATTCGGTGGGTCACACTCCCCGTCCCTGCGTTAGGTGTGGAGGAGGCAGCCTCAGGCAGCGGCTAGAGGGGACAGGAAGTGGGGTGGGTGCTAGAGGACAGCACGGCCTGTACCACGGGGAAGGGAGAAAGCTGAGCAGAAACGGGTTCCATCCAGCCCAGGACCAGTAGCCTGTTTGGCAGAAGCGGCTCTCCTGGCTTTCGGCAGGGCTTTCCTGCCTGCCTGCCTGCCTGCCTGCGCTGGGGACTGCAAGCTTGCAGGTATGGCGCCTCGGCGGCCGACTCATCTGGGCCAGCATGGACCGGCAGCAGCAGCTCTCCAGGGATTCGGGCAGAAGCATGTCCAGGCCTCCCTGGAGACGCTGTGGATCAGACCAGGGACCCCCCTTACCATCCCTCCTTCTGAACTCAGCTCATGCAGGGCCACCGACTTGAGGCCCAGACTGTGTGTTGCCAGGCAAGGGTGCCTGTGCTGGGAAAACTGGCAGCTGTGCAGACTGAGGATGATGGGAGTTGTGGCCCAACACATCTCAAGGGCACCTGGACAACAGCTTTAGAAACAGCCTCACACCCTCTGACGGGAAATGCATGCCAGTTTCAGGAGCACCACACCCCTCCCGGGAGGACGTCCGAGTCTCGGAGGGAGCCTAGACACTCCCCCCGAGACAGCAGAGTCCATCGAGCACAGCACTGGTTTTCCCAGGTCCACCTGGAGACGCAGCCGGCGACTGAGCCAGGCCTTCTGCACGCAGGCGGCAGCCTTCCCCACCCGCGGCCAACGCAGTCTGCTGCTCGCCAGCGCTGCAGTGGATGCAGCCCCATCACCGGTGCTGAAGAAAGCAATCTCCTCTCAGGGGGCATCCACTTCGCTGGCGGTAGCCAAATGTCCTGGGGCAGCCCGGTAGTGTGTGTGGGTCCCCAGAAGTGATTAAAGACATGGAATGCATCCCAGTCTCGGCTAGTGTTTTTTTTTAAGCAATTCCTCTTCGATAAAAGGAAGGGAGCGAAAAATTTAGCTGGGTTTAAAAAAATAAAACACTGTTGATGCTAGGACAGACTCCAGGTTGTTGAGTTTTTCCTGGAAAGGTAGACAATAATGCAACTTCTGATTGCAAGAAGATAAGGAAAAATAACACTCTATCTCAAAATGTAAGATTGAGTGGCGTTTGGTAGAGGCTAGTCACTGGCAGCTTGAAAACAAACATTTGATTTAGGAGATTGTGATGTTCCAATGCATGGAACATCTTTCTGCTAGGATGGATGCCATTTCTTAAATGAGAAAAAAGCAAACCACGACAGCACGGTGAAGACTTACACAAATTCTCACATGGAATGATAGATAGCAAAATGGTAGAAATACCCTTTTGGGGTAGCCCCACCAGGAGGAATGCCCCTGGCAGTGTTATGCAAGCACTGAGCGCTCGCTCGCTTCTTCACATGCAGCAGGTGAACAGAAACTGGGGAGATGAGGCTGGCAGGGCCTTCGGGGAACAAATACCAGAATGCCTGAGCGCCATGGAGCACTTTCCCCGCCTTGCCATCAGTCTTCTCAAGAAAAAAGCAGGAAACCTCCCGGAGGGGAGCTTTCTCCCTGTGCACAACCCACTGGCTGTGCTTCACAAGGAGGGCCTCCCATAGCCCCCAGACTCACTGCTCTCCTGGTCCTTGTGCCCTTGAGCTGAGGGAGGCCGGCGAGAGGAAGGCATGTGCACCTCTCCTAGAAAGAGGCCGGAGGGCCCTCTCCTTGCACACCTTTGCTCTGAGGCAGCCATGAGGTGGCTCTCCAGGTGAGGAGGAACCCACAGGGGGTCTGCCTACCCCTCCAGGAGGAGCTGTTGCCCGGCTGGCTTGGCAAGCGGCAAGTGGAGGAGCTTCTGCCCAGCGTCTAGTCGCTGATGGGCCAAGCAAGGGCCTAGGCTGCTCGTGATGGCCCCAGCTATCGGCGCCTCGTCGGAGTGCCGTGGCTTCGGTGGCCTTCTGGATGCAACGGCTGTGGCTGAAAGGAGCGCTGCCTGCGGAGCACTTCCACGAGCGACCCCAACACACACTTCTTCCTCCTCTCCTTCCCTTCCCCGCTTTTCTTTTGTGCACAGCTGCCATCCATAATTCAAGTGCATCACTCGCTGGTGTTTGGTTTTGGCTGGATAGGCATGATTGATCTCAACATGCCTGTTTCCTGCAGGGCAGAAGCCAGAGTGCACCGTCCGTGCTCAAGGTGCGTGTGGGAACTGGGGGCGACGGGACAGTCGCAAATCCCCTGGGCGGGATGCAGTTGGGGGGGCAGTGGGGCCAGGGGGAAGAATCCGAGGGGAAGGAGGCTGTTTCCAAGCCCAGTTCATGCTTCGGAGGGAGGAGGAGGAGAAAGGCTGGGGAGTGCGTGTGCGTGTGTGTGCGTGTGTGTGGGGGTAGCCCAGATCAAAAGGATGCGCTCCGCATGTGTGGGTGGGGGTGCTTCTTCACAGCAGCCCCGTCTCTGGGAAATGGGTCGGACCTCGCATGATCCGAGGAGGGGGACAAATAGAAGTCAGGCGACTCGTGTTCCAGGCGGGAACGATGGAGCATGCGAGGTGGGGGGGACGCATGTTCAGCTTTTCCGCGCGTGGGGGGGACTCCGTGATGTGGGGGCGCCCGGATTCGACGGAGGGAGGGGGTGCGGTGGGTCCAGGTGGGCGCTGGGGCTGCTCCAGAGGCACCTCCACGGAGGAGACGTGGGGGAGCCGGGCTCCTGCAATGTGTGCGTCTATGCTGGGGGCGGCCTTGGCAGGGCGCCACGATGGGGCAGAGACCCCCCGCCCCGGGGAGGGGAGGGGGGAGAGGCACTGCCAGGGGTGGAGGGCTGCACGCACATTCGTGGCGGGGGGGCGTTGAAGGATGCGGGTCCCTTCCCAGGGCGGGCGGGGAAGCCGAAGGGGGTTTCCCGTGCTGCCCCCCCCCCCCGCTCGGGCGGCCAACCGGCCGGCCGTCCCGGGGGCGGTACCCGCGCCGCTGCCCCGTGTCCGCCCCACCCTGGCCGCGCGCTCGCTCGCTCGCTCGCTCGCACGCTCCCTCCGCCTCGCCGTCACTCGCCGCCCCGGGGAGGCGCTCCAGCTGCAGCGGCGGCGGCGGCTCCTCTCGCTGCTGCTACTGCGGGGGTCGTTCGCGCGCCCCACCACCCGGGGGAAAGAGAGGTGAGGGGACGCCGCGGGACCCCGGGGGGTGCAGGGAGGGGATTCACCAGGGGCAGCCCCACTTCCCTGGGGGTGCTTTCCTCCCCGCGACCCCTCCCCGGATTTTGCAGGTAACCGTGGTTTAGTGCAGGGGGGGCGAGCAGGAGATGGGGGGGTTTCCTTGCGCGCCCTTCCCCCACGCCGCCCCGCTCCGCTCCGCTCCGGATCTCGGCACTCCGAGTTTTCCGCCTCCCCCTCCCGATCCCGACGGCCGGGAGGATCTGCGCCGAGTTTTGCGCACAGCCCGAGCACCGCTGCCAGTCTCGCGAGCCCAGGCCCCGCTGCAGCCAATGGAGGCGCAGGGCCCCATCGCCGGCAGCCAATGGCGGCGCGGCCCTGGCCTGGCTGCAGCCAATCGGCATCCTCTGCGACCTCTCCCCCCTCGCACGGGCTGCGGCGCGCTGAGGGCTCCGAGCGGCGCCTCCATTTAAAGGGGCCGCAGCCGTGACCCGGACCCTGGGTGGGCTCCTGGCAGCGCGGGCGGTGGGAGGAGACGGAGACCTGCGGCGGAGTTGCCGCCGCTGCCGCCGTGGCACTGCGGGGCACGGCGCAGGCAGGTGAGCGGCGGGGAGGGGGCGGCCATCGTGGGCCCGGGGGGAGGGGCGCGGCGACGAGGCGAGACGAGACCGCGTGAGGCGGAGGGGGCGGGACTGGCGGAGGGGGCGGGGACTCGAGCGGGTGGGCGGGGCCAAGCCTGCTGGGTGGGGGAGGGGCTTGGCCTGCGCCAGCGGGGGGGATCCTGCAGGCACTTGCGGGGCGGGGGGCGGGGCCAGCCCAAATCCCACCTGGGCTGGGGGCGGGCTGGGGAGGGGGCTCTGCAGTGAGGCCGGCATGGCCTGCAGTGGGCCTGCAGGGATCCTGCAGGTACTCGCTGGGCAGGAGGAGGAACTAGGCCAAGTTCCACCTGGGATCGTCGGCATGTTGGTTGGCTGGCAGGTAGCAGGTGGGGGAGGGGGCTCTGCAGTGGGGCTGGCTAGCCCTGCCCGACAGTGGGAAGGATCCTGCAGGCACTTGCTGGGCAGTGGGAGGAGTCAGGCAGACCATATCCAGTCCTACCTGCAGCACTTGCTTGCCTGGCAGGTAAGCGTCATTAGAGCCAAGTCATACCTTGTCCTCTTGGTGGGTAGAGTGCTGGTCTCCAGTGAGGCAGATTTGGGTTTGGAGGACATTGTGGAGGGAGGAGCACACTGTTTGAACTAGGCCGTGCCTTGCATTCTCTCATATCTTCCCCCCCAAAGAGGAATGACCAATATAAAGTCTGAAAGATTTTTTTTCCCTGCATAGGGCTGTGGACTTAGTGGCTCTGCTTGATTTGAGGGGTTGGGTGAGAATTATATTGGGAAAAGGATCATGGAGTGTGTACCTGTCAAAGGTAGCTGCAGTTGCAGGGCAGCTGTGCCCATGATGCCTGCAGAACTAACGTGGATAGCTTGTAGGAGAATGTGTGACCCAGCCTTGCCAGCCTGGTGCTCTCCAGCCCTCCTGGGCATCAGATCACAAAAGCCCCAGCCTGCAGGACCAGTAGTCAAGACGAAGTGAAGGGCACCTGATTGGGGAAGGGTGTGGTGGACGCCTTAAGCATAGGTTCCTATCAGGATTTTGACCAAGTTGAGGAAAATCTGCAGTGGTTCCTTGGGGAAAATAGAGGAACGTGTGTTTGTGCGTGTGGAATGGTGCTTTGTGTAACTCTGGAGTGCTGCTATTAAAGCAAAACTATTGGACGCCAAAACAAAGTTTTTCACAGATGTGGACTGCTGTTCACAGGTGATACAAGGGAAGGCCAACAACCCTAGATACAGACTTGAGGAGCATAATCCTATTAAAGTGTAGACAGAAGAAGAGCTGACAACTGTCAGCATGTGTAAACCATTTTGTCTGTTTAAAAGTGCATAGGATTGCATCGTAGGGAAGTTTTAGTCAATGATATTCAGTTCCCTTTCAATGCATTGGATGGGCAGCCCAAGACTGAGAGGTTTCCTCTGAGCGCTGTAGCCCCTTTGCTCTCCTTCTAAAGGGGCCAATTGCTTTTCCACCTCACCGATCAACAGGTTCAGGGGCACAGCTGTATTCTGCAGAGCATTCCTGACAATAGATGCCATACATACTTGAGCTTCCTCAGTTTCATGTGTCACACCAGCACTCTTTGGCTTCAGAAATGGATGAAATCCAGCCTCATGGCCTAGTTTCCAGGATGGACCCGGGCAGTTGCTAAGGGTGCCACTGAAGTTGGTACACTGAGCTCAAGGTGAATGAGCAGCTGCTGGTTGTTCATCTTTGGACTTTAGACCCTTCCCCAGGTTCAGGTAGCTTCCCTGTCCCCAGATCTAAGAAGAGGCTGTACTTAAATGAGGCTAAAAGCAAAGTTCTTCATTTAAGGAGAACTTGTGGAGGTGTGCTAAAGATTTTGGGCAGAGGCCATATTGACTGATATGCGAGGCCTAGAGAAGAAACTTCCCTCTCCACTTTGCAGGTGGAAAAACTGGCGGAATGTTTTGTCCGCCACTGATGGATCTTCAGTCCAGCCTCGACCACCTGTCAGGGGTGCCTAATGTCCATTGCAAGATGGGCAGGCATCCTCTGTGTCAGTCAGCTCAGGGGAGAACTTGTGCACCTCCTCCCTAGTGCATACCCACTGTACCATCAGCACTGTTGAGAGGAGGCTAGGGATCAACCCGGAGAAACCAGGGAAGCCGCAGCTTCGAATCACATGCAGGCATCACTTGTTAACAACCTCTCCTCTCATCCCAAGCAGCATTTGCTCTTTTTCTGGGTTCTGCTCATGCAAGCGTTGGCTGGTTCAGCACTAAAGGCTTGCTCTGATAAATGCCACAAAGTTGTAGCTGACTTGCATACGTCAAGTATGTGCTTAGACTTTTAGCTTGCTTCCTTCTCATGGCTCGGACCTTGCAAGAACATTTAGAGCCACGCTGTTGACATAATTTATTAAGATGGCCTAACCTTAAAGACAGTCCAGCTGTCCGAAGATCTCTGTTTCTGGCTGCCAAGAAGCCAAACTACATTTAAAAGAAAAGAGAGGGAGGGCCTGCGTTGCAGGGAATCCTCAAGTTTGAGAGCAGCTGGGTCCCTGTGTGCTTTTGCTGCTGGTGTTGCGAAGGGGCCATTCTGAACTGCCCATTTGGACTGGGATGGGATTCAGTGGGCAAAGCATTCTGGGGAAGCCCTGTGTGTATTGGATGGGCATGATCTGTTTATTATTTTAATGAGCATGACCTATAACCGGGCATGGGTAGAAAAACACTGCGTGCTTCATAGCATTCTTAGGAGTAGCAAAGAGGCAACTGAGTTTTTTAAAAGTAGTCCTCCAACTAGTAGCCTGTAGCTGTTTTACAGTCTTTTTTCTTTTTGAAGTGCTCCCCAGAATGTGAGAAGCATGAGCTGGCATTGGGTCGGGTGGACTGGGCTGATGGAGGAGTTCTCACTCTCCCCTCAAATCTCTTCAGCTTGCTTTCTGGATTAGTTGTCAGTATTTATGATTAGGGAGCGGATTTCAGTTTAAGTTAATGGTAAATCAGATATGTTTGCTTTGGGTTTGGTTCTGATTCATCGGGCTCATTTTGTGGTTCCGTTTCAGGCTGGCTGGCAGATATCTCCTCTAGGGGGTTACTGAGTTAACTGCACAGAAGAGCAGAACCCGTGTCTGCACGAGTTCACTAAAACGTGGTGACCCTTCCTTTCTCTTTCTGGTTCTCGTTAGCTGCTCCTGAATGGATTCCAGTGAGTTCCCTGGCTCTTTAGGGCCACTGTCTCTTCCTGACAAACCATTGATTGGTGACCTCCCGGCAGACATGGAGTTTGGGGAGGATTTACTTGCTTCCCAGACGGCTTCCATCCCGCAGGCCTCAGCAGCTCGGTCTCAAGAGATGGAATGGGAAGCAGCCAGACAAACTGCTTCAGACGGCAGCTTCGACCTGGGCTTGGCGGAAGCAGTGGACGTGTCAGAGCTCCGCAAGCCTGACAGCCTGGCCCTTGAGAAACCTGGTGCTTTGGAGGTCATGGAGAAGCCGACCCTCCTGGACAGTTTGAGCAAAGAAGATGATGCGGTGGCTCTGGAGAAGCCGGAGGACGTGGACAGCTTGTACAAGGCAAGCGCCTCTGCGGAGCCCGAGGATGGCCCCAGGGACTCTTCTGCCTCAGGAGCCGAAGCCCTTGTGCCCGAGGTTTGGGAAGAAGAAGGTGCCTCAAAAGTGGACTCTGACGGCTCCAAAGAGGGTCAGGTGGAGAGCGCAGCCTCCCTTCCCGACAGCGGTGCCGTGGAATTGCCAGATATGGTGGAGGTGAGCGGCACACCGCCCGCCCCGGAGCCCGCCACCTCGCCCGGCAGCGCCCCAACCAGTCCCCGGCTGGCCAAAAAGGCCCGGTTGAAATCCCCCAGGAAGAGCTCGCCGGTGCAGAGGGAGGACGCGGCAGCCTCGGCAGAGGACGGGAAGGAGGCCGTCCTCAACAGCGCTTCTGACCCCGCCCCTGAGCCGGCAGTGGGCCGTCTGGCTGAAGCGGAGAGGGAGAGCAGCTCCAGCCAGAGGGAACCTGCCAAGTCCAAGGCACGCGAGGCGGAGCAGTCGGCTGCGCAGCCAGGTGGGTGCGCAGGAGAGGGCCCTTCCACCAGCCCAGCCCTCGCCTCTCTGCGCCTGCTCGGGGCTCGGTGAGGGGGGCACGCCTTTGGCCACGCCACGGTGCTCCCCTTGGGAAGAGGTTGTCGCAGCTGTACTCCATGCACAGTAGTCAGCTGGTGTGGGGCTCCTCTGCTGCCCTCCCTCACCAGCCTCGGTCCCTTTCTTCTTCTGTCTTTGCCAGGCAGAACTGGCGAAGAATTATTTTTTTATTCGTTTGTGTAAGCTGTCCTGAGGCCTTCGCGACAGGACGGCATATAAATATTCTAAACAAACAAACTGGAGGGCACAGTGGGCTCCCGTCCCTGATGGTTCATCGCCCCAAGCCAATGCAGTCACAGGTGTACGGGCAGGAATTTGCAGACTGCTTGGAAGCAGCCGCTTCTCCCGGCCACCGACAGATCTTGTGGCAAGACGGCAATTGCCTCCACCCCCGGCCGTGGCTCTCTTCGGAGCATCATCGCCACCGTTGGGTCTCCATGTGTTTCTTTTACAGGAGAAGGTCCTGGTGCGAAGGGGAGTGAGCAGCCGGCTGAAAAGGTAAGGCTGGCGGTGAGGCTGTGGTGACAACCCACAGGGACGCTGGGCATCCCCACAAGGCCTTTCAGCCTCTTGGCTGCAGTTGGTTCTTGCAGAAAGGGACATTTTCCCCATTGCCCCCCCTGCACTGTGCCAAGCTTGAAGTTCTGTACACTGTGTTCCCCCTCCCAATTTTTCTTCTGCTTCTCTCACTGGTGCAAATGCGTACCGATCGAGATTGTCTGGTTGTCTGCACACCTGCTGGGCCACGGTCCCTGTCTGCTCCAGCCAGCACAGCTGCTAGTCACACTGACGGGGGCTTAGGGGAAGGTGCCAGCTTGGGGAAGGCTGTTAAGCTCGGGGCCTGATCAGAGTGTGCCTTGAGCTTGCCTGTTTTGCCCTGGGCCTCGCCTTCTTGGTTGTTCAGCAGCCACCCGCAGAACAGGGGCTTGCCTGGGCCGACCGTATGCGGTGCTGATCCCTCGTTGTCTTCCAGGAGCAGAAAAGGAGTGAGAGAGCAAGGAGAGCTGAGGTGTCACGGCCGGAGACTGTCAACTCCTCTGAGAGCAGTAAGTGGCCTTGGCTGCCGTGCTGCAGCCGAGGGGAGGAGCCACTCCCAAGCCGTGAGCTGGGCTAGCCCGGAGCACCAGGGTGGCCGAGGGCCAGGGCAGGGCCTTGGCCCACCTCGCCCTGTTCTCTGCATGGCGGTGGCGCTTGGCCTGAGAGACGGGCCTTCCCATGCCCCACCGCCTGGGGTCACTGTTGACTGGAGATGCCTGGCATCGGGGCCGGGGGCTTTTGCTGGCAGAGGGAGCCCTCTGCTGAGAAGCTGCCACCCCTTAAAGTGGGAGGGGTGTGAGTGGAGGGCACCAAGGGTCCGGCCGGGACAGGCGGAATGCAGGGTCAGCTGCCCACTTTACCTGGAAGCTTATTGAGAGTTCTGGAGCCAGGACCATGTCTTGGGATAACTTCCCCTGTCCCGTACGTGCTCTCATAGAGTCACTGTGAAGGTGAAGGAGTGGGTGAGAGAAAAGGAGGGAGAGTTTGTGGGGTGATCAAGGGATTAGAGACAGGGTGGCATTTTCCAGGTACCAGAAGGGGGTGCCACTCAGAGGACTGCAGCATGTTCTGTGTCATTCGAGACTGCAAGGGGATTTTGCTATGGGAAGGGAGATGTCAGCTGAACAGCAGGGAAACCTGCCTGACAGCCAAGAATACCTAGGGAAAGGGTGGGACCTCCTGTAAGTGCAGCCCTCTGCCAGGGGTGGTTTAAACTAAGCAAGAGTTGGTGGCCTAAATGGCTCCTTCTGACTCTAGAATCCTACGCACATGGTCCTCAGTTTCTTGAAGAAAGAGGCAAGTAGAAAAATAGGGTTTTTTAACAAAAGAGATTTAAAAGGAAAGGGTGAAATCTCGCTTCCGAAGCATTTTGAAGAGTGCATTGAGCAGGGATTTGTTTCGATAGAGGAAGAGGATTGTGCCCCAGTATAGAAAATGATCCTGGAGTTCCTCGAAGGCTTTTCCGAGCTGCAGGCCCTGTCTTCATGCTGGAATCTGGCTGGGCCTGATCCGGCCTTGCCAGAGCAGCAGGGACAGAACCGCCACGCTCAGCGTAAACGTTCTGTCCTGCACCTTGCAGTCCCCGTCTCCGATGAGGATTCAGACGCCATGGTGGACGATCCCAATGATGAGGACTTTGTCCCCTTCCGCACCCGCCGGACCACTCGGATGTCCCTGCGCAACCAGATGGCCCAGCGGGCGGCCCGGTCCACTGTCACCAAGATGACTTGCGCCAACTGCCGGACACCGCTGCAGAAGGGGCAGACTGCCTATCAGCGCAAGGGCCTCCCTCAACTCTTCTGCTCCAGCTCCTGCCTCACCACCTTCTCCAAAAGGCCTCTCACCAAGAGGAACTGCACCTTCTGCAAAAAGTGGGTGCCGCGGCCAGGCCTCCTTCCTGCCCTGCCACCCCCCCACTGCCCCCCCCCCCCCGTGCAGGCATGCCCGCTGCCGCCGCCGGCCTCCTCACAGCCGCAGCGGCAGGCCTGGGAGCAGCCCCGGCCTGACTGGCGCTCTGTTGCCTGCAGGGAGATTTGGAACACCAAGGACTCTGTGGTGGCCCAGATTGGCTCGGGCAGCTCTTTCCATGAGTTCTGCACCTCGGTGTGCCTCTCGCTCTACGAAGCCCAGCAGCAGAGGCCGGCACCGCCGGCGGCAGACGCCTCGGACACGGCCCGCTGCAGCGTGTGCTACAAAGCCGGCGAGGTGAGTGCAGGGCGGGCTGGGGCGGGCGGGAGTGCCCTGCTGCTGAGGGGGCTTGAAGTGCCTGTGGTGGGCAAGACTCGGGAGCAGAGCCCTGGATCACTGGCAGGCGCCTCCCTGGAGCAGAGCAGCAGGACTGCGCCCCAGCAGACCGGTCTCCCGTCGGTGCTGGCGGGGGCGGCGCTTCGCCATACCTGGGTTCGCTTCCACAGTTTGTATCCTGAGGGGGGGCCAGTGGGAAGGCAAAGCAGTCCCTGCTGGGCAGCTCGCTGAGAGGCAGCCGTGGGGCAGGAAGCCCCTTTGCAGGCAGCCTCGGCCTTGCTGAGTTCTTGAAGCGCGGTGGCGAAGAAGGGGGCGCACGCTGGCAGGGCAGCCCGGCAGCAGCTCTCGGCTCAGGAGAAGCAGTGCTGGAGGGACAGGAAGCCCTCGTCAGCACCGGGCTGCCTGGACAGGGGCTTCTGAGTGGTGCCCGCACCGGATCGGTCCCCTGCTGAGGACAGAGCGCCTCACGTGCCGCCGTGCCCCGGGGCAGCACGGTCCGGTCCTCGGGCAGAGCGTGGCGTTGGCGCAGGGCATCGGAAGGCTGTGCCTTCCCAGGCCGGATTGCGGGGCGCCAGCTCCCCCGGCTCCGTTCCTCCCGAGGTGGAGGCGGGTGCCCCCCAGTGAGCGACGGCCCCGCCCCGCCCGCAGATCCAGCACGAGGTCAGCAACGGGAACGTCGTGCACCGCATCTGCAGCGACGCCTGCTTCACCAAGTTCCGTGCCACGAAGGGGCTGAAGACCAACTGCTGTGACAACTGCGGCCTCTACCTGTACAACAAGGGGCTGCCGCTGGAGTACCTCTTCCACGAGGGGCAGCAGAAGCGCTTCTGCAACACCACCTGCCTGAACAGCTACAAGAAGGTGAGGCTGGGCAGCGGGCGAGAGGCACCCGGGGCCCCCGCCCTGCGCCAGGGTCTCGGGCAGCAGCCCGCAGCCGTTGGAGCCCAGTCTGGCCACAGGCCTTTCCACCGGCGACCAGAAACCGGCCAGCCTGCCCAGCCTGCTTCCTCTCCGCAGCCTGAGGGTCTGTGCGTGTTGCTGGGGGAAGTGTGTAGAGCTGGCTCGTTGCGGGGGGCCCGGCAGGGCTTCGGACCCCTGACCATTGCCCCGCTCGTCTCCCTGCAGAAGAACACCCGGGTCTACCCCTGCATGTGGTGCAAGACACTCTGCAAGAACTTCGACATGCTGTCGCACAAGGACCGCAACGGCAAGACGAGCCTCTTCTGCTCCATCTGCTGCACCACCTCCTACAAAGTCAAGCAAGCCGGCCTGACAGGTGAGCGGCCGGCCGGCCCTTGCTGGCCCTCTGGGGACCCCGGGTGGGAGGCTTGAGGCTGTGCGCCTCGGGGGGTGGAGGGGCCGGGCCTGCCCTGCCGGGCACGGGTCTGTCCACCTCCAGAGGCAGGAGAGGAGCGCCGGGAGCCGGGGCCAAGCCTGTTCACCTGCCCGGCCTTTCCCTCTGCCCAGGGCCCGCCCGGCCTTGCAGCTTCTGCCGGAAGACTCTGCCTGAGCCCTGCTACTACAACAAGAACGAGCAGGTGGTGTACCAGTTCTGCAGCCCCAGCTGCTGGACCAAATTCCAGGTACATACGGAGGCTCGGCCGCCGTCACAGTGACGGGACCAAACCCAGGAACGTGGGTTTTCTGCATGGCTGCGATCTGGTGCATCCATCAGACTTCCGAAAAGTCTCTGCTTTCATATTTAAACACACAAAAAAGAAAGAAAGAAAGAAAGCAAGCAAGCAAGCAAGCTTCTGCTCTCATTGTTTGGTTGGTGATGGCCACATCTGCCCCCGGCCTAGGGCCAGAGGTGGCGTGGAAGGGGCTTCTCCTGGCCGAAGGTGGGGCTCGCGTTCCTCTCCCGAGCTGCCCAGGCCCTGCCGGGAGCACGCAAGCCCTGTTTAGCTGCACGAATCTGGGCTTCCATGAGCTGTGCGTTCATTCTCTCATCTTCCAGTCAGTGCTGCTTAGTAAGAAAGCCTGATCCCCCCCCACAACGCTCTCCCCAGGTCTCGTGTGTGAGGTTTTGCTGTTTTGCTTCTTGGACCTGCCTCCCCCAGCCGCCTCGCTTGCCTTGCCTTCCCCGTTCTGCATCGCCCCGGCACCCAACCTGCGCTCCCGCTCCTGGGCCCCGTGTGAGGGCCCCAGCCAGCCAGCCAGCCAGCCGGGCCCTGCCAGACCAGTTCCCCCGCCCCGCCCTGCTCCCCCACAGCCGCGTTGTTGCTCAGCATTGTATGGCAGAATGTCCTTCCCCCCAAAAAGCCCCAAATTGAGGTTCGCGAATACGGTGACATCACAGAAGCCCAGCCAATTGCTTGAGGCAGCGGTGGGGCAGGGCAGGGTGGATTGGTGCAGGGGGGCGGCTTCTGCATCTCATTTTTAGCTTATGGATATATCTATTTATGATGTTGAATCTATCGTGAGGGTCATTGTCTCAAATAAAGCTGTTTCTACTTCTGCTGATGCCGAAGAGAGTTTGTGTCTGCTATCCAATAAATCAGTCAAATTAACATTTGTGTGATTTGCATACTTTATTCCACCCGCAGAATGTGGCTCTTGTACTGCCAAAGAGCGTGGCCCAGCCCTGTTCCCCCCCCCCCCCCCGGGAGCGGCAGCTGCAGCAGCTGGAGGTCCCCTGGGAAGAGCCTGCATGGGAAGCTGCTGGTTGCTCCCCGCCTCCTCCTGCCGTGGGACTCAGTCTGCCCTCCATGGAGGGGAAGGCAAAGCGGGCCCCGTGCCTGCGGCCAGTGGGTTGGGGGCGCGAGGGGGGTGACGGGGGCGGGGCGGGCGGGGGGCGGGCCCAGCTGGCGGGGGCAGTGCAGGAGGCCCGGGGGAGAGGGCAGCACGGGGGGCGCAGGGGCTGCCGCGGGGGAGCGGGAGGCCTTCCGGGGGAGAGGCACGAAGCTGGACCGGCGAGTTGCGGGCCAGGCTCCGGGGGCAGGCGGTCCCGAGCCCCCTTCTGAATCTCTCCCCTTCCCTCAAAATGCAGCGCAACAGCCCGGAAGGTGGGATCCACTTGACCTGCCACTCCTGCCACAACCTCTTCACTGGGAAGCCCGAGATCCTGGACTGGCAGGTGAGGGGGCGCCCGGCGGGAGTGGGCAGAGGCCCGGGGCCCGAGGCGGGGCACGGCTTCCGCGGGGCAGCGGCAGGTGGCCCCGTGCGGCTGCGGGCCTCGCCCGCCGCCCACGCGCCTGCCGCTCTCCCCGGGCAGGGCTGCCACGCGCCCATTGCTCTCTCTGGCAGGACAAGGTCTACCAGTTCTGCTGCCGCGACTGCTGCGAGGACTTCAAGCGGCTGCGGGGCGTGGTGTCCCAGTGCGAGCACTGCAAGCAGGAGAAGCTGCTGCACGAGAAGATGCGCTTCTCGGGCGTGGAGAAGAACTTCTGCAGCGAAGGTATCTGGGCGGGGGGCCGAGCGCAGCCCTGTCTGGCGGAGAGGAAGAGGGGCGGAGGCCCCTCGCTGGCGCCTTTGGCCCGCGTCCTTCGTGTGTTTGGGTCGGCCGGGACAGCAGGCGGCTGGTACCCGGAGCGAGCGCTCGAGCCAGAGAGGCGGACGGGGAGGGGCCCTTTTGCACCCCCGCCACCCGGGGCCCGTGTGGGCTTGTCTTGCTGCGGGGGCGCGTCCGCTCCGCCGTGCCGTGAGGGCCTTGCTCTGGCTTCCCGCTGCCCCCAGCAGCCCCCCGGGGAGGTTTCACCCGTGTTGTTTCTCCGCAGGGTGTGTGCTGCTGTACAAACAGGATTTCACCAAGAACCTGGGCCTTTGCTGCATCACCTGCACCTACTGCTCCCAGACGTGCCAGCGGGCCGTCACCGAGCAGCTGGAGGGCAGCACCTGGGACTTCTGCAGCGAAGAGTGCAAGGGCAAATACCTGCTCTGGTACTACAAGGTCAGTGTGCCCCTGCGTCTGTGGTCTGTGGCTGGGCTGGCAGGAGGCCGAGCATCGTGGCGGGTCTGGCTGTTGGGGCAGCTGTGTGTGCATGGACTTGTTGGTGGGGGCCCCCACCGCCCACTGCTCTTCCACAGCTCCGTAGAGGGAGAGCCTGGTCCACCTTGAGGGCTGACATGGCTGCCCTCCCCTCTGCCCCTGGAGGCCTGGCTGTGCAAGCGGCCTCACGTTGGCTTTCCCCGAACGGGAAGTGGGTCCCCCAATCCCGGTTGCGCCTCTTTTGAAGCACCAGGGTCGGTGTCGGCGCCAAGCGTCAGCAAGGTTGGGCCCTTGCCAAGTCCGCCCTGCAAGCCAGGGCCCCCTGGCCAAAGCCCGCCACGCTGCTGCCCCTTCTCCCCACTGGCCTGCCCCTCGCTGTCCTGGCCGCAGAGGGAGCGGGGCCAAGGTGGAGCCAAAGAGGCCTCGGCCTCCACGCCCCTGGCCTGCCAGACACGCCGGTGGGAGCGGGAGCATCGCGTGGTGGTGAGCTCGCCGAGGGAGAGCGCCTGGGAGGGGTCTCGCCCGGGGTCTCAGGTGGTGGTGGTGGTGGTGGTCAGGGCTGTCTGTCCGCGGCTGCCTCAGCCTCGGCGTCCCTTGCGGCATGGCAGGGCCTGCAGCCGGGGCATCTGCCACGTCGCCGCCCTTTGCAGTGTGCGGCACCGGCTTTGTGGGACACAGGAAGGGCCGCCCAGGCCCCTGGGGGGGTGTGGTGCCTGCCCACGCCCCACGCCAGCCACCGGGAGCCCACCTCCTCCCGAAGCAGCTAGGTCCCCGGTTCCACCGCCCTTGAGCTTCAGGCCGTCCTGCGCCATCTGCCCTCCCGGCGGCGTCTTCCGCGGCTTCTCTGGCCAAAGGGCTCCCGGGCCAGGCGGGCCCCGTCCGCAGGCCGCCTGGCTGGCACGCAGCGGTGCCCAGGGCCAGGGCGGGGGGGGGGGGGGCAGATGCCATCCTTCAGCCAGGCTGGTGGAGCAGCTGCCTGCCGGAGCGGCAGCAGGGGAGGGCACCGAGGCGCTGAGGGCGGGAGCCCGGGCCGCGGGGGCTGCGTGGCAGGCCTGCCTGACCCCCCCCTCGTGGCCTTCAGGCAGCCCGGTGCCACGCCTGCAAGCGGCAGGGGAAGCTCCTGGAGACCATCCACTGGCGAGGGCAGATCAAGCACTTCTGCAACCAGCAGTGCCTGCTCCGGTTCTACAGCCAGCAGAGCCAGCCCAACCTGGACACCCAGAAGGGGCCTGAGAGCCTGCTGCACAGTGAGTGGTGTCGCGCTCGGCCCCGGGAGCCGGGGGGGCGGGGCGGGGGGGTGCCCGGGGCGCAGGAGCACGCTGGCCGCAAGGGCGGGCCGCCTGCCGGGGCCATCCCTCCACTGCTAACCTCTCTGGTTCTGTGACACGCAGGGCGAGCTGGCAGAGGCCGGGGCCGCCCGGAGCACCCACGTCCAGCAGGGAAGGCCCAAGTCTGCTGCTGTGCGTGGGCAGGGCCCGGCCCGGCCCGGCCAGGCCAGGGATGCTGTGCCGGCCAGCCGGCTGGCTTGGCTCACCGGCTCACCCACCCGCTCCTCTTTCAGACTCCAAAGCTAAGCAGTCCTGGGATGGGAGACCCAGAGGCAAGTAGGACGGGAGGCCCTCCTGTCGCAGGAGCGGCCTCCCTCTGCGCTGTCGCGCGGGTCCTGTTTTCCGAGGCAGGAGCTCTGGAGACCCACATGCTGCCCACAATGGGCACGGAAGCAGGGGAGGGCCCCCCCGCCCTGCCTGCTTCACAGCCTCAAAACTTGGCTCCGTTTGCTGTTTCTGAGACTGCTCTCTCACCACCCCCAACCCACTGGCCCACCCCGCATCCCCCCGGTTAACTGTCTCCGCCACAGTCGGCAACCCTTGGGCTGGGGCTGCGCATCGCCCGCTCTAAGCCGCGTTTTTTGCCGCTGGGCACGCGTCCCTTCTACGCAAAAGAGTCAACGGGTACGAATGTGTTTTTCGGCCACGTGGGCTGAGCGCATGGATTTTCGTGAACAAAAGGTGGGGCTCATAGGGCGCTGCTTTCAGAGTGAGTCCCGACCCTTTGGGGGCTTTCGGCCGGCACAGGATCGCAGGACACGCAGCAGCGGCTGGCGGGGCGCAGCAGGGCAGTGGCCCCTGGGGCTTGCTGTTGTGTCTCGGGTTGCGGCTCAGAGCGCCTTCCTGGTCCCTTCCTGGCTTTTGGTTTTGCCGGCGTGAGCCATGCGGTGCTCCATGTGAATCGCTGGTGGATGGGCCCGAAGGCCCACGTGTCTGCTTGTTTTTTGACGGGCTTCTCTCGTCCTCCCCGACCTCTCGTCCTTGTTTTCCAAACACTGGCTGATTCTGTTTTTTGTTATTACATTTATATCCTGCCTTTTTTCCTCTTGCAAGGAACCCAGGGCAGCTTATGTGATCCTCTTCTCCATTCTATCCTCACAACATTCCTGTGAGGTAGGTTAGGCTGAGTGTCAGTGCCTGGCCCACGATCACCCAATGAGCTTCCTAGCTGAGTGGGAATTGGACCCCGGACCTCCTGAGCACTAGTCCAGCATTCTGGCCCCCGTGCCACACCAGGTCCCTGGCAAAGCCCGGAGGCGCGGCCCAGATCTGCTCCCGAGCCCTGGCCATCTCTGGGGAGCTGCTCCGCGGCTCCCCCACCCGCAGGCCAGCCCTTCCGAGCTGCAGCTGATGCCCAGGCCTTGCCTGGGGAAGTGAGCGGGGCCCCGGCTGCCCTGTCCTAGCGCCTCAGGCCGCCCCCGGAGTGCCCGTGTGGGCAAGGGCTGTTGAGTCGAATCCCTGCATGGCGCAGGGATGCGCTTCAAGGCCCCCGGCGGATGGGTTCCTGGCCTCTGCTCAACGAAACGCCTGTCGTGGCGGAGAGCCCTCTCCTCCCCCGGCAGTCGGATCCGTTCACTGGCTGCGCTGCCCACTCAGAGGACCGTCCCACGGAGCCGTCCTTCGTGTGCCAGACGCCTTCCAGCCTGCCCCGGGTCGGAGATGCCAGAGGTCGAGTGGCGGCCCTTTCCCACGTGACAGCCCCTCGTGCTGGCCCTCTGCCTCCCCGGCACAGGCAGGTTCTGTGGGAGCGGCCCCTGCAGCTGCTCACCTCAGAACCCCTTTCCTTCCAGGTCAGACCCCAGAGCCAAAGCAGCCCTCCTGCACCCCACCCCAAGCGGAGAGCAGTGCGGTGAGTGCTTGCTGCCCCTCCTTTTGGCCAGCCCCAGGGTGGGTGGCTGTCGGTGTGGGGCCGGGGACGGCCGGGGCCTTGGAAAGGAGGGCTGGCGCTCAGCTTCACGAGGGCAGGCGGCTGTGCCCTCCTCTCCTGCATTGCTCTTGGAGCTGGCTGTTCCAGCGGCCCGGCCAGAACCCGAGGCCTGTGTACGCTGGGGGCCAGGCGCGCTCTGCGCCGGCTGCTGACGTGCGTCCTCTCCGGGCCTGCCCAGGCACCTGCAAAGAACAGCCCAGCTGCTGTGGCCCCCGCTCCTCCGCTGCCGCTGCCGCCGCTGCCGGCCACTCCACGGAAGAACAAGGCCGCCATGTGCAAACCGCTCCTGCAGAACCGGGGCGTCTCGTGCAGGGCAGAAGTGAAGTCCAAGGGCTGCCAGACAGGTGAGGGGCTGCCCGGCGGAGGCCTGAGGCCCAGGGGTTCGGCCCCCGCACTGTGGGCACCGGTGTTGCCCGGGGGGGGCACAGGGTGGGGCCGGCCTCTTCCCCACCTCCTGCCCTTCTGCCGCGTGTCCAAGCGGAGGGGCCTGCTGAGGGGCTGGCTTGGGCTCCTGGCTTCGCCCCCAGGCCAGGCCTCGCCCCCGCCTGGTCCCGGGAGCCTGTCCCTGCCAAGCACTTCCTGATGGGCGCCCCTTTCCTCCTCCCTCCCTGGCAGAGGATGACTGGAAGCCGCAGGTGGTCGTGCTGCCCATTCCAGTGCCCATCTTTGTGCCTGTACCGATGAACATGTACTGCCAGAAAGTACCCGTGCCTTTCTCCATGCCCGTTCCGGTAGGTCCCCGGTGGGTTTCTGGGCCCTGCCCCTGCCGCTGCCGCTGCCCTCTGCCCCCTCACTCCCTCTTGGGCCCGTCTTCCGCCCTCCCCAGGTGCCTGTGCCAATGTTCCTGCCGACCACGCTGGAGAGCACAGAGAAAATTGTGGAGACCATCGAGGAACTGAAGGTCAAAATCCCTTCCAATCCCCTGGAAGCCGACATCCTGGCCATGGCCGAGATGATCGCTGAGGCAGAGGAGCTGGACAAGGCCTCTTCGGATCTTTGCGGTAGGTGCCAAGAGACACTTGGCCTGCCCAAGCAGTGGCCCTGATCCCCAGGCTGCCTCCGGTCAAGCGGAGGAAGAAGCAGGGCGTTTGCTCTCCCACTGGTGTCCCCCTCCCAGAGTCCAAGGAAAGCTCCCCACTCTGTCCAAGCGAATAACACAAAGTTGCGGCTTTGCACCTCGCCCAAAATTGCTCCTGTAATTCACCTGACGTGGCCCAGAGGAATGCTGGGGATGATGGGGGTGTGGGAATGGGAAGCATGCCGGAAGAGCTAGTTCCTCGCTTGACGTCTGGCTTACGGAAGTAAAGTATTTTCCCAAAGGCCTGCAATTCCTACAGCAAGATTTGATGTGAATCCCACCTTTCAATCAAAGGAAAAAGGCAGGTTTGAAACAGCACCACAACCCCATGCAACACATTCCGGGGCAGCCTGCCTCAGCCCCAGTTTGAGGTTCCCTTCCGGCTGCTCCTTGCTACTGGTAGGTGCAGCTGGAGCAGAAATGAACAGGGTCCCCCAGCACACACGCAAACACACACCGTGGACACGGCTTTGCTGCCCCAGCCGGAGCGCCGCACGGGTTCCAGGAAGGTGTAACGGAGCGCTTCGCAGTTCCTCACTCCCACTTTAGATTTCCGAAGGGCTTTGAAAGCCAAGGAGGGGAGGCTGCAGGCTGAGCGCAGGGGGCCCTGTAGCACAGGCTGGAGTTCCCCATCCCTGACCCGTAGGGTTAACCCTTCAGCCCCCTGCAGTCTGTGCTCTGGCTGGCAAAGCACCCCTGGCGTGCTTGGGGCCTTGCACGCTTGTGCCGGCACCAGTGGGGCCGACGCTTGACCCGCTTCTGCGTTCACAGACCTGGTGAGTAACCAGAGTGCAGAAGGCCTCCTGGAGGACTGCGACCTCTTTGGGCCAGCCAGGGATGACGTGCTGGCCATGGCGGTCAAGATGGCCAATGTCCTGGATGAGCCGGGCCAGGACCTGGAGGCCGATTTCCCCAAAAGTAAGAGCAAGGACAGCCTTGGGGGCGGGTCTGCCCCGGAGCAGGAGGAAGGGTGTGTGTGCAAGGAGCGAGTTGGAGGCCTGGCCTGGCCTGGCCTGGCCAGAAGGGTTGCGGTGTCTCTCACCCTTCCTGGAAGCTTGGGGTCCCCTGCAAGGGCGGGTGTTGGGCTGGCCTGCACGGCCTGCGGAGGGGAGAGGCATTGGCTTCCCTCTGAGCCTGGGGCGGGTGACTCTTCCAGGGCAGAAAGTGTGGGCAGGTCTCATATCCGGCAGAGGGCTTGGGGTCTGTCAGCTCCCGGGGCCTTCCTCTTGGGCTCTGCCCACCTCTGCGGCTCTTCCCTCATCCAGACCCCTTGGACATTAACCCCAGCGTGGATTTCCTCTTCGACTGTGGCCTGGTGGGGCCGGAAGAGGTTTCCGCAGACCAAGACCTGCCCCGGGCCATCCGCAAGGTGAGCTCTGCTTGGTCCCCCCGCCAGACTGACCTTGTCACAGAGAAACACCTTTGCCTGCTCGGGCGAGAGCGTGGCAGGGGACGCCCAGCTTGGAGCGGGTGGCTGCAAAGGCGTCGTCAGGCAGCAGCTGTGAAGGAGGGGCTTTTGGGGGAGCCTTCCTGAGGGGAGAGGGAGCTGTGACCCCAGGACGGGAGCAAGGTGGGACTTCCATCCGGGCCGCAGGTGGGCAGATCACCTGGGTATTTCAAGAGAGCCCACTGGGGGGGCCCGAGGTGCACTGCTCTCCCGCCACGCCCACAAGTAGCTACAGCTCCGGGGGGCGCCCTTGTTCTCCACGAGGGGGGTGCGCCCTGGGTGAGAGCCACCCGCCCGGCAGCCCCTTCCGCCTTCCCTTCCCGCAGGGCCAGAAGCGGCTGGTGCTCTCGGAGAGCTGCTCCCGGGACTCCATGAGCAGCCAGCCCAGCTGCACGGCCCTCAACTACTCCTATGGCGTGAACGCCTGGAAGAGCTGGGTGCAGGCCAAGTATGCGGGGGGCGAAACCAGCAAGAGCGACGAGCTGCGCTTCGGCCGTGAGTCTGGGCTGAGGCGGTGGGGGGGCTGCTGGGGGGGGGGCCCGCCCTGTTCCAGTGAGCGCCCGCTGCCTCCGTGCCTAAGGCTGCCTCTTCTGGCCTCGCAGCCAAGCCCATGCGGATCAAGGAGGACATCCTGGCCTGCACGGCGGCAGAGCTGAATTACGGCCTGGCCCAGTTTGTCAAAGAAATCACCCGGCCCAACGGCGAGCGCTACGAGCCGGACAGCATCTATTACCTCTGCCTCGGCATCCAGCAGGTGCGCAGCCGCCGGCCCGTTCCTGGCCTCCTCTCCTCCTCCTCCTCCTCCTCCCTGTGGCCCCGGAGGCCAGTGTTTGCCCAGCAGGAGGCTCCACACGATGGCCGGCCGGGCAGCTTCCCGCAGGCACTTGCCCTGTCAGCCCAGCTAGTACTGGGAGGGAACACCTTGAGGGCGCATGGCCCTGCCTCCCACCTCTTGCACCTGCATGCCAGCCCAGAGTGGGCGCAGCCCGTGAGCACAGGTGCGCCTGCGCTCGGGACGGCATCCCCTTGCTGACCCCGCTGCTCTGCCCCATCAGTACTTGCTGGAGAACAACCGCATGGTGAACATCTTCACAGACCTCTACTACCTGACCTTTGTGCAGGAGCTTAACAAGACGCTGAGCGGCTGGCAGCCCACGATCCTGCCCAACAGTATGTAGCTGGGCGGTGGGAGGGAGGGAGGGGGGGCATCTTTCTTCCCCTCAGGGCCCGTGCGGTGCCCAGGTGGCCTCTCGGAACGGAGGCCTGGGATATCAGGATATCGGCGGGTGGGCTGCTGAGCTGTGCTCTCCCCCCTGCCCCCCGTGCTCAGCGAGCCACTTGCGACTCTCGAAGGTCTTTGACGGAGCAACCGGGATGCGCTTCTGCCCCTTATGCTGGGGGCGTGGGGCAGACGAAACAGCCCTGGGCCGCACGGTTTGGAGCCTCTTGTCTGGAGGCACCGTGGCTGCTCTGCAGCTATTTCCCTATTTCTCCCCAAGCGTCACAAATGGTGCCTGTGGCCTTCACGGGACCCTCGGTGTACATGGGAGGTTTGCCGCATCAGCCGTTCCATGTGTTGGACCTCAGGCTGTTTGTGCAAACACGCCGGGCCACTGTTGCCGAGGGCGAGGGGGAAAGAGCAGGGTGCCTGGGGAAGCCAGGGCTGCTCAGGGGTGCCTGACTGCCGGAACGTTGGCAAGGCTGAGAAAGTACTAGAGAGCATCCGTCCCGGGGCCTGCCCAGCGCGTGCGCCCAGGCCTGTTTCTTCTCCGCCCCGTCACCAGTGCCAGCAATTACCACGCGATTGCTCATTCCTGTTCATGACACCTCTGTACTGCTTCCCTGGAAAAGCCAAGGAGCTTCCGAAACGGCACGAGGGGATCAGGACCACGGAGCAGTCGAGACACCCAAGCGATGCCCTGCCGGGGGCGGCAGTCCTCGTGGCTGGGCGCAGGGAGCGGTCGACTCCGGCTGCCCCGCGGGGCCGGGCCGGGGGCCACGTGCCCTGAGCAGGCCGTGCTCTCTTGCAGACGCCGTCTTCTCCCGCGTGGAGGAGGAGCACCTCTGGGAGTGCAAGCAGCTGGGCGTCTACTCCCCCTTCGTGCTGCTCAACACGCTCATGTTCTTCAACACCAAGTTCTTCGGCCTGCAGACCGCCGAGGAGCACCTGCGGCTCTCCTTCGCCAGCGTGGTGCGCCAGTCCCGCAAGCGCAGCACGGCCCGGGGCACCGCCAAGGTGGTGAGCATCCGGTACTACGCTCCCGTGCGGCACCGGCAGGGGCGAGGTAGGGAACGCTCCCCCCGCGCGCTCGCCCGCCCCCGCTGGCCGGCTGGCCGGCCGGCCGGCCCGGGGTGACCGCCTCTCTCCCTGCAGACAGCGCTGCCGGCGGCGGCACGGGTGGCCTCGGCAAGCGGAAGCGGGAGGAGGAGCTGCCCGTCCTGGAGCAGCGGGAGAACCGCCTGAACCCGCTGCGCTGCCCCGTCAAGTTCTACGAGTTTTATCTCTCCAAATGGTGAGTGCTTCCCCGCTGATCCAGAGTCTTGTGCTGTGCGCATCGCGTCGCGCGTGGGGCTCCTGGAGCGGCGTCAGTGCACCTGGGAACGGAGCTGGCCCTGCCCACAGGCTTGCGCTCCAGAAAGACGTGGCTCGCGGGGAAGGGAAGGGAAGGGAAGGGAAGGGAAGGGAAGGGAAGGGAAGGGAAGGGAAGGGTGCCCTCCCGCCAGGCTGGGGAAGGGCCCTGCCTGCTGGCTGGCCGGCCGGCCGGCCTCCCACGTCCGCTCAAGAGCCCTTGGCAGGAGCAGGCGACTTGCCGGGGGAGAGGGTGGTCGGTGCCGGCGGCTGCGGGGCCAGGGGCAGGCGAGGCACAGGTGCACCTGAGCGGGGGCCCAGGGGCTTGTCCTGACCAGAAAGGAGCGCCTCTGTCCCGCCCCAGGGGTCGTGCTTCCCGGCCCTGGCTCTGTGCGTGGACTCAGGACGGGGGGCTGGAGGGGAGCTCTGGGCCGGGTCCCAGCCCCTGCAGGGGTCCCTGCTCCGCACTCACCAGCCGTCCCTCTCCCGCTGCGCAGCCCGGAAAGCCTTCGGAACCGCAACGACGTCTTCTACCTTCAGCCCGAGCGGTCCTGCATCGCCGAGTCACCGCTGTGGTACTCGGTCATCCCCATGGACAGAACCATGCTCGAGAGCATGCTGAACCGCATCCTGGCCGTGCGCGAGATCCATGAGGAGCACAGCCGCGGCAGCGGCTTGGATGACGACACGGACTGAGGGGCCTCGTCTCTCCGGGGCGGGCTGGGGCACCCCACACGCTGGGCAGAGCCGGGGGGTCTGTTGGTGTACCTCACTGCCCCTGCCCTGTCCGGGCCGACGGGCCCGTAGGACTCCAGCCACGGCCCTGGGAGGAGCCACGGGCCGCCCGCCGCCTCCTCGGAGTCCCGGCCCACCCTCCTCCCGGCCCTCTGGGGCCCGGTGGAGTGGCGGGTGGGCAATGCCACAGGCTGCTCTTTGTTTGTGGAAGGGGTGCGGAAGCATCCTGGTGGGCGCTGGGCCTCTGGGGAGCCCAGCAGGATGGACACAATCCTGTCTTCCTGCTCGCACGTCCCCTAGTGGGGGCTCCTGCTGCCGTGTCCCCCTTCCCTTCCCTTCCCTTCCCTTCCCTTCCCTTCCCTCCCCTTCCCTCCCCTTCCCTTCCCATAGCTGGCGGGCCTCTCCCTGCCTCCCCCAGCGGTCTGACTCCTTCCCCCTTTCTCTCTCGTCGCTGCTGGGGAGCAGGCCCTGCGGCAACACCGGCTGCCGCCGCTTCCGCGAGGCCCAGCCGCCCCCACGGGGCAGCGGCCGCCGGCTCCCCACGCCTCCCCCATCCGTGTGTGTCGCCTTGAGCTCTGCTCTGTGGCTGGTGATGGTGCCGTCTGTCGAGCCCTGTACATACTGCTCTGGCCCAGCCCGCTTGTGTCCTCGTCGCCAGGGAGCCGGCTGCGGGTCCCACCGCCGTGATGCCGGGCGCTGGGCCTGCCCCTCCCCGTGTCTCTGGAAACCATTCATTTCAAATAAAGGCACAAAACCTGCCTTCCGCTCTCCGCCTCTCATTTCAGCCAGGGGAGCAAGAGGGCGCCCAGCCCGTCTGCCCCACAGAAGGCGCCGTGAGCAGAAGGTGGCGGGTCCTCGTAGCTTGACCGAGCCCCCAGCCCAGCACTCGGCCGGCCAGCTGCTCCCAGGATCCCTCAGGCCGGACGAGCGGGCACAACACCCTGCCCTCGAGCCCCCCCAGAGCTGCCTGGACTGGTGCCGTCCCCGCTTCTTGCAGAAGTGAGTCCCAGGATTTACCTGCGTGGTGGGAAGACTTCTCTCTTGCATCCTCTCCAAGTAACTCCCCAGATCAGCCTGAGTCCAGGCTTGATAAGCAGGAGGGAAAATGCCTCCCTCTTCGTTTTCTCCATGCTGGGCATCCTTTGTGTCCCTCAGCGGTGCCTCCCCCATGCACTGGCCTCTTCCCTCGGCTAAACTGCCCCACTGCTGCTGCTGCTCTCCCCTTGGAAAGGCCTTTCTCTGCACCCCCTTCTCGTGTGGGTGCCTGTCAGCACTCCAGCTTCAGGTGTTCGTCGGGGGAGAAGGCTGCCCGCTCTCCCTCCTAACGCCGCTGTGGTGGGGCAGAGCCTCCCACAGGCCTCCGGAGCCCCGCTCGCATTCTGCCCGCCAGGGGGCAGCAGGCTCTGCCGAGACAGGCCCCTCCGCCGGGACTTGGCCGGCCGCTTCTAGGGGAGGGCAGTGGTGCAAGGTGGCGGGCGGAGCAAGGGCGGGGGCAAATGGTGCCAGGAGGGCCCCTGTGGCGGGGGGCAAGGAAGGGGCCTCCCTGCAGGGCCCCCCACGCCTCCAGGGCCCGTGGCTGCCCGCCCTCCCTCCGCAGCCAGCCTTTGCAGGGGTGGGGGGCCCAGGATCTGGAGCACTGAGGGCCAGGACACCGCCGGCCGCACCGGCGAGTGGGAGGCTGGCTAGACAGACAGGTCGCTGGGCCTCCACTTCTGGCTGGACCTGCTGCCCCGCTTCTGGCCCCCCACCCTGGTGGGACTTGGGCTGGCTGCCTCCGAACCAGGGCGGGCTTGCTCGGCCTCCTGCGGGGAGCGGCTGTCCGGGGGGGTGCGGCTAGGGCGGAGGGGCCGGGCTCGGCCGGGGGCGTTGGCCGTGGAGCCGGGCTTGGGCCGGCACTTGGTGGCGGCCACGTGGAGCATCTCCACCACATTGAGCAGGAAGGAGAGGCAGGCCACGGCCAGCATGAAGAGGATGAAGATGGTCTTCTCGGTGGGCCGGGAGATGTAGCAGTGGACGGTGCTGGGGCAGGGCCAGCGGCTGCAGGTGTAGAGGGGCTTCAGCTCGAGGCCGTAGAGGGCGTACTGGCCCAGGATGAAGCCCACCTCAAAGAGGGCCTTGAAGACGATGTTGCAGATGTACGTCCGCAGGATGGCCCCTCGCAGGTGGATCCGGCTGCACGTGCCCCGTGTGGGCACGCCGCTGGTCCCGGGGTGGGCACCGGGGCTCCCGGCGGCCTCCCCAGCCACCCCCCCGGCTGCCCACGCCTTCTCCTCCCGGCGCACCAGGTGCAGGATGTGGCCCAGGTAGATGAGGCTCGGGGTGGAGACAAAGATGATCTGCAGCACCCAGAAGCGGATGTGGGAGATGGGGAAGGTCTGGTCGTAGCAGACGCTCTGGCAGCCGGGCTGCTTCGTGTCACAGGAGAAGCCGGACTGCTCATCCCCCCAGACCTTCTCCGCCGCGGCCCCCAGCACCAGGATGCGGAAGACGAAGAGCACCGTCAGCCAGACCTTGCCCACCACGGTGGAGTGCTCCTGGCTGCTCTCCAGCAGCCTCCCCAGCAGCTGCCAGTCCCCCATGGGAGCCGTGCGGGCCAGCCTGCAAGGGAGAGGCCCGGTGCGTCAGGACGGGGCCAGGCCTGGGGGAGGCCGGCTCTCCAGGCGCAGCTCGATGCCGGCAGGCGGCGCCTGGTCTTTGTTCTCGCGGGGCCCTTGTCCCTGAAACGCCAGGGCCTGACTCGACCGAAGGAGCTCCCTCCACCCGGTCCGCCCAGGGTGGCGGTGCTCCTCACAGTTCCAGCCACTTCGAGGCGAGCCAGCCGCTTCTTGCCCCAGCACCAGAATGGGAGGAGGAGGGCCGGGCTCCAGCAGGGTGGGGCCAGGGCGCTGCCCCGGTGGGCATGGGGCCCCGGGGCTGGCCGATGCAAGATTGGCCCCCCGGACGAGCTGCAGGCAGGAGCTTGCCCAGCCCTGCCTGCGCTCAAGACCCTCTGTGTGCCGAGCAGGACCTCCAAAACCGAGCAGCAGCCTTCCCACCTTAAAGCAAAGCAAGGTTCTGGCCCTCGTGGTTCTGAGAGCAGCTGCTTTAACGCAGATCATGGTAAGCCCAGCTCAGCGTCGTGCCCACGGCTCACCCCGCCCCAGGATGCTGGAGATCCACCCTGCGGTGTTCCACATGCCAAGAAGGGGTGCTGTTACGGAGCTGCAGCACCCCTGCGCGGCTCGCTAGGACTGGGGGTGGGCATTTGTGGGAGGGGGTGGGCAAGCCCCTCACAGCCTTCCCCGAGCCAGCTGAGCGAAACTCACCCCTTGCACGCCAGGAGGCTGCAGCCCTCGGGAGCCGAAGTCCACAGTCGCCCCCACTGCCCGGCGTACGGGGGCAGCTCCTCGAGTGCGCACGCTCCCCGGAGCCCAGCCAGTCATCCAGGTGCGGGTGCCCCCCGGGAGCCGCAAACGCTCGGGCCTGCGTCCCCTCCGAGGCCGGCGCTTTGCTGCTGGCACAGCTGGTCCACTCACTGGCGCGCTTCAAGCCAGGTGGGGCCTCTTCTGGACTGCCTCTCTCTGGAAACAGCCTCTCGCACATGGGGCCGCGCGGGGCGAGGGGCTCGTGCTTCCGCCGGCGCTGCGGCGCGTGGGACCTCGGAGTGACCTGCCTCTGGGAGCGCGCATGTCCTGGGAAGGTCGCCCCGTTCCTCGGGCAAGGCACTTTCCGCTGGCCCTCGCTGGCTGCCCCTCCTCTCGGCCCCGCCTGCTGCCTCACAGCAAGGTGACTCTGCGGGACGCACGCTGGCCCCCGGCCCCCGCCTGACCCGTGTCTCCTCGGAAACCCCGGGAGAAGCGCGCCGGCCAGCTGGCCAACGTTACAGCTACCCCGACCCCTATGGGGGGCTGGGGCGTGGGTGGGAAGGGGAGGGCTTGTGTGTCCCCGTGCCCCCACACACTTCCCGGGCAACACGCCGCGGTCGGGCTCTGCAGGGTTTGGGCCACTCACGCCAAGGAGGGGAGGCCGTCGGAGGGCGGCTGTGCTCCACCCCGAGGCCCTGCCCGAAGCCCTCCTGCCCATCTCCACCTGCAGGTGCGGAGCCTGCCCACCTTCACGACACCTCTGCTTACCTCTGGACAAGCCAAACCACGCTCCTTAGAGATACGGCCCCTCGCGAACCCTGGGCCAGACCGGGCTTGGGTGGGAGGCGCCGGGCACCGACACGCTCTGGCCAAGCGGCTTGGCCAGAAGAGAGCACTGGGCTCGGCAGACCTGCAGCGTGTCCCCATGGCAGGGAAAACACCGTGGGTGGGATGGCCATGGTCCCCCCGCCTCTCCATCGGGCCGGCCTTCATCCTCACCCCTCCCGACCCGGGGCCCCTCTCCACCCGCCTCCCAGTGCAGCAGAAGGGCCAGGGGGAGGCACACCGGGTGGCCAGCCCCCGCGGGGAATTCTCTTCCACCCATGCGCATGTGTCCCCCACGTGCTGCGGCTGTGAGAGGACTGCGCCACGACCCTCTTACTGGGACATGAAGGAGCAGGAGCGGCCCTTTGGCCCTGGCCGCAGCTGAAGGGCCGTGGGGTAGTCCTGGTCTCCTGATCCAAGGACGGGGGGGGGGGAACGGTGCCCCAATCTCAGGGGGACTGGAGATTGGACACCCCACCCTGCCCCACTTGTGCAGAAAGAACTGGGCCAGGTGTCCTCCAAAGTCAGGAGCAGGAGCACATGGAGGGGGAAGGGCAAAGATGCTGGGGAGGCCTGGACTGGGCTCCCCCAGCCTCTCCAGCCTCCCCCCCCCCAAAAAGCCCCACTGTGGCTGCACGGGGGAAAGCGCCTCTCCTGAATAATGTGGGGCAGGAGGAAAGGCAAGCCAAGAGTGCCTTTGTCCCCCGCCCCACATAGGATGCCTGCAATTTCTGGGGCCTCGGAGCAGTGAGGACCGTCCCGTGGGCACGTGCATTGTAAGCTGTAGGCAAAACCCACAAAGAAAAGCAGCCGATGGCAGAACTGTAAAACCTTCTTTAATACTGTCACTGCTGTGGAACAGTGATGTGTGGCAGGCATTCGGGTCCCCTGCTGAAAGAGAGCGGCAGGGGGCAGGTTTTCTGGGGGGAGGGCTCCCTGTCCTGTTGCAATCCACCTGACGAGCAAGACCTGGTGGTGGTGGTGAAGGGGAAGGCGCTGCCTCTTGCTCGCTCTCCTCCCGGCCGCACCTGTGGAGCGCTGCCCAGGAGGAGAGGCGGGCGCTGCCCAGCCTGGGCCCAGCTGCTTGCGATTCCCTGGCACTCAAGGCGGGGGGGGGGGGGAAGGGGGGGGGGGGGTTGAGCACAGGGCGGCAGGGGAAGGACACAAGCTGCAGAGGCTGCCCGAAGGGGACCGAGGGCGCCCCGTGAATTCTGCGGCCTCAAATCGCCAGAGGCCCTGCCCATCCTGGGTGCAGGAGGCACAGCAGGGACCGCCTTCCAGCGGTCCCGATCCACAGCCCGGCCTCCTCTTGGGAGCTGCCGCCAGCGTGAGCAGGGAGGTTGGGGGTCCGTGTGCGGCAGGCGCCCGGGAGGGGGGACCGATGCAGCTCTGCTGCTGAGGCTTCCCAGCCTGACAGGCACTGCAGGCGTACAGAGCGCAGGGAAGGATTCCCGGTCCCTGGCGAACGGGGGGCAGGGCGGGGTGAGGGGCTGAAGTCGCACCCTCCTCCTGCGCAGTCCCCACGAAGGGCGGATTCCGTGGCTGCACCAGGCGCCCCGCATCTGCTGCGCTGGGGCGCCTCAGGCAGCCCGTGGGCTGGCAGGAGCAGGGCGCGCTGTCGGGAGGGCGAGCGAAGCTCCGTGGGAGGCCGGGAGGCCGGGCGGCCACCGCTCCTCCCGCGGCGGCCCGTGGAGGGTCCTCCGGCCGGCCGGGGCGCAAGGGGCCTGGCGGTCCTGGCCCTCAGCAGGCCGAGCAGCGGTCGCTTTTCTCCTGCAGCCCCGAGTTGCGGCGGAGAAGGTCCTTGAGGGAGCCGTCCTGCTCCGTCAGCAGCTGGTTGATCTCGTTCTGCTTGTACTCGGAGCTGTGCTTGTGGCCCAGGAAGGAGCCCTTCCCCGAGGAGGGGTTCCGGCTCCGCTGCACGCGGCGGGCACAGGCCCGGGCCATCAGGAACACCAGCTCGGCCACGTTGAGGACGATGCAGATGCCCGAGGTGGCCAGCATGAAGACGGTGAAGATGGTCTTCTCGGTGGGCCGGGAGACGAAGCAGTCCACGACGTTGGGGCAGGGGTACACGTCGCACTTGACCAGCCGGACCATCTGGTAGCCGGGGTAGATCATGTAGAAGATGTACATGAAGGTGCCCTCGAAGAGGATGCGGAAGAGCACGCTGCAGACGTACGTCCACCACAGGGAGCCCGAGATGCGCATCTTGTGCTTCTTCACCTCCTCCAGGTGCTTGGCGTCCCCGTGGCCCGCCATGACCAGCAGCTTCTTCTCCTGGTGCTGCTGGTAGGCCACGTGCATGGCCACGAGCAGCGCCGGCGTCGTCACCAGGATGAGCTGCAGCGCCCACAGGCGGATGTGCGAGATGGGGAAGTAGAAGTCGTAGCAGACGTTCTTGCAGCCGGGCTGCTGCGTGTTGCAGGTGAAGGAGGCTTGCTCGTCCCCCCAGACGCTCTCGGCCGCCACCACCAGCACCATGATGCGGAAGATGAACACCACGGAGAGCCACACGCGGCCGATGGCCGTGGAGTGGCGGTTCACTCCGATCACCAGGGAGTAGAAGCCTTCCCACTTCATGGTTGCTCACGGCTGGAAGGAGAGGCGCAATCCCATCAGGGCCAGAAGCAGGCACCCACAGGGTCGTGGGACCGCTGGGCGGCGAGGCCTCTTCCCCCCACGTGTGCTGGTCATTCACGCACCCCCTGGCGGCATGCGGGTCGCCACATCCTCTCCACTGGGCACGGCAGTGCCTCCCAGAGCAGGCCGCAGGCCCGCAAGCCACGTGTTCGGGGCGAAGCTCACCGGTTGTGGCCAGCGTGGCAGTCTGGCACATTGTACGGCATGCGACGCAAGCGCCTAGAAGACGCTGCCACTGCAGCTTCTTCGGCTTTCGTGCGCCGTGTTTTCGGGACAGGTGCTGACCCTCACCTGGCAGCTTTCACCCAGTTGAACTGATCTTGGGAGCGCTCTGACCTAGGGCAGGGCTCCTCTTGGCAACCGGAGGGCGCTGCGCAGCACAAGATGGCTGCCAGAGGAGGCATGGCAAGGGGCCAGGCACCTGCCCCAAACCTCAAGTAAGGGGCACAGGTGAGGTTTGAGCCCAGCGCACTGAACGACCCCTTTGAACTCCCCCCAGTCAGCCCCAAAAGCCATTTCGCAGTAATCCCACCCGCTGATAAGAAAGTTTTTTTTTTTTTAAGTTCATTTTTTTAACAATGGCTGGACTGGGCTGTGCAGCGTCTGTGCAAAAGACGTTGACTTGTACTCTGCACACATCACGGCACACCCAGCTGTTCCCACACAGTGTGGGAAAGAGGGCATCTGCCGGAATACGGGAGCCTCCTTGGGCAGCTGGGGGGCCCAGACACAAGCCTGCCACTGGAACGGCCGGGGCTCGCTCGGGCCGGCAGTCCTGGGGAGTGGCGCCAGCTCTCCATGCACCTTTGTTCTGGCCGCTGCATCCCTCCCGCTCCGTCCTGCCCGGCTGCTACCGGAGGCATGGGCGGTGGGTGTGGAGGAACAGCCCCAGGGAAGGCTCCCCGGCTCTGGAACGGCGCTGCTGGCTCGCAACGGCTCTCGGCCTGGTGCCAAGGGTGTTTTGGGGAGCAGAAGGCCGGGCCACACCCTCAGGAGAGCCCCTCTGGGATTTCAGGCTTTTGTGGCGGGGAAGGAGGTGAGCCGGCCAGGTGGACTGCTCCCCATGCGAAGCACACCACCCCCTTTCCTCTCCCGCTCCCCACCGGCCTTCCGTGCCTTACAGCTTCTCATGGGCCCTTGATCCGTTTCAGGTGCGGCCCCAGCCGTTGACCGGCCCGCCGAGCGGCCACACATGGCAAAAGGCCTGCCCACAGGAGGACAGGAAGGCAATGGAAGCCCCCGGCTGCCCAGAGGGGGCCATTCTCCGGAGGGCCGTGTGCCGTGCCCCCCCCAGCTCCCCCCACAGCCCACCCCGCCTGCCCCAGCACTGCCCTCCCTCGGCGGCCGCCTGGCGGCTGGAGGACTCACCAGCCCTTCCAGAGAGACCGCATTGCGGGGGCTCAGCAAAACCCCGCTCTGGTGCTGCGCAAGCCGCCCCCACCCGCAGCAGCCCCTCCGCTGGGGATGAAGACCGGGCACACACGGCCTCCAGTTCCTTGTCCCGCAAGATGCCCCGCCGGGCCCGTGCCAGGCAGGTGGGGCTCTCTTCTCCGGATCCCCGGCGCGCCAGAGTGGGCAGTGCACAGGCCGGGTGGAGGGTGGCCCCGGAAGCCCGTCTTGGGCCGGGGCCTCGGGCTGGCCACATGCCCTCCGCCCAGCCCCCACCGGCAGGCGGCGACGGTGGCCCTGCCCTGCCCTGCACGGTCGCTGGAAGGACACCCGCAAGCTCTGTCGGGACGGCAACGTGCAAAATTCCCCGGCGTCACGGATTCCGGGGACTGGGGCTTCCCCGCCAGTGGCTGCTGCCGGCTGCCTGACCAGGGGGCTTCCTTGGCTGCACCCCCAGGGCAGCCCCCCACCCCGTCCTCCATTACCTGGGTGAAAAGCGGGGCTGCGCGGTCCACCCCGAGCCAGAGACCCCTCCCTGTGGGGACCTGGCACCAGCTGCTTACCTTGCGGGGCGGGCAGGTCTGTCCCGAGGCTGCGGCGGCCGCCGGCTGCCTCTACAGGCACATGCCTCCTGCACTCTGTGCCCAGCTCGGGACACTGCTGTTTAAACTGCTTTGCATACAATGGGCCCTTTATCAGCCCGAAACAACACACTTTAGAATTCGGGCCGCCTGCCCGCCCGGACGTCCGCCCACCCTCGCCAAACAAAGTGCCTGTGTGTGGCTCCCCGGCTGCCCTGCCCACAGCGACACCGGGTTCCAGGCTCCGCCGGGGCTGCCCCCTTGCCCAGGGTCCGCTCCCTCCCCAACGGGGCTCAGAAGCCTGCGGTGGGCATTCGGGGCCTCATGGCTTCCCCGGGACGGCAGGCCACTCCTGGCGGGCTGCCCTGATGGGCCTCCGAGGCATGGCCCCGCCCTGCCCAGGGAGAGGGAAGAGTTAAGGCTGCGCTTGCTGTCCCCAGGGCCAGAGGTCAGGCTGTTCGACACACGCCAACTGCCTCTGCCGTGACGCTTCTTGGCGTCAGCTGCACCGTGTTCCACGAAAAGGAAGGCGATCACGTCTCCTTCCGGGGTGCGGAAAAGAGTCAGCGCGGCCGGAACCCAGTGCCAAGCTTGGCCGGACACAAAGGGGCTCTCAGTCCCAGGAGTCGGGAGGGCGACCCCCCCCCCCCGTCACGCGCATGCGGTCTCAAAGGGCGGCGCAGGGCTGGAGCCTGTGGCTGGAGCTGCCCGCTTTGGCACGGGCAGGGCCCTGGCCAGCCTTCCGCAGGGACCCCCGCCGCATGCGGGCAGGTGCCCCTGCGGCACGAGGGGGGGGCAGCTGTGGGGGGGAGGCCCTACGCTGCCCAAGGGCAGGTGTGCTCGGTGGCCCGTCTGTCCAGGGGCTGCCCGGCGGGAGGGATGGTGCCCAAACGAGGCCGCTGGGGCTGGCAGGCCGGCAGAGGGGCCAGAGGCCGGGAGGGCGCTTGGCGCCACCAAGAGCACGCAGAGCCCCTCCCCGCCGCCCCTTGTGGTGCAGGCGGCGGGGCTGCGGCCGCTTGGGACAGTGGGCAGGTAACCATTAAGCCAGCTCAAACACAGCAGAGCAAGGGCCACGGGTGGCCAGGGAGCAAAGTTCCCTTTGCCCCCCCGCCCACGAGCGATGTGTGGGCAAGGAGCAGCCCTGTCCTCCCGGGGGGCGGAGGGAGGCACACGGGCAGCAGCCCAGCTTCACTTCTCCTTGTCCCGGGAGCAAGGTGGGCTTCCGTTTGCGGGGTTCTGCTGCATTTGACGCTCACCGGAAAAGTGCTCTCCATGCTGCTAGGAAGGGGGTAGGGGAGTTTGATGGAGAAGAGAGTCCCGGGGGGGGGGGGGGCCCCCCCTACAGGCCCGGGGCAAGGGGGCCCGGGGCCACCCCCACCCCCCCCGGGGCCAGGCGCCGGGCCGGCCCCCCAGGGGGGCGGCCCCCCCCCCCCCGGCACCTGCTTTTGCCCGAGCTGGTCGAGGCTCGCCCTGCCCTCGCCTCTGGAATGCTTTGGTGTCCTCCTCTCCTGCGCCTCGTTCGTGGCATTATCGATCCCAGCTTGGCTGGATCTGGGATTTTAGAAGTGGGCCTGACTTTGCACAGAGCCCAGCGGACTTTCTTCTTTGGCAGCTGCTGGACGCCGCCGGCAGAGAAGCCAGGCGGCTGGCGCCACCCCCCGAGGGCCACGGCCCAGCCACTGCTGGCCCCACTGGCCCTCTCCCAGGGTGCTCCTGGGGAGAGGGCCGGGGGCCGAGGGCAGCGCTCCGCGTGCCGCCACCGAGGGACGGGGATGGCAGTGTGGCCCGGCAGGACGCTTTGTGGGCAGGGACTGGACCGGCACCGGGAAGGACGCGGGCCGGGCTCCGCCGTGGGGGAGAAGGCCAAAGGCAAAGGAGCCCGCTGGGACCTGGGAAGGGGCTGGCCTGGGGGTCTCCCGGCCTAGCAGGACGGGGAGAGCAGGGCTGCCCCCGAAGGCCGCCTTCCTGTGCCCGGGCACGTTGCAGCCGCGCCGGCAGGCGGAGGCCAGCAGTCACACGGCCCACAGTCCACCTGAGGCTGCCGTCCCTTCGGCTGCAGGTGGGGTTGGCTCGGTGCCGACCTCAAGACCTCTTCCTCCCGAGGAGGTCGGGGTAACCTGCCCGGAAGGAAGGACGGTCCCCGGGCTGGGGCAGCTTCGTGAGCACCGAAGGTCCCAACATCTGGGACACTTCAGCTGGGGAAAATGAGGAGCGGGTGGGGGGGCTTCCCTCCCCTTGTGAAACTGAATGGTGGAAGGGTCAGGAAAACTGGAAGGACACCCCTTTCACACAGTTAAACTGCAGTATTCAGATGGCTATTCAAGGATTAAATCCACAAAGGATAAAGAAGCTGGGAATCCTAGTTTACATAGTGCCACCAGGATGCCCATGTACCCCAGCTGCTGGGGAACATGGGCAGGAGGAGGCTGTGGCATTCCCATCTTGCCTGAGGGTTCCAGGGAGAGGCTGGTTGGCCTCCATGTGAATGGAAGAGCGGACTGGATGAGCCTTCGGGATCTTCCAATGTCCTTTGCTTCAGCCATGGAAAAACCGGATCCTGAGCCACGAAAAGCAGAATTCCGAGACTCAAAGATCGCTGCAGTGTGGCCTAGTGGTTGCACTGCTGGGCTGAAGCGGGGACCACCCGAGCTCTGGCTCCACTCAGTCATGACTCCCACTGGATGGCTTTGGGCCTGGCACTCGCACTCAGCCTATCCGACCTCCCAGGTTGTTGTTTTCAATTGTGAGCAGAACTTGGAAGCCACCCTGGGTTCTTTGCACGAAGAAGGAAGGTGAGGTATAAATGCAATGAAATAAGAGGCCCTTTTCCCTGGAAGCCCAGCCAGCCAGTTGTTGCCACAATCTCTCTCTCTGAAGCATTCAAGCCCCCATGAGGACTAGAAATGTGCATTCTCAGGCTGTTAAATACAGCAACAAATACTAAGGTCTGCACTACACTGGACTGGCTCAGGAACTCTTGGCCTGGCAATCTACTCCTCTGTTTAACTTCCAGAGCTGGAGCTGAAGCTGAGAAAAATTACTCAGAACTGAGATTTCCCTATACAAGCCACACAACAACACAGAAAGAGGTAAGAAACGGACTAGGTTTTGGGTATTTGGATTATCCCACTTCGGCATTTCCCCATGAAGCTTGAATCCTGGATTTTGAGGTTTGAGGGCAAACTCTAAGATTCCACCTCCCCCCGCAACACACACAGAGAAATGGATTTTGGCACAGCCTGCGCATTGCCCGAGCCCCCTCCTGGTTCCCAGCCAGCGTCTTCGCGCACCCCTCACTCACCTTTAGCAGAGGCAGGCGGAGCCGAACAGCCACCAGCATAAACTTCTTGCCAGCCAGTCTGCCAACCTTTATACTGGGCGAGAGTCTCCTCCCCTTTCCCTGCCCCTTTCCATCTAGGGAAAGCCAAGGAAGAGCAGATGCCCTTCCTCTCCCGCCCAGAAGGCTGCTCTTCTCTTCCCCTGGAGCCCCCGAAGCCCAGAGGAGTCTCCAGGTGTGTGCCTGGCCCCGCCTGCCCTGCCCACAGGTGGCCCTGGAGGTGGAGCCCAACCAGTTTGGTCCACGCAACTCCGAGGCCCGCACGGGCTCCTTTCCCCGGGCTGCAGACGCAGCCTCTTGTGCCCACACCCCTCCAGGGAAGCTGCGCCCTCTCCAAAACAGGAGGGCTGGCTCCCTCCTCTGCCCAGTGCCTGCCCACCTGCCTGGGCACCGCCTGGCATTAGTTGCCACCACCCAGGCAAGGGACTGTAGGGTGTCTTGGAAGCCTCCCAGCCGCTTGCCGAAGCAGATTCCGCCTGTAAACATTAACCCTTGTACTCGCACGCTGCATTCCAAGGTCCCGTTGACAGAGGGAGGCAAACAGCTGGTGAAGCAACCAAAGCTCACAAGGCCCCGAGAGACACGCCGTGGGGCCACGCGGTGGCCACCTTCCCGGCCACCAGGCGCAGGGGGGCTGCCCCGGGCCCGGTGAGGGGCTGGCTGGTTGCTTCGCTCTCCGGCCGGGCCCCCGAACGGCTGGGCACCGCTCCAACAAGCCTGCTGCAGCGCAGGGGGTGGGGCGGACGAAAGCACCCCTGGCGAGCACCAGCGGACAGCCCACACCCCCCGAGCCCAGGCCAGGCAAGCAAAGAAACGTGGAGCTGACGGGGCCGGAGGGCCATCGGGTCCACCCCCACTCAGCACCGACCCCCAGTGAAAGCGCCCCTTTCAGACGGGCACCCGAGCGCCACTGGTGAGGGCGAGCCCGTGGCCGCCCTCCGCCACCGGCTCCGTTGCGCCCCACTCCCGCCAGGGAGTTCTTCCTCTCATTCAGCCAGCACTTGGCCTGCCAGGACTTGGAGCCGTTATTTGGTGTCCTGCAGTTGGGAGAGATCTTGGCCTTCCTCTTTGTAGCACCTCCCCGAGTCCTTGCGGAGTGACACCATCTCTCCCCCGAACACTCGGCCTCCTCTTCTGGAGGCTACCTGCGCCCGTTCTGTCAGCCTCTCCTCGGAGGGCTCTGTAGCTTTGCTTGCAGGCCCCGAGTCACCCCTGCTGCCCTCCTCTGAGCCCTTTCCAGCTTGTCTGTGGAGCTGAACAAATCCCCAAGACAAATCGGGATGCCTTTGAACATTATCCATACCCCGCCCCCCGAGCAAGTGCAGAATGCAGTCTGTCTTCTGCCTCCAGCCCGGCTTCTGGGGTCGCAGGGGCAGCAGCTGGCTCAGAGGGGCTGGTCTGCGAGCATCACTGGTGGCGGGTCCCAGCCAGAAAGCCCGGCCTGGCACAGACCCCTGCCGTGTTGAAGCAGCCTTTGATACCCCAGGGCCCCCAGTGGATTGTCCCCCGGCGTGGACGGCCACGCGCTGCTGTGGCTGGGGACCGCGTCCCAGGAGTGTTCGCCCCTGCCAAGGGACTCCCGCACGGCCCTGCCTCGCCCACGCCCCCCGCCCTGTCTGGTGCACTGGGGGCGCTGCTCCTGGGGACCCATGGGGCGCCACGTGCTCCCTGTGGCAGGCCATGCCCTCTCAGGCAGCCTCCCCCCCCCCCCACGAACCTTCCAGTTGCAGAGGCGGCACGAGATTGTCGGCCCCTCCCTCCAGGTCAGCAAGCGGGGCAGGGCTGGGCTGGGCTGGTGCCGCTTATCGCTGTGGGTGCAGCCACCGCTTGGCCGGCGCTCACAGAAACTGGGCGAAAGTTTAGCAGGCTCCCGGACTCCCAGGGAGGTACTTGCTGGGACCGCAGGTGGGTGACTCAGCAGGACCCCCAAGGAGGGCGCTTCTCGGGGGCTGCAGTCCAGCAGAGATGGGGGGCTGGGTGGAGCCGGAGGGCCGGGCGTCAGGGGAAGAGGCCCCCACTCGGCTGGGCCAGCGTCCATGCTGGACGGGAAGGCCACTGCTGGGGCGCCACAGTGCCTGAGTGGCCAGCCTCTGCCTTCCACACTCTGTGCACACGTGCAGGCTGGACACGGACGCAGCACATCCCAGAACGGCAGAGCTGGGAGGGGCTGGGGGGCCGTCGGGCCCCACCGCGTCGCCCACCCTATGCAGCGGCCCCTTTGCGCGCCATGCCTCACCGGGAGGAGCGCTCTTCCCACAGCAGCCACATGCGGGGCGGCGTGTTCCCTGGGCTGCCCACCCGCACCCGGCCAGCTCCTTCCGGGCCGGCACAGGTCTGAGATGTGTGAAGGCGGAACCGTGTGCTCCGGCGGGCGGGCGGGCGGCACTTCGCACGTGCTCACGCCGTGCCGCATTTGCCAGTTTGCAGCCCCTTCTCCCGGCTGGGGGAGCTCCTTTTGGAGCTCCTCCCGAGCCCTCCTGGCATCACCGCCCCAACTGTCTGGGCGCCATCAGCAAGCCTGGGTGCCCCACTGCTCACTCCCGATTCCGGGCGGGCAAGCCCCAGAGCGGGTTCCCGCAAGGCCCCGCGGAGTGCTCTGATTTTCCTGCAATCCGTGGCAGCAGGAGATCAGGGTTTCCTAAGCCCTCCCAGCCCGTTCTCCGGGCCCCGGGTACTTTATAAAGCCTCCTGCGAACTCCCTCCTTGCTCGACCCCTTCCTTCCAAGAGAAAATGTCCCAGTGCTTTAGCCCACCCTCCCCCAAGATGGGGCCCTCCAGAAGTGTCCTGCAAGGCCCGTCCTCCTGAGTCCACTGCAGAATGACTGACGGGGGCGGTGGCTCAGCAGGGGAGCCCCATATGGCATGCAAAGGCCCAGCCCCATCCCTGCAGCTTCTCCCGGCAGGCCCAGGAAGGAGTCCGGCTTGAAGGCCTAGAGACACTGCTGCCGGTCACTGTGGACCCTGCTGGGCCGAGTAGATGGACCAAATGGTGCTTTTCAGCAGAAGACACGTCCCGCGCTCCTAACATCCTCCAGCAATTTTCCCAGAAGTGATGTTATGCCACCAGCCCTGTAATTTCGTAATTTTAAAAATCAATTGTCATGTACCGATTTCCAGATGACAAACCAAGTATAAGGGACAAGTTACACAGTCTTCTTAGATGATTAACAGTTTCACAATAACGTTTTTCAAATTCTTGGGTTCATGCCACTCAGACGATGCGGCTTGCTCATGTTGCATCTACTAATTCCATGGAATCATAGAATAGGAGAGCCGAAAGGGGCCAGGGGGCCGCCTGGTCCAACTCCTGCTCAGTTAAGCCCTCCCTCTCAGATGGCTGTCCAGGTACATCCTGAATGCCTCCAGGGTGGGAGAGCCCACCACCTCCCAAGGTCCTGGGTTCCGTTGCCCTTCTGCTGTAACAGTCAGGAAATTTTTTCCTGATGTCCAGCTGGAATCTGGCTTTCTGCAACTTGAACTCGTTATTCCGTGTCCTGCACTCCGGGATGATCGAGAAGAGATCCTGGCCTTCCTCTCGGTGACAGCCTTTCAAGTGCTTGAAGGGTGCAATTGTACCTCCACTCTGTCTTCTCTTCTGCAGGCTAAACATGCCCAGTTCTTTCAACTCCAAACCAGGGTTTGGTTCCCAGTCCCTGGATCATCCCTGCTGCCCTCCTTTGAATGCTTTTCCAGCTTGCCTGCATCCTTCTTAAACTGCGGTGCCCAGAACTGGACACCGGACTGCAGGTGAGGCCTAAGCAGTGCTGAGGAAAGGGGAACTGGCACTGCATGTGATTTGGCAGAGACGCTTCTGTTAATGCAGCCTGAAACAGCATTGGCCCTTTCTGCGGCCGCATCACATTGTGGGCTCATGCTCAGCTTGCAGTCTAGAAGAATTCCAAGATTCTGCTCCCTTGCCAGTTGCCCGAGGATGTCTGCTTTTGTCACCAGGACTAAGTTCTTCAGACTCAAGGGCCTCTCCTGCATCTTCCACAGTGAAGATGACCGCCACAGGGACTTCATTTGGCCACCCCACCCGCATCCGCTCCCCTGCCCCACTGCTCTGTAAGCCTTTTGCACCTTCTCTCCTGGACTGGCCTCCTCCACAGCTGCTTTCCTGCTTCCAAGGTAGGTAAAGATGCCTCCATTGTTTAAGAAGCTTTAGGAAGATATACATTTTTCTTTTCCCGCTTTACTGCTAGCCCACGCTCAGGTTACCAGAAGGTGCATTCCTGTGTGTTTATTTGGCCAGGGCTTCCACTTTTACCACCTCGCATCGCTTCCTCCGTTCTGCTGATTCACTTGATTCCATCCTCTTGCGACTTTTCTAATATGTGAGATCCATTCCATCCACATTCCTATTCTAAGTTGTTCTAAGACTGACGCATGGCAGGGCAGCTATGGCAGAACGAGGAAGGGCTTCAGGTCTAAGGAAACTTCACTGGGGACGGAGGGCAAGATCGTCCAACCGAGCGGTCCTCAAGCTTTTCCAATAGGGGGCCAGTTGAAAGGCTGCGGTGACCATTGCCGGCCGGTGAGGTGGGGGTGTCTGGGGGCGCGGGCTGGTGAGGTGCTGTGAGGCACGCGCGAGGCGGCACTGGGCTGGGCGCGCGTGGCGGTGGCTCGCTTGCTCGCTCAGAGATCTCCCAGCAAGTCCAAAACCATCTCCGAGCGAGCCAGCGAGCGAGCCACCGCCTCCCCGCCCACGCGGCGAGGCAGCAGCGAGCGGGTGCACGGGCAGCGAACAACGGCGCAGGCCAGATGGATGGCCATGGCGGGCCGGATCCGTCCCGCGGGCCGTAGTTTGCGGACCCATGATCCAAACTCTTGTACTCCCAGTCATCAGGTGTGGGGGTAAAAGCCGGACAGTGAAGAAGGCAGATGGGGGAAATCGATGCTGTGGACACAGTGCTGGAGGAGAGCTTGTGAATGCCCTGGGCCAACAGGGACGGACGGACGGACAAGTGGGTCCCAGATTAAGTCAGGCCAGAACTTTCCCTGGAAGTGAATACAGTGAAAGTGCGGCTGTCGCTGTCCTACTTTGGGGACACTTTGGGGACACCATGAGAAAGCAAGTGCTGCTGGAAAAGAGGATGTGCTGGGGAGATCTGGTGTTCCGGCAGTACATTTTCTTACGCACAGCTTAAATACACACGCATACGTGTTCCACAGCTCTGCCCAAATTATTCAGCATTAGT